GCTTTTCCATTTTAATCGATGCATGTGTAGGCGAATTAGTTAAAGATAATGTTACAATTGAATGAAAAAATGAGAAGAAAATCTCATATGTATCGATTGTGCGGAATATTTTTCACTTAAATATTTCCTAGAATCTAAAGAAAAAACTAAAACGTTAATATCAGCGAAAACTGCTCACAGTTAATTCGCCCATAAAAGTGAAAAGAGAAGATATTTAAAATGAGACAGTTTTGTCCCTTGCCCCATTTTAATCAGGAATTCAAATCTTACAATAAGGATATCATTTCATTGACGCAGTTTTATGAGACCGTTTTTATTAGAAAAGTGCTCTTCATACCTTTTGAGCGTGATATCCATAAAATAATGATGTTGCTATATAAATACGAAGCAGGCGTGCTCCTTGTGCTCATATTACTTTTATGTCACGCGTCCACATGCATTATTTTCTTTACCCGAGCTTTAAACAGTGACTATAAAAAGAACACCTACTATTTAGAAATCATCTTCCCCTCATGTCCCGTGTGTGCAGCTGAGACTGGGAGAAAGATAATGTCGGAGGTCAAAGTGGATTTCATGGCAAAATTAAGGATTCAAGGATGTCGATAAAGTTAAAAGAGGGATAAACATGGATTTCTTCTGTGGGTTGGTTGGGTGTTTCTATTCACCAAGACAAAATCAATATGGTGCAATCTCACCATTCTTTTTGCACCACAATGTAACAAGCAACAACTTTTCTGATGAGTGGTGGGCCTGTGCTCATCGTCTTGCAAAAACAAGAGCTTTGTCCCAAATATTAAAAAAACTCTTGATTTGTCATTTTTTATAAATAAAGTAAGATAAGAATGCGCATAGTTCTTCTCGATGATTTTTCTATATCTAGGTGGACAACATGCAAATATGGATTGTTCTTTATGTAAATCATTTTTTAGATTTCTCTAGGGGTTTGCATTGCAATCGTACGAAACAAGTTTTCAAATGTTCTCTAGTACGTAGACGACACGTAAAAAGGATCAAGTGCGATTTGGACTCCGTGAGATACCAATTCAATTATTCCGTATTTAGATTTGATTTATACGGTGAGACGAGTGAGCAAGTGCATTTATTCAGAATTTAGATCTATTTAGATTCAGAGATCTACAGAAGTAAGGTCTTCGAAAAAAATTACCAAGATTTAGCACAAGAGCTGTAACTGGCGTCACGCATCCCCTGAATTCCAAATGTATTGTACAAACCATTTCCAGACAGTGCAATTGTAGAACATACTGTTGTGCACGTTATTTTGTGCATGGTGTTCTATGATGATGTGATGAGCTCCTCGATAAATGGAGTCGATAAAAGATCCATTGCTCTGTGTTCCTAGCTCATCTTCTTGGATTTGGTGCACACGAACGTACGTGGTTCAACAGGCATTCGTCTCTCTTCGCCGTGTCGACGGATGTAGTGTGTCTGCTTGTCAGCCCAAAGAACATTAATAAAATGGAGCACACTCCTCCTCTTGTTTCTTGTATATTTTATTTTGTATCTTTCCCCTGTAGTTTTCAGGATCCAAAGTTTGCTATGAAATATTTTGTACCATGTTGCTAATCTCTTGTTTAATCTTGAACGACTAAAAAACATAATGAATCTCTTGTAGTTCTCTGTTCTCTGTAACGTACACCCACTAGCTATCTAATTTTGCCCTCAGATTGCAGATATTGATAGTTGACGCAATGTCCTCTTCAAGTCTGTTGTGCCAAAAACTCTGGAAAAATATAACCTAGCCAGTCAGTCAGTAAACTCGAACGGCTTCATCATTACTATTTACTGGCTGAGGTGACTTATTAGAGAGGAAAGAGATCGAATATCATCGTGCTGTGTATACATGTATCATTTTCAACTTTCTTCATCATAACTTACGTAAATATAACATGACATCAATCAGTGTAAAGATTCATATCCATCGTTCATCGATGAAAATTCTACAATGCGTAACTATTAGTAGGAACAAGATGCGTTCACACAATTCAAGATTTATGTGTGATTTCCGTTATAATTTGAGAACTACTTGATATCATCGTACCCAAACCAATTTCTCTATAATGCATGAAACCTTACTTTTGGCGTGAAATTGTAGATCGAACATCTCAGCGAGATAGCATTCGATGCAACAGTTTTTTGTCTTGGGGAACTATATGATAATATATCGAAAGTTGTCCACGTAACTAGTGAGTGGGAAATTAACTACCCACCAGGGTGACTGCGTGCACCATTATTTCGGGTGACAGAGGTGAAAGCAGTATGGAATCGTTGCCAAGTCCGGTCACGTTGTCTCTATTTTATTTCATCTGTCTGTTCATCTTGTTCAGCCAAGCAGCACATCTGCAGTATGTGCGAAAGTCAGACTAAGCTCTTGATACAATTCCACTCTAACCAACTCTGTTTTCCTGGACTAAATTCTAGTCACTGAGCCTATCAAAAAAAACGACTCTCGTCGGCGGATATATTCTTTCTGCACTTTGGCAGTTTCAATCTGGGCAAAATATAGTTGAGGAAAATGGTACAGTTTTCTAAAAACTTTGATGAGGTTCACATAAATGCAATTGAATTATAGGATGATGGAATCAATTTATGTACCTGTTTGAGATTTGTTTGAAGTTTATCATATATATTTGTGGAACTTTTAAAATAACCATTTTACAGATTTTAGTAGAAGAGATAAAGTACAAATTTCATTTAAATTACCACCAACTCTAAAACTATGAAAGAAAAAGTAAGACATTCATTGGAATTCTTATTGGTAAGAATCTTCCGCATCAAAAAATATAATCGCCACAAAGAAGTAATTTATTTGGTGCTGACGCTTGTATCTGATTCATGCTTCGCTAGTTCTATTCAGTTCTTTCCGATCCATCGGCTACAATAATTCATACTTTTTGGCCTGGTTATGCATACACATATACCAGTAGTAATTGCAGTAAGTATATAGTTACACAACCAAAAGCGAAGATCAAATCCAAAACCAAATTCAGATTGTGGCGAGATTTTGGATAGGTACGAAGTCAGGGCATCAAATCTGGCGAATAAAAACTAGCATTTTCCTTCCTGTTCCCCATCGCTTTCCCAACATATCAATTGCACTATAGTTTGGCGAAAGTTTAGAAACAGCAGAGAAAATGTTGCATCTGGCCGCAAACGAGTAATATGATGAGGATTACAACGAGAAATGTGAGCTACCAATAAACTATATGGAGTGGCATTGAATAATCGATTATTTTATGAAGGAAGACACTCGCATTATTTTCCTGGGGTGTCCCTATTGCCAACTTGTTTGTGTTACGGACAGCAGCAATAAATTATTGCACTACTTTAGTTGACGTGCATCAATTTGTATCATCTTGAAGCCAACAGTTATCAAAATCCAACAGAAGTTATGACGTAATTTCGCTAAAGTGACATTGAAACAACGTTCAGAAAGAACATATGACTTAATCAATTTGTGTAATATGTAAGTGCATCAAGATAATTGTCATACAGAATGCTGTCGTATTTTTGAGGTCTATGAAATTGTAAGCTTAAATTCACTTACCACTTGTACATAAGTAGGTAAGTAAATATATTAGAGTCCACAGATTGCGAAATTACATATGTACACGGTTTCGATAAGCTTAAAACTTTATGTACTCCAGCAGTCGTAGAAACTTTTCAGAGCTTACCAATTTCAACTTCAAGTCAAGGACTTTTGGAAAGAAATGTTGCTAAATAAAAATAGAGATATAAATTCGATTTTCGAGAAGAAATGATTACACATTACGTACGTCGTCTACTTTCGTACACCTGATATAAGATATACATAAGTGCGTGTGTGTGTAGATGACAGCGAGTATACTGTCTCCCACTCGAGAATTTGGGGATGGGAAGTGAAAGATTAAATTTCGAGAGTAAAGTGGAAATTCAAGAAGTCTTGCCATGAAACTTCACTCGTACTCCTTCCAAACAAATAAGAGAAAGCAAAGTTTTTGAAGAGTGCCAGCCGTAAGTAGGAGAAAATTGACAGGAGAAAACCTGTCCAGCTCATCTCAGATTTTATGGAGGTATGATAAAGAGGTTAGTAGTACAATAAAAGATTCAACACAAACCAAAAATCCACTACAATTCCTTCCCAATTTATGTACTCATGCTGGGATATCGAGTATCGAGGTTCCATTTATTTTTAGAGAAAATCCACAAGAATTGAGTTGACGAATTTTATCGAAAAGGGGCATTTCGTGCCATTGTAATTTATGGACATTGTGAGAAAAGAGTGAATCGTTCTTGTATCGAACAAAATGAAAGCCGCATAGAGAGGACAGCTACATATTTATTATGTAGAAATGAGTATGGTGACTGGTGGTGCGGATTGATATGAGGGAAAAAGACGAAGGAGAGAGATGACAGTTCGTATGAATGGATCCCACAAATCTCTCACTATTCTGTGTTTGCTTGACTTGGTTCGCCTCTGGATTGACTTCCGTCTTCGTCTGATAGAACCAACTCGATTACGTCAAGCTCACTCGACAAAAATATTCAGTTCGGTTACTTCCGATTTTCAATCCCATCTTTTTAATGGAAACTACTAAACTTACTGAACGCCAAAGTTCAAATTCTAAATTAAACATGCTGGTCCACGTTCCAGAGTTTAAAAATCTTACGAGGCATAATAAGTATGCGAGAAGGAAAATTTATATTTTTAATCCAACTTGAAGATCACGTTTTAAAATGGAAATATACTTATTTATTTATGTAGTAAGCAGCATTCGCTGAAAATTGTGCAAGATTTATTTTGAGAATGATTTTATACTAATTACATGTGGACCTAGTAGAAGGCGAATTGAGTATTCTCACGTTATTTTTGTATCAAAATTTACATGAAACTTTGAATGAAACTCATTCCTCTAACGATCTGGCGAGGAATAATTATAAAGCCTCCATAAACTTGACGTCAAACTTTAGTCTTAAAATAAATATTGAGTGGAAATGCTTACCTTAATTTCACAAAGTCAACATCACGAATTTGCCAAATGAGGTTTCGAAATAACTTTAGTTGAACTTTACACAGTTAAAAATTGCACAAGTTTTTTTTCTCCTACTTTTGAAAGTACTTATTTGAGGATCATCAGGAACATGAAATTTTCAAAAATAGTTTCACCCTATTAGGATCCTTATTCATAGAATAACTCACTTCCTTCACCACCACCACCACCACCACACACTCGGGCTTCCGTCAAATTGTTTTTTACAGTGCGATGAATGGAGTGAGTAATGACACTACCAAGGCGAGAAAGGAGTCGAGATTCAGAGATTGGTGATTATGGGATTGATTTTTTTCTAAATTTTTGATGTTGTCGATGCAGCGGAGGAGGACTATTGTAAATTTTCAAACTGGTAAAACTTGGGGCCTATCTTATCTCACCCGGTGGAAGGGGAAGATAAGGAGGCATGCGGGAAAATAATATATAACAATGCACTACTAACTCAGACTTGCGGACGGGGTCGGAGTGGGGCAGATAATGAGTCTATTTTTGCTCACCGGCAGCCGAGTGTTAAAATTAGAGCAGGAGCGACCCACCACCAACCGGGTATTCTGGCCCAACCGACTTTACAACTCCTTACTTACATCCAAGCAAGTTTAACACATTTTGTTGGCAAAGGTGGAGAAACCTAATAAGGTTCCCCTAGCTCAATCTAATCTGGGCGAATGCCACCTTTTCCTTTTCTCACCGAAGAAATTTCACTCTCCGCGTTCCTTTCTATTCAATTAAAGAGTTTTCAAGCGTATTCATACAACATATGCCATCATCATCACGATGAAGAAAAAGAACAAGATCCGCTCATACATTTAACATCAGATTAAACCAAGATCCATCCTCCGTTGATACATACACATGCATGTACACATGTAAATATGTAGGGAGCTATGACGAGTCCTATGTAAATATGCACCTACATATGCTTGATGATTTCGACTAATTCGAAACATACAATAATATTATCATGCTGTCCAACTTTTACAACCCGGGGTTTTATAAGAATACCTAATCGCATATTCTCCGACTTTAAAGTGTTGCAACGGGTCTCTGTATCTTGCAACAAAGTGCGAAACGGTACGAAACTGTACCACTGTACGAAATGCACATGGGTTTCATCTCCAATTATACGTACCTATAAAGTCGGATTTGCTATGCAGGAAAAGGTTGTGTATCAAGCACCCGTAGGTAATAATATCCCCAAGTTTCTGCTGAGCTGCTTAATCCCTCTCAAACTATGTTGAGGACACAGCCATTATATAAAGTTTTGTTTGTATGTGTAATATCGGGGATGATGAGCTCTTATTCTCACTTGACTTTGCTCTACTCGTGTTACTATTCGTATGGCTCTACCGTATCACATGTCATACCGTCATAATATGTTACTTAAAACTGTTTGTGTTTAACTGACTTATTAACTGACTTTGCCTGTGGATTTTAGATTGGATGTTGGATTGGAATGAGATTTTAGCGGAGAGAGATGATATTGGCGAGCAGGCAGGAAGAAGAAGCAGCAGCAGCAGCAGACACCTTAATCTAAATCTAAATTTGGTTCTCGTTATTGGTCTCCTCTCTCTCTCGTCGTCGCATCCGTCCAATTGGCAACTTCACACAGAGAATTTTATTATTCGCAAATTATCCTCTTCATTCCAATGCAGAATTAAATTGTACCTTCGTGTCGATCTTTTCACACACATGAACAAGAAATCTGTTTGTGTCCCTGTCCCACTGCTCCACTCCATCCAACCAAACAAACTTGTCTCCCAAGTACATAAATACATACACAAATACCAATTTTCAACCTTTGGGTGTTTTTATGCCTTTAAACATTGCAGATTCTCTCCTTCCCTCCTCCCTGCACTTTGTATGTATGTACGTATGCATGTTATACTTGGGATTAATATGGGCGCTGTGGCATGGCGTTCAGTTATGTAATGTTTTTTGAGATCAAACACTTCTTAAACACTTGGAAAACATGATGGGGAAAAAAGTGTGTCGGGTTCTTTGGTCTGGGATTTGTGGATTATTTATACTATAAGTTCTTTATGCTGGAAATCCAAATCTGGGATCATTTCATATGATCTCTTCCCCTGTGTTGATCTTTTTTTTCTTTTGAGACTTGTATAAAATTCAACTTACTACTTAGATTGTGAATGGGAATATTTTCTGGGTTGTCGCTTATTTATGTAGTAAAAGTTAAACTGGTGAAAGTGTGATCAAGTTTCTTCATTCTTGCTGTGCTGCAAATTTATCGCACCACACGGATGAAATGCCAAGTATTGAATACCCCTTGCTTGCCGTTGGTCTTGAAATATATAGACGAGAAACTCGTCAGTTCTTCAATATTTCAAAAATTATCACCAATCAAATTAAAGTAATTTTATCTATTCTAACCGACACCCCTTATTTGTAATTACACTATAAATTTTAACAACTTGTAGCTTCCCTCCAAACTTGTTGAATTCAATATACATATCTTTAAAATTGCATGCATCAGTGGTTGGCTGAGTATGTAGGTGCTAATTAATTAGATAATTAATACTTATCATCCATAAATATGTAACTCTGTACAACAATAAAAATAAATTAATTAGATTTGCATAATAATTCTTTGGGCCTTGATACAAATAAGGTGTGCATGCCTCATAACTTATTTTTTGATTGACGTCGGCATGCACATAAAACTCTATCATGAGATACGATCCCTATTTGTACACAAACAGCAGGAATTTCTAATATGAAATTTTTCAAGAAATGTGCGCTACTTAATCCTCCTCCAAAGACAGAGGCTATGACAATGTGAAAATCAATATATATGAACTAGCCAATCTTTATGCTTCGCACGTCATACTTGATAGGTCACATTTTTATGAAGAAAATAATCTATGTAAGTGCAACGGAGCGCGACATAGATACGTATGCGTATGGTCACATATACATAAATATGCAGTAATTGGTTCTACTATATAAATTCTCTTCCATGCCTAAATACTTATTTGGTCATCTTTTAGTAATTCATGTGAGGTGAATCACGAGATGCGTTACGTTTTATTGTATAGTGAAATTATATGATTTAAAATACCGTAAATAGTTGATTAAATCGATCCTTACATACATATTTATTGCTCTCTGAATATCAGTGGGTAGATGGTTTCTGTCTTATCTACGCAGTGACATTTTTTAGTGTATATAGTACACCATTTATGTACTTACTTTGGGTATCTAACTAGATAATCCCAAAAAGGATTGCTTAGGTGAAGCAAAAGAAAGTGAGATTAAAAAGTTAAAATAGTTCTCCCTCAATGCATACACAGTTTTCATGTGAAATTTTCTCAATCGCAAAAAATCTGGCAAATTCCGTACGACTTTATACATCTTCTGCATTACGATATTTTGTTATGATTCAATTTGTAGATACAGAAAAAATGTGAAAAACTATCAGACGAGAAATAATTTAGCTGCTACAATGAATGGTAAAATAAAATTTGAGAAAATACAGCCACTTCGATGGATCAGTAATCAGTACACATGTCAACACATATAGGTGCCAATAAGCGGATACAACTCATACTCCAGTGAATTAAAGCACAATTTTACCAAGCAGCGATAATTTCATTGTGGAGTAACGTTGTCATTTCTTAACGGATTTTGTTCATTTGAGTTTAATTAGAAGCTAACAATCTTTGAGCCATTTTTTGATAGATAGAGAAATTTTAAGTTTATTTGTGTAAATACGTCTTCATGCTTTTCTTCTATACAACGAAATATTACTTTTTAGGGTGCTTTTAGATTAATGTCTCGGGAAAAGATTGGTTTTCACTCATCCAAGTTAGTAGAACGTACAATTAAATCGGTTAAAAAATGACCAAGTTATTTCATTTGGTAACTTTTACAAGTTTTGCGAACTATGGCGTTTTTTTTTGTCAAAGCTTCACCTAAGAAGAAGCTTTTATTGCGCATCTGACCTCCCTCGAAACCACGGCTTAATACATATGGTCAAAGAACAAAGGTCACAATGGAATTACCTGGATTGAATGAAATGTGGAAACCACACGTGTGCGAGGGATTCGACTTTGTTGGCCAAGTCCTGATTTGGCGTGAGGGGAGTAAGTGGAGCCCGAGTTCGGTGGAGTGGAACTAGTGGCTGTTGGGAAAGTACTAACTAAACTCTGCTCCTGCTGGATAACATATCATGTGAACTTTGCTCTGGAGAAAGGACATGCTCTCTCTCTTTCTCCCCGTCCTACCACCACCACCACCAACATCACCCTCCTTAAAATTGTCATCCTTTCCTTACTGCCTTCACCATTAGTAAGCAGAAGGAAATGCATGTCTCCTAAGTGGGCGATGTGCATATGTACATACGAAATAGTTAGATATATGTGCATATGTCTCTTGTCATGTGCGTTCATCAGTTTTCTTGGTCAATATACGGTACATACGTACGTACTCTACGTATGCATTTAATGTTGTTTTGGTACTGCGATGGCTAGCCATAAAAACTAACGATGGTTAAGCAAAACAGGCAGAATAAAGGCTTTCCCCGTTCAGACGAAATTCAACAGACAAATGACGACAGAATTATAACCTTTCTTCCTTGAATATGTATGCTACATACATACCGTTGTAATTTCAAGTACAACTGCCACTAGTTATTTTTAGTGAGGGATGTACTATGCAAATCCTTACAAATTAATTCAGCATTAAGTATTTAGAGTAGCATTAGTCCATCATTTGTATTTTCTCTATGTATCATAGAGCACCTGAGTCACAAAATCAAAATGCTCCTAGAATTATAGTTAAGTTTGGATGGAAATATAGATACATGTGTACTCGTAAAGAATTATTGTCGAATAGTACCATCATTTCATTATATTGGATCTTCAAATTGAATCAACAAAATAATGCATCGTATCTTATGCATTCGTAATGCATAAGTTATATAAAGTCGTATGAAATTTGTCAGGTTTTTTTTGCGATATCATTAATATTCTGAAACAAAATCTATTTGTTGAGCAGCGTTTGTAATTTCTTGACGTATTTGTATTTGTCGGGTACAAAATAAATGCAACTAAAATAAACTCCACTGCTAATTCATTGAAAATGGAAAGTTGCGACAGTCAAAGTTGTGGCATAAAGGTTTCTACAGCACGAAGCAACAGGAGAAAGCAAAGCAAACCGTTGACCCGTTACCACCACTCAACCGACAATCGCATACAAAGCCTTTGAACAAGGAGGCAAGGAGCTGAGTACATATTGAAAGTTCAGTCTGCATGGAAAATTGCAACATTTTATTTATCAGCACGTCCAGACCAAGTTTTCTATTGATTTATAAAATGTCCATGACACGTCCGTGATTTGATCTTGCTGTCCAAGATTTTAACGGTGAGTTTTATGATCCTTTTTGCTATGCCCAGAATTTTGCACAAATTGCGCATCTTACAACTATTGCAGGAAAGAGTCTTTCTTTTCCATTTCCATTCTATCTCAGAATATTTACTTGCATGATTCAATTCCATGCATCACTTTCTCCGTTAGTGAATAAAATAGATTTAGCAGGTCTTCCTTTCCTTGTCAGCGGTTATGTGTGCATGTACATACGCATGTGCTCGTACATATCTGTCTATGTAACAGTGGAATGGATGAGAAAGGAGTTTGATTAAATTCTGATTCTCAATTTCGAGCTGATAGTGGGTATTAAAAGTTATAATTTTCAACGTCAATAGATATTTACAAAGATATGTAAATGTACATATTATGTAATGCAACATGCACGCGGTGGTGTGAGTCGGTAAATTAAATTATCATGTGCTAATGTTATTGGATTGTGAAACTATTAAGGTTATGCATTCGACATTCAAATGTTTCAGAATTTGGTTTAATTATTATTTTTCTTTTTCCTTCTATAGCATGGGAAAAATAAACAATCTATTCGTCTCCTACCATATTAAATTTACGTAGGCGTTATTACAATACCAGTCGGTAGAGTTTTGATAATTCTAAGATCAATTACTGCAAATAGGTTGCGGATAGGCACCAAAACTGCATGTTACTTTCAGTATATTAATCATACTGATGATACGCGTTATTTACATACTATTCTGTTAAATTAAATGCTTGCCTGCTTTTCTGTCCAATTAAATAGGATTAATTTAATATAAATACAACCTGCCAATTTTAAAGACGCACTTTAAATATTAACTGGGCAATCGAATACAGGTCATCAAGTTGTCTTTCGAGTGTTCGCAATTTTGGAGAACTAAATTACGATGGAATATTGAGAAAAAATAAGATGAAATCGTAGTGGAATTTGGAGCAGGTGAAAGAAAACTGTTTATACAAGCAAGGATTTAATTAAGGGAAACTAAGAGATTTCGAAATTCCTATTCTTATTACATTGCTGCGATATTATTGTGAATATTTATGCATTTATTTATATGTTTGATAAATATGTGCATGTAATAGCTTTCTTTCCTAACAAATTAATTATCAGAATGAGTAGATATTTCGTGTATTCGGTAACAAAGCCGTTAATGGGGCATAATTTTTTTGTGAACATAAAATAAAAGTATATGAACCAAACTACAATTTCTGGGGCAAGTTAAGACTTTGGCAAAAAGACAAGCAAGTTTCCATCTGCTCTTTCTCATCATGATGCTCACACAATCACTTTCTCCAACTTGTGGATCCCCTTGCTGAGGCGTTCTGCTGTCTGTTGCTTTCTCCCAGCCAGAAGCGCTTTACGAGGAACACAGGGTAGAAAGAAAGTCGTGTTCAGCTGTTGAAGCAAAAAATGATCATTTCACCTTCTCCCTACTGAACTGAATGTTGACGACGATATTATTTTGCTGCGAATAAGATTCCTTGTATTTTGCTATGAACTTTCTCCTCCTGAGTTCACTGACTTTTGTTGGAAACAAATCCTGTCTTACTTATTTGTGCTAGCCTCAAGACATATTTACTCATTCAACAACGAAATGTCGCATCAGACTTCTTTGTACTAATACGAAGTTAGGTTATTACGATCTTGCCTTAGAAAATATTTCGTTATCGTTTGTGGACTTTGATACCGAGTCTTTAAGGGAGGAAAAATCCGAGCCAGTTGCTTTCTTTGTATTCTTAATTTCGAAAATCATTGTCTCATTATCGTTATGCATTGCGCATCGGTTTTGAATACATACATGCATACGTATATCATTAACACTAAATTTAAGCTTTATCGACCGATTTGTAAAATCCTTTTTGGGCTTGGAAGACCTTATGGGACAACAAAATCATGTTATGCATGTATGTATGTAGACCTAAAGCTTCTACGCCAGTGTATAAAATTAGCAGCACCTACTTAATTACATAACCCAACCGGTCAACCCCATGTCCAGCGGTATGTCCACGCTTTTCGAACTCGGTTCCTAATTTGTACACTTACAATAAAACTTCAAGTTGATCCGATAATTTATCTGACCATGTCCTAGACGGACAGACGGACACGATGATGATGCCCGCAACCTATTGGTTCGAGCTAAATCCCTGATTGTTTTATTTTTACAATGCTTTGCATTTCTATTTCTAATAGCATGGCAAATACAGTTTCACCTACAATACTTACATTATGAGAGAAAAGTTTGTAATTATTGCCTACGTATACACCTCATTATATCAACCTGAAACAATGAACAATGGATTCCGGACGAATCTAATGAAACTTTGGCCCAGGAGAACACTTGACAACTTTTCCAATGAAAGTGTAACTTTTACCTTTTTCACACATGGGTCCAATATCAAGCGATAGTAGGAGCTGAACCTTTAAACCATAATGATAACGAAACGACGAGTTGTGTACAAAAAAAATTTGAAACCTTTGTTTCGTGTATTCAGTAGAAAAAGCACAGTTGAACTCTCACTCTGAATGTTTTTTAACTTGTACTTATCTACTTGTCATGCACATATATAAACTCTCTACTCACATGAACAAAAGCCGTTAGCCAGCACCTATTTACACCACGTGCCATGTTAATTTTGTGGGTCCGTAATTCATGGTTCCTCTCCATATCAATAAATACAGACGTGCCTGACGATGGAAAGAATATTTATATATCGACACTTTTCGATGATAATGTCCTTTTCTCTGGAATCCAGAGAATGGTAAATAGAAAACTCAAGATCCTACGTATATCTGTATGTAGTAGTGTAAACATATATGTAGGCACCTACCGCGTTTGACGTTATTGACGCACTATCGTAATCGTCACAATAGTTCACAATTCCAATTCCCTCAAGACAAACATCTAGTTTTCATTATGGAAATCACTATGTATGTGATGTGAGGATCGACAATCGACCTCAAAAATTGAAGAGGAGCTATAGTTTAAAATCATCAATTGGACTTTGACCGACACGTCATTACCATCCTTTCCACTTTTTCAGGAAACATAAATGGAATCGATCAATGTTAAAATTGGAGGCGAAAGCGAAAGAGATACATATGTGAAGGTACATAGTCCCCATGAATTTTTTATTTGGCATTGTAAATAGTTGGCTACAAGAAGTGACAAGAGGTGAAAGTTACAGTCAGACATCTCAAACCAAGCGGTCATACTCTTCCAACAAGCGTCTTACTATAGAAGAAAAGATTAACAAACGGTTGTAACTCCGGTTGCAACTTCTTCTGACTGACTTTCATTTTTTCATGAAACTTTAATTTGGTCCTTAACTCTTCCTTGGTGCAAGACACTAACACATTCAGTCCTGACATGCAAAGTAATATCACCAGAACATCTTTCTAGGCTAAAATTATGCAAATAGATATTGTGTCACATTTGGAACAACTGTCATCTATCTATTTCATATGTTCTGCGGAGGACATTTTCTCGTTTGTTAGAAAATTACAGAAAAAATAGGATAACATTGTGAATTGAAAAAATAATATGAATTGTAGAGAAACTAATGTTGATATTTTAGCTGCAAACTTTTAGATGTTACAAATCGCAACCAACAAACTATTTCATTGAATGCCTTGGGACTTTTGGTGAGAAACTGGACGAGGGAAACTTTCTACTTTCTCCTTTATTTCGAGGAATAACGAGCGTGCAAGTCCACAGTGCCCAACTGCCCACACCACCACCGTCACCTCTGCTGGACGCTGGACCACACGATGAGACATGTTACTTTGTTGGAAGATATATGTGGTCTTGTGCTGCTTGACTATCTTACTCTGAAGCTTCATTGCCCACGCATACACAACTTTCCCCACATTTAATTCTTCTTACTTAAAGAACAATACCAACAGACATGAATATACTGAGGGGAGGTTTACAAATATAGGTAGTTGAGGTCAAAATAACTGTCTTAACTAGGGCAGGTTTAATAATGTATACATAATTCAGTTGCTAATAGGATTCATCATTCGAGGAATGACGAGTATTAAGCAATGGCACATTAGACACAGATGCATGCGAATAGAGCATTGTACATATTTCCACTGAGGAGTAAAATCTTTTCCACATTTCTCATGATTTCTCTCCACTTTCACCAGTTTCGTTGTGCAATGCGACAGGAAGCGGATGGATGATGAGATAGAGGAACCGATGGTCATAAAAAATTTACTGGTGTAATAACGTAATATAATGATTTGGTAATTAATGCACATTGCTGGCTGTTATACAGGAAGGAACCAAAGTTTGAGGATTTATGGGTTACTAAAAACGGTCGCATCTCCCTCTAGATATTTAATTCCAGTGACTACAGACGACGACAATAAAAGTGAAATATAAAGTGCACAGGTTTAGAGACACAGCGAAAGTAGCTCCTGGACAAGGAAAGTTAATATGTATGTATACTTACGTACTAAAGTAAACAACTTACAATTTTATTTTTGTTTTGGATAGCATCAGTAGTGTGACTACGGCCTAATTGCCGGAGGATATTGGGCTTTGCGAAGTTTTTTTCAATCCTATCAAGTTCTTGTCCATAAGCACAATGTTAAAACTGTAATTTTCAGACCTCCCAATGGTAGCACCCATGGATAATATTCATGAAAGAGAAGGTGGAATAAACGACTTAATCATGATTCAAGTTTCTAGAATTATATGTATTCAGTCAATCTATTATATTGTAATGATCAAGTGATATAAGTAAAATTATTGTCGTCCTTATTATGAACAAATAAGCATACATGACTATAATATGAACTGATTGTGTAAAGACTATGTTATCTCGAGGCGTTGAGATCACGAACAACTGTTGAATCCATTTGAGGAACTTGTAGAACTTTCCTGGATAACCGCATGCCACCAGAAACTGGGTCTCGACCAAAGTATTTGACTGCAAACATACAAAAACTTTAGACAATATAATCCCATACGATAAAGCGAACTTTAATGGACAAGTTTTGATTCTTACCATTAATTTCTTGTCCAACTTCCAAACCCACAGCGCTAGGATGCAATATTTTTCTTTGATCCAGTTGTGAGTTGTGAAGTAAGGCAGGTTGCATATTTGGGTAGAGAGTAACCATTACACCAATATCCCGGATCTCAACAATTTTTGCGGTATAGATTGCCCCAAAGTCTAACTGAGGTTCTCTTTGTTCTGTCAAAAACTCATTTATCATCTCTTTTGCTTCTTCCAATGCTGTTTGGTTGGGGGCGAAGAGATTGAGGTGAATGTCATCAACTTCGGTTACCTAATCGTTTTGAGATATGATACAACCAGAATTAAGATGTATAAAGCATTACATATGCATCAAATACATAAATATAAATTTATATTCCTACCTGAACACCAGTTTCCGATGTTAGTTTTTTCACATTTCTTCCACCAGATCCAATGAATTTGGCTCGTTTATGTGTCGGAACTTCAATTTGTTCCACCAGTGGCATATTGTCCTTCTTTATTGTTCTAGGTGCCGCAATAGTTTGTTTCATAATTTCTAGAATTTCATTCTTGGCATCTGTTCCTTGCAACACAGCCTCCATCACCACTTTCAATGGAAGCCCTGGAATCTTAAGATCTGCCTGGAGGGCTGTGATTCCCTTCCTTGTCCCAGCTAATTTAAAGTCCATATCTCCCATGTAATCCTCTATGCCCAGGATATCCGTCAGCAGAACATAATCTTCTAAATGCTTAGTATCTCCCCCCTCAAACTTTGTAACTAGACCAATTGCCACACCAGCGGCCGGAGCAGATATGGGAACACCGGCATCCATTAACGCCAGACTCCCCCCACATATCGACGCTAAAGAAAGATACATAAATAATGTATATGCAAAAGTGCTCCAAAATATCTAGTCTTTATTTAATAAAGCCAAATAAATCTTTGCATATAGAAAGAGGAACTAATGGATGTCCTTGGATACATTACATTGCATGAATGAAACATAAAACTTACCCATTGAAGATGACCCATTCGATTCTAACACTTCCGAGGTAAGCCTTATCGTAAATGGGTAGTCTTTTGGTATAACTGGACGAAGTGCTCGTTCGGCTAGTGCACCATGACCCATCTCCCTCCTTCCATACTGACCACCACCTCTTCCCGTCTCATTGGTGGCATACGGAGGAAATTCATAATGAAGGAAAAAGTTCTTTTCTTTCAAACCACCAGTAATCACTGAAACGGGGTCGGATTTGAGTGCAGAGTCAATTGAATCAAAAGCAACAGTACAAAACACTTGAGTCTGTCCCCTTTGAAATAGTGAAGATCCATGAAGTGGTTTACAAAGATCTACGTCACACGATATGTTTCTCAGTTGGACCAATGACCTCCCATCACATCTGGTCTTTTCGTCTAGTATTAACTGTCGAAACACATTCTTGGTCAATTTGCTAAATGACTCACTGATAAGGCTGGGATCATAATTTGGGAAATTCTTATTAAGCTTATCTACCACATCACTTCTAAGCGCAGAAACCGCATTATCACGTCCCAACTTATCAAATGTGTGATCCATGAAAATATCCTTGAGTCTCAATTCTCCAAATGTTTTAGCTGCATCTGCTAAATCGGGAGGAATTTGACCAGGTTTTAACTTTTCTATTTTGAGAGAATTTTCTTTATTCGTAGCCTCTTGTTCTTGTCCCTGTCCTTCAATAACGGCTGCTGCTGCCGTTTCGTTTCTTTTCCGTTTACCAGCCTCTTTTTGAAGTCGAGTAATCCCTTGAATAATTGACTGGCATTCTTTCACTCCAACCTTGATTGCTTTGAGGAAATCTTGTTGCAAAATACAGTCTGCTGTAGCATCAAGCATGACCACCAAATTTTGGCTGGTTGCAACCACCACTAGATTAAGGATACTTTGACTCATTTCTCGCCGACTAGGGTTCACTTTTAGTTCATTGTCAATCATTCCAACCCTGACAGCTCCAACCGGACCGTTCCAAGGGATGTCGGACACACTTAACGCTGCCGAAGCCGCATTTATGCTTAAAATATCTGGGTCATGAACACCGTCAACAGCCAAGAGGTTACAAATTATTTGAGTTTCACTTGTATATTCGTCGGGGAAGAGGGGGCGAAGGGACCTGTCAATAAGTCGACTTGTCAATATTTCCCGTTCAGTTGGTCCCAGCTCTCTTCTCAGAAAATTTGTTGGAATCCTTCCTGCGGCTGATAAGTAAAAACAAGATGGTCATTTAAAAGGTCCTGTGTTAAAACTCATCCCACTATCTGCGTTGTACATACCAGCTGCTTTTTGACGATAGTCCACGGTCAAGGGCATGAAACCTTGAGGAGTAGATTTTATCTTTCCCACTGCCGTGACCATTACTGAAGTATCACCAAATGACGCAACGGCACAACCATCAGCCATTCGAGCAAGGCGACCAGTGCCAACTTTTAATGTTTTCCTTTAAAAAATCAACTAATTTGTCAACACCATATAATCTATTGTTTTTTAGTAAGAATTACCCGTCGGAAAATGTAATCGTGTTCTCGTGCGTTGTCAACGTTGAGCTTGAAATAAATTGCCTTCTACGGATAGCATTTTGTGCAATATTTAACAATTTTGTTACCCCCAACGGTCGCAAACCCATCATGGTTGAATTGAGGATGATGGTTGTACTATCAACTGTAGCCGACTGTAATTAATTACAAAGTAAATAGCATGCCCTAGAATAATTGTAACTACAAATTTATCTTACCTTTAATCTTTGTCCGTCTACCGTCGCGAAACACCGGTAGAATATTTAGTATTTTATTTAGTTGAAATAGTTTCAAGTCACCGTCATTATATACTTACTCTTTTTTTGTTTTACTAACGTTCTTTGTTTCCTCCTACTGATTTATATATTATTTGTTTTGTTTTTTTTTATTATTTACCCTGCTGAACGTCAAAAATTTACGCAATTTTTCAACAGAGATTTTACGAGAAGAGAAATGTGCGAGCGAAACAAACCCGAATTCGCGCTACAACATGAGAAAGATGTCCTGAAACTTTCTTTTTAAGAACTTCGGGAACTTGTCGTCGGATATTTGGCAATGTTCCAAAAAGCCACTGGAAAAAAACAATAGCCGCTCCTCGCTATAAAACGGATAATTTGCAACAAACTCTTGCAGGTAATAACTTATACTTCAATGTGTGAAATGCTTATTTGTTATTTTATTATTGTTATTGCAAGTACACAAACAATACACAAAAACCTACAGTGCAGACTCCATATAGCCCGAGTCAGGGACAGAGTCCCTGACTCCTCCAGGGTCACTCTGGTTAAAATTTGCTCACTTTTAGCTTCATATCCTTTCTTGAGAAGCCATTAGGTATAACCGTGCCGGATTTAATGTTTTTAAAGTAATTTCTAAAAATCGGTATGGGTCACCCCATAGGGTCGCTCCAGATAAGAATTTTACCAATTTCATGCCATATTCTTCTATTAAGACCCATTAGCAATCTATCTACCAAATTTCAGCTTGGTATGACGATTTTGAAAAATCGGTATGGGTAACCCTGTAGGGTCCCTCAATATGAAAATTTTTCCAACTTGAAGTCATTTTTATCTATTAGGAGCCATTAGCAACCTCTGTACCAAATTTCAGCTTTCTACGACAATTTTGAAATTTTGGTGCATGATACCCCACCCACTCCGATGACCCCCACCGGTCATCCACTTGACCGATTTCGCCCATCTTCGAACTCGTTTCCTAATTTTGTCCAATATGCATATGGTAAAAATTTCAAGTCAATCGGTTCAGCCGTTTTGGCTCTATCGTGCCGGACAGACGGACGGACATGACGGTTCCATAAGCCCTGACTCGGGCTAAAAATATAAAAAGCATTATTTTTAAAATTAATCCCCCTCAAAATTTATAAATATTATATTATTTAACCAACATTTTGTATGACAAAATTTCCACTGGATTTGGATTGTAGGATGCATTCCTTTTGTGTTGTTTGATATAAATATGTATCAGTTTAGTTAGTAGTACTAACTTACAACTTAGTACTATACACGTTTGAAATCGGAAGAATTGCACTCATTTTATTTCCAGTAATTAATTCTTTTTGAAGATATTATTTGGCATATTTGTTTGTGGTCATTATAAACTGTAGTTCTTAACCTATGTGTATGAAATTATATACACTAGCATTATATAAAAAAATAAAGAGATATATCACACTCATTGACTCATTCTGATAGCCAAACGGTTACAAACTTTCAAGCCATGATCATGTTTAGGTAATTGTTAACAAATTATCACAGTGTTTTTGAGACAGACGAGGATTTAATAATCACTTACTCGGATCAAATCAAATTGCGTCATAATAACTTGACGTTAGGGGTTCAAAATGTTGATTGCATATTTCAACCTAGAAGTACTTGATCGTATTTCATTCACAATAAGACACGATAAGAATTGTCGGCCAACCCAAAGATTATAATTACAGAGGTATTCTTCTCGTAGGTGAGCTCGAAAATTTCGTCGCATATTCCTTTCAAGTACTTCTTTAGCCGTGGGTGTCTACAAATCGTACACAAAATATGTTGTTATTTTTGCATACATATATATCTACATGCCCACGAATAGCGAATATTAACCTTGATTGCGTATATAATAGTAAATACTTACTTCTCAATGACTTCGACAACACTTTTGGAAAATTCTTCCTTGTCATGCAGGGGCAAGGATGAAGCGAGGTTGTTGATTACAACAGAGTTAGCTTCTATTCCTAAGACCTCAACGATTTGTTGTCTTCCAAGCTTTGAGAGAATATCTGTGATTCGGCTCATAACCTAAGCAAAAAATCATCATTATGGTTTTGAGAAACATAATGTCCGGCAATGTTAAATTACCTGATTTTCATATTTTCTTTTCAAATGGGATGGTTTTTCACGTTCCTGCATTAGAATTAAAATGTTGTAGGCCGGCAACCCGCTACTTGCGCCCTGAATGTGATGATTATGGGGATTTGGAGCAAGTGGACAATTTATTTCTGATCCCAGTAAACCACCCTGTTTCACGGACACACTGTCACTCCGCATAATCCCGGTGGGAATAGGGCCCTGCTCATTGCATCCATCGTACAAGGTTCGAGAGATAAACTCGATGACTTCTGGCTTTGACAGTTTTTTCTCGTTGAATCTGTGCGAGAATAGCAAGAACCCGAAAGATATAACACTTGAGAGAATAAGGACGGTATATTTGTAGTATCTACCTGCCATGTTCCCATAATCGAACTCGTATATTGTTGTAGTACTCTCCTTCCTTTAAAATAACTAGGAAAATAGCACCAATCCCTTTGCAAAATTCTTCAGCAGATTCCAATGTCTATGAAAGATACATAATGCCATAATTTATCACCAGAACTGTAATTTTGTAAATGTAGAAATGTCTATACGGTGTTCTCACTTGAGAAGCGTCTAAAATGGATGCATGAATCCCATGGGCAAGCAATTCTTTCATCATATCGATTTTTTCTTTGATCATTGGATAATGACCAAGGGCACAAACGAGGACATCAACAGATCCTTTTTGTGTCCATTCTCTCCCCAGATTATTTTCTTCGTCTTCCTCTGGGTCATATCCCGCAATCAACTTGTCGAGGGAAATGCTTATTCCAACCCCACAAGGAGCATCATCTCTCCCTTCAATGGTCCCATCTTGTTCTAAATACATGGACGTTCTGAAATAAACATAAAAAACTGACTTGTTTTTCTTAAAATACTTTATAGGCTTTTAAGCAATACGTGCTTTCAACTGGAGTGAACTTTTTTCTCTAAATGGTAGTTGAATGAGCAGTCAGTCGGATATAGAAGAAAGTCAAGAAACTTCATCGACAACGTATTTTGTGGAAAAATGTCCACAACTTGGGAGGTATTTGGCTGCAGCTCGAGACCTCCGTAAAGGAGAAATAATTTTTCAAGAAAATCCTATCGCTGCTGCCCCACAGAAAAACTCTCAACTGATTTGCCCAGGCTGCTTTAGCCCAGCAAATATTGAGTGCCCCAAATGTGGTTGGCCAATATGTTGCTTAAATTGTCCTAAATTGGAAAGACACCGGGTAGAATGTGTAGCAATTTCCATTCGAGACGCCAGAAACAGAAACAGCGGCGCTACCCGATCTGCTCAGGACTGGATTTTATATCAGGATACACTAATGCTTTTTCGATGTCTCAGTTTGAAATCTGAAAACAAGGAAAAATGGAACACGTTGCTGGAAATGGAGAGTAATTGGGAGCAGTGGTCCAAGTATGTACACATAAAGAACTATTTTCTAAAGTTTCTAAAGTTTGTCTTAAACATCTATATAGCTATTTCTTGATCACTTTAATTTCCGAAACTAACTTCGTTTCGCTATCAATCACATTTTTAGATCACCCCTATATGCAAACGCCCAGGAAACAATTCAACGCATTCGAGATCAGTATGGAATTTCAGAAGAGTGCCACGACAATCGTGAAATACTGCATATTTTGGCCATATTTGATATCAATGCATATGAAGTGAAAATGCCAGATGTTAATATTCAGGGCTGCTATCAGTTAGCAAGCTTAGCAGAACACTCTTGTATCCCAAATGCATTTAAAGCCACAAGCAGTAAGTCAACTTAATTTTCAACAATGTATTATCTATTAATGTGACATTTGTTTTATAATAGTGGCATGATAAGTAATTAATTTTGTGTTCCGGTACCAGGTAGCACCCTTCTGCTGACTATGAGGGCCTTATCCGATATTCCAAAAGGGGCACACATTGCCACCACATATTGCGATGTGCTTTTGCCAACCAGTCAACGTCAGAGAAATCTGACATGGTCCAAGTTTTTTTATTGCCATTGTCTGCGTTGTACTGATTCCACAGAACTTGGCTCCTACATTTCTTCGTTTTTGTGCCCAGATTGTCCTGTTAATAGTGTTTCACCTCTAACGCCAATTTTATCACCCCAAACCGACATCATCAAAGAGGACGAGGAGGAAGACGACATGTGGAAGACTACATACAAAGACCATCAGTGCCAGACTTGTGGATCAATTTTTCCTGCACATCGTTGTGAAAGTTTTATGATTTTAGCTGAACAGCAATTGATGGATATAGATAAAGATTGTTCTGTTGAAAACAAGAACATTGCCGATTTTGAGGTAAATTGCTACTATACTTTACGATATATTTGTAGTTTAAGTATATAAGAATGAATCATTCCCGTTCCAATAATGTCTTACATATCCTCAATGCGTTAGTCAATGTTGTTTTTTTTCTCAGAGTTGGCTGGAGCACTGGACTCTATATCCTGCTGCCAAAATTCCTTTGACTGAATACTATCAGCAATCCACCACCAGGCCAACAATGCAAGTTTGTTCATCTGCTAACAGGAATAGCAAAAGAAGCGGTAGAATAAAGTACAGTACCTCCCAATTGGTGTACTTACATCCTCAACATGCTTTATCGTTGGATGCGTGCCATACTGCCTTTCTCTTGTATTCTTCTGAAAGCTTGTTCATGAACGAACTAACTAGAAAGAGTTCGCTTGGAATGCATTTACTACAGTCAACGGCCAGTATTTTTAGAGGTTACCTGATAACTTGCATCAATACATAAATTATTGATTATTCCATGTAAGTAACAACCCAGGGGTAATATTTATTTCATAGGTATCTCAATGTTTAGAGGAACGATAATGTACGAATTGGCAATGACTAAGGCAGCCATATTTGCAAGAGCAGCAGGTGTGGAACCAAAATCTGATAATCATAATGAAGAGGTTGACTTAAAAACACTAGCCAATGTATGTATGATCATTTCCTTCTAGTCATGAATATATACATACATATACCCATTGTATTATTATCAAATTATAACGATTGTTTCTTCTTGCTTCTACAGGAAATTATTTGCCTACTAACTGAATCTCTTGAAAATTTGCAATATGAATCTGAAGACCAGCCAGAAGGACGACTTTTTACACTTGGATTGAAACAACTTGAAGATTTTAAAATATTTTTCAAAGAAATTGTACCAGATTTGAGATTTTGATCGAGTTCTCCGAATCTTGCAATAAATATGTATATACAAACTCCATGCACAAACAAATGTAATTGAATTAATTCAAACCTAAAGTTTTTAATTAGACCATCATATCTTCCGCCAGCGGCTATGGTATCCATCGTCATCTTATTTTTACGGCGTTTCAAATCACAAACAACTTGAAACAGTAAACCCGAGTAGATGTTAGAGCAAAACGTCATGGCAGGTATCACTGTAATGTTGCACTATTTCAGAACAAGACGTAATTTAAGTAAACAGAGAGGAAAATATTGCTATTATTATTATTATTATTATTGTTACAATGTACCTTCATCCCAAATGTCTCGATATTACTGATGAGGATTTCAAGTTCGTGTAATGCCTCTTTAATACACGAAGCGGCTTCACCTTTGCGTTTCATGATCCCTTTTAACATGCTGCTAATTTTAGAAAAAGACCCTTCAACGTCCATCAGTTGTAGGAGCATGGTCACAAAGTGATCAGATAATCCCAAACTACACATGTGTGTTTGAATTTGTTGCTTGGAGTCTCGATCATTCTAGGATATAATATTACTTTTATGTAGATTTATATATTAGGTCATATATTTTATATATTCATGACTATTTTGTTTCTTGTTTATTACTTTCACTTCGGATAATAGCTTGGTGATTTTAGTGTAGTGTTTTTCGTCCACAGCATGATGGAGAAATACACCCTGCAGCAGTTTGGTATGGCCAAGACGAATGGTACAGCTCCTAGTTCTTAACCAGGGCAGTTCATTCACAATTTCAAACACAACTGATAAAACTTCTGCATCGGATATTAAGCTTCCTGTAACACAAAGCAGGCAATATAAGTAGTATGATGAATTAGTTCAAGTTCACGAGTTAAACGCATTTTTTTAGTAGTGTGATAATCTCATTAGATTATTTTTGTCATTTGAAAACAAAATCAAAATCAACATACCTTGAGCAGAGTCAATAATGTCAAACGCGCATTCAATCAGCTCCCGAGGATGCAACCCATACACTTTTCTTTCTCGAAATACTTTGTCAATTGTAAATCGTTTCAATTGATTGATTCCATATCTCCCAACATATCTTGCAAACGGGAGTCTTAGGTCGTACGGCAATCCGACAATGACACCACTGTGAGACATGAGATCCACACAATTGTCGATATTTTCATATAGAGCTGACTTTGGCAAAAGCAGAGGCGTATGCAATTCTGTGGCTCCATGTCGTTCAAACACTTGATAAATAACTCGCTTTACTCGTTGCATAAAATACAAACATTTAGATACACTCCCTGAGGGAAAAGGTGAGTTTCTACAAATCTGAAGATTTTTTCCTCCATCCATATCGTAAGTAGCATCTTCGACTGGGCTAACTTCCTGTTCAAAACAAGAGGCAACAAGATATTTGTACGATTTGGTTTTTGAACTTCTTAACGTTCTGGAAAATATGTCCCGTAATTCTGCCTCTTCCAAATGCGGAGGTGGCAAATAATCAGACTGAAGAAGCTCCAATGAAGTTGGACGTTTTGTGTGCTGGTGATCTAACAGCCACCTAAAAAAAGCAAAATGTACCCTGATTAGCAAATTATTATACATTTAGTATTTTTATTGTGCAACGTGTGTCATTATTTTATTAATATTTTTGGTTTTACTATCATGATTAACATACTTTGTAATGTGCGTAACTTGAGGGAACAGGGCTTGGTCAAAATCCTTTGGAAACGTAATTGCTCTTTGCCTCAAACCTACGATTACTCGAACCCTTTCCATTTCTGTCTGCGCAGGATGATAAAACATTTCAAAGAACATGATCCCCAAACTGTAAATGTCCACTTTCTAAATAAAGAAGGAAAACAATCATTCAGAGAAATTATGTACTCAAAGCAACGTGAGTACAGTTTTATTAACGTACTTGGTTGTATGATGCCTTTTGACCTGTTGCAATCAACTCGGGTGCGACATACAGAGCTGTTCCTATTTGTCCTGTCCGGGTTTCATCAGTGAAATCGAACGACTGACCATGATCTTGACCAACTGTCAAGTCCAAATCCAAATCATGCATTGTCTCGTCTTGTCTCCTATTTACATACATAACAAATAGGATACGAATTTTAAGAAATGCAATGTTGTAATATATTGATACACAATTCTGACTAAAACAACAGAATATCAATTACTTTGGAATCATCAAACTGCTAGATGTTGCCAATCCAAGATCTCCGATTTTCACGTTATCGAACGAATTAATAAAAATGTTTGCAGCTAAATTTCAAACCAAAGTGAGACAAATATTAAATACGTCCATCCATCAAAAAAGCTTGTGCAACTCACGTTTCAAATCCCTATGAATCATTCCCTGCTGATGTATGTGCACCAAACCCTCCACTATCTGTATTTGCGTAAAACAAAATATTAATCTTTTGTCATTCAAATAATATTTATTTCAAATGTCGTGTGTGAACTAACCTCACGAAAAAGTCGCCAAGCCCGATCTAGATCTTCACAAAGGTTATTATCGATAGCAGTCCTGTTTAAAAAATAACGTTTCATATGTTTCGCCTGGTAATTGATCAAACATGTAACGGTGTCACATACCTTAGGGTACTCTTTTCGCAATATTCCATTTGAATGTATAAAAATTGAGATTCTCGAAGGAATCCTGTGAGAGAAAGTGATGCGCTTTGGACGTCTGACCCAGTTGATGGCTTTTGTTTTGATACTGATGGATTAGTTTCTTCTGAAGTCGAGTCTGCATCCACTACGACGGATCTAGAGGGGAGTAATTCCGATTGCTCAAACACTATTTCATCGGAATCGTCCATTGTAATTCGCCTGAAAATATGAGAGAATATGGTCCAACAGAAATAAAGTTTATGTACTAGTAAATGTGTACTAACCGGAAGGATGTACCAAATAAGTCATCTTCATCTTCACTTGTTTCGTCAGACTCGTCGTCAGTATTATAAGTCTGCTGAGGTATAGCTGGTTCGGATTCACCCCAATCACTACTCTCACCACCTATCGCAGGAGCCAAATCCTCAATGTTGTCTACCAAACCTAGCTATATGAGTAGTATTAAAATAAATAGCGCAGTGACCAATATGTAAATATAAGTAAAGTACCAATATGCAATACATACACTATTTTGTTGCTTCTTGAATAGTGATTGAAAATGAACGGCGAGTTTATTCACAGATACAGCAGCCCGTTCAACGTTCGGTTTATCCTTGGTTGTATCGATGGATATTGAATCCGCCGTAGTGCTGGCTTCATCATCGCTTTCAATTACTGTTTCAATCCATGAATTAAAGTAACGCACAACATTCTCGTGGTTTAATTGTGACAGCAATTTGACCTCGCGAGTAATCTTTCTGTTCAATTGTTTATTCTTCGGGTTGAGCTTGATCCTTTTTAAAGCATAGATTCGTCCATCAAGTTTATTTTTTACCTCTGCCACAGAAAAGGTAAAAGTTATTATTATTTATGCAGGTGTAACTGATGATTAAGACTGACGAAATGGTTTTAGGGCACTTCATGCTTCACTATTCATTCTACACACTTCATGTCCCCATTCATGCTGGGGACACGAGCTGTGAGGTGATGAAGTGTGGGGTTTGAAGTGCCCGAACATCGACAAAACATACTGAGAACTTCTCCGAATCCTCCTTTTCCCAAAAACTTTAAGCTCTGAAATTCGCTTTGAACTCGAGAATGGCCTTTGAATGAGAGTGGTAGAGCCTGTGGGATGTCTGACTCTTCATCATCGTTTTCCTCGTCCAACTGGTTTTCAAATTACATATTATTAGTACATACTATATTCATATTTATGAATAGTATGTTTAAAAATTAAAGCAATACATTTAAAAAGTCATTGTTACCGTTTGAATATTTTCGTCGATTTTAGGCTGGAGTTTTAACGGAGAATCGGCAAACAAAGGAAGTTTTAGAAATTCGTGGTCCAAGAGATCAGTTGCCGAGTACCGAGAATGCTCAATTGGAGTGAGACACCTTACAAAAAAAATTATTATCACCATTGAAAAAAATGATTGGCAAGTGTTGAGTAATTGATGTTGAAAACTTTCTAACTTTCTAAAAAAATCTTGCAGGTCTGGCGGGAGCACGTTAGGAATTTCGGGAGGATTTTGAACACAGCTTCCATTGATTACGCTAAGTAGAATTACACCAAATCGGTAAATATCACCCTTTTTCCCACCTCGTCCAATGGATGGTGGAAATTTATCAGGAACATCCGGCAGCTTATTGAATGTCTGGTAAAATTCACAGATTTTGCGTTCAACGCCATAATCAGTTATTCTGACACAACCTGCAATTCAAATTAAACATCAATAACCAACAATGTTTATACTTACTCTACGAACTAATGCAAAAAATGAGGAATTTACCCGAGCTGTCCAGAAATATGCTAGTATCCCGCAAATAGCGGTGGACAATATCATTATCATGAAGATATTTAAGACCTTCTAGTACTCCTTTTGCACAATGTCGAACTAAACCACAATTTTGTGTGATTAATTATGACTAAAATAGTTAATATGCAAATAAAAATTTCTTGAATACCTAAGGCAATATCGACAGCCAGTGCTCCACTCAAGAATGACTGCAGCGATGTCCCTTTAACGAATTCCTGTATAATAAAAGCAACATAATTTGAGGATACAAACATCTGCTACCAAGTATTTACATACAACTGTAATGAACGAGGTGCAAAAAAGTAGTTGTACCTGTGTCAAATAAACGGAGAGGGTGCCAGGCTCGTCGATTGGAGAAAATGACTTCATTCCAAAATATAAAACAAGATTTGGATGTTCCAACTTGTGCAGTAAATTCATTTCCAATTCAAAACTGTGGATCTATTCAGATACATGAAAGTTGACAACATTGTAACAATACTATCATTGGGTTGTTGGGAATTATGGTTATTTAAGATAGTGTGTACCTGTTTCATAACTCCGTCAATTGTTAGTGTATCACCAGCTCCAATTGAAATAGATTTTAGCTCTTTTCCTTTCTTGTCAATCTTTGCTACAAATTTCCAATTGACAATTGCAACCAAATTACCCGAGCTTGACATCCCAGCGTAAACTGTTGTTCCACGTTCACTCTTTCCTAAATATTGTCCAAGTTTAATCTAAACATTTTGTGATTATATAAGGATTGGTTTGAATTTCTATTGTTTGTATTACCTAGAATTTCTCCACGGTAAAGCAAGGTTGATGTCTTTCCGCACATAAACTCTAGCACCACAAGGTCAGAAGTTTCTGAAACTGAGACGTCACTCTCCTCTGAATTGCTTCGCAATCTACGCTTTCCTCCTGCAGAAAATCTACGTTTGCTGGCGACTCTACCCCTCAAAGATGAAAACCCATCGCCTTTTATGGGGGATGAATTAGGACTTGGCGAAGGACTAGAACCATCCGCAGCGGTCGTGGTGGTAGTGGTGGCAGTAACGACAGGAAGTTGAGATCGTCGTTCCTTTATTTTTTTAAGTTCTTCCCGTTCTTCACTTTGCTTACGCAGAATCTCTTCTTTGATGGCCATTCGCTGATAAAAAGGACGTGAAATTGATAAAAGAATTGCAAATCCGTTCTACATGAAAAAAACGATGAAAGTAGTTTCACTTACCTCTCTTTCTTTCAAGTCGATCTGTTTACGCAGATTTTTTTCTTCCACTTGCTTTTGTCGCATCAGCATTTCATCATGAAAGGAGCCGATCGACCGTTTCTGGTGCGTGTAGAGGTAAGTCTGTCCTCAACAAGGAAAATTCATACCTTAATGTATATTTGCATTTGAAATAATTTTAATACAGTAGATCCAGTACAGTCTTACCTCTGCATGGCTCAGTAACTGATACAACATTTCTTGTCCATTCGCCACATACTCTGACGCTATATCATTTAATTCTGTTTCCAAGTCTGCTATTTCTTGTGATGATAGTCCCTTGTGCTCTTTGAATCCCAATACTGGACCCCTGAAAATTGATAATAAAATGCTAAACAATTTTTTAATGTTTTATAGAAGAAGCGAAGATGCAAGTTTTACCGCATACCTCTGAGGATAGTCTTGGGGGACGGTGACATGAATAACTAGAAACGTAGGAACTTTGTGTCCATGATTGACACCACCCCCGCTGCTTCCTCGTTGAGGAAGAAGGCGTACAGTAAATCTCAAGGGCTGTGTTGGCTCGCCGTCCCCAAGCTCTTTCACATCGCCAACGTAGATTGCCTGTAAATTATCAACATGTCCAGCAATTAGAAATTACATTCTTTATGCCATCATCAACCTACTTATGCACAAAACAGAACAATAAACAAATCTGTACCTTCACAACTTCCAATTCATCCTCTTGCCGTTGACGGGTACTGGTTTCGGAGTTATGTTCAGACATTTTAAGATGACTGATTGTGCGACATTGATTTCACAAGTCCCACAGTATCGGTCGACGACTCTTTGAAATAATTAAAACTGAGTTATTATTAGAATTTTGCCTGAAATCAAAATACATGAAAATACATACTGTAAAAATATACGGCGATTATAGCGACCACGCCACCGGACTCCTCCTCAACGTTATGCCTTGATGATGATTTTCGAGGAATGACCATTTGCTTTTCCACTCGAACTTTAAATGACTTCAAGTTTAGAAACCTTAGATTTTCTGTGATATTTTGTACAGTGTTATTTGAAATGTGTCTTATGACTCTTAACTCGATTTGATATTATTAACGATTGTACGTTGTATGTGTATATTAGTAATTATTTTATGTAGGGGTTAACCCGAGTTAAATGTGAGTTTACTAAGGTCTTATTACTGTTGGTTGTTATTTCCTTGATAAGAGCAACGATGTAAACAGCAGTGCTATTTGCAGGCTACATGTTGGTGGTTTGATGTTATAATTTAGAATTATCTACCGGTCCGGAAAGTTTGATAAAACTAATTTGATTTCCTACAAATAAATCCAAAAGTCGTGCGTGAAAAAGTGAATTGACATATGAGTCGACTAAATAAATGTTTTTGTGATTCTAATCCCGGCTGTCTGGCTCACGCAATTCCAGACGAGATTGAGTCTGAGCAACATGTCTCTCAACTCAAGAGGTTCAAGTTTTGAAGTCAGCAATGCAATTGCAATATTGCTAAGCGTCTCAAATTCATAATCAATCAATCGATCGCAATAATAGGCAATAATAAATTATTTATGAAAGTTATAAATCTCTTCCAATTAATAATAAAAGAGTAATTTTGCTAAAAGTAGTACATATGTATAGGTACGTAATACGTATTTGTGTCTTTAAGTAAGTACATAAAGTACAGGTCTATGTTATAAATTGGCAAACACAAAAGACAATATTTGAAACGATGATGCGGCATTAAAATTAAAGCCGGTGAGCATCGTTCATCATCGTTATTCCGCATAATGCTTGATCATCTCGCTTTCCCTGCTTTCCTAATATCTTGAAAGTGAAAGCATGAGGTCTTTGAGGACAAGTTGATCCTGAGACATGCTTCAGATAATAGTAGTACATGAGTTAAATGAGTTCAGAGTTTAGGTATGGAAAGATAATGGTGAAATTATTTAATAATTGATATTCCTAAGTTGGATATTAAAGCACAGACTTTCAAATAAGTACTTTTGAGTAAAAAAAAAAGTTCATTGTCCACCATGTAAGGTTATTGTTATGGTTTGAAACAAGCAATAAGGCATTTTGGATTTCTTTTCTCAGTGATTCACATTTTTCTGAGGTTATGTCCAACTGAATTGAATTCTCAAGCGCACGCCAATCACAGAGTGCAGACGCACATCGATTGGTATTAAATTGTCGATTGATTAACAATGAAATGTGAACATAGAAATAACATTAACATTTGACAAAGGAAACCTGGGTACCCTAATTCAGTGGTCTGAGTAATTACTAATTATAGTTTTAGTAGTACGCAGCAGTAAGGCGCATGAATTTTGAATACAATTTTTTTTTAATTCTATGATATTTGAGATGTACCAGAATATGCAGAGTATCACAAACGATGCAGTTATTAGATATGTACACACATATATGAATATGGCTTGCTAGAAAGCTTAATAAAGCGTCTATGTATAATTGCTCCTAATTCAGTGCAGAATGCGAAGTGCAATAAGTACAAATTTGTGTAATCATATAATTTAAAACTACGTCAACTGTACATTTTAGATCGCAATTTTGTAAGTGGAACGATTCATAAAAATACGCAACCATGCGAGCATCTATTTTTATAGCATACATCATATTCAATAATTGGTCTGACGACAATGTGATATGGCTTTTACACTTGTACAGTATGAAATGATTGAAAATTACTTATGTCATACATTTGTGGCCAGTCAGCTTATAGCGTATTAAATCATTTGTTAAGTTAGAATCTTTCTTTAGCCGCGTCTCACAAAAGAATAGCTAATAATTATTAATTCACAAAAACAATTTTTTCTAGAACATTCGGGAAATACTAAATTCAGTGTATGTACGTATGTCGATGATTACGTAGATATTTTTGCACTATCACGACTTGCACGACTTACGTATAAATAATATGTGTACAAACTAATGCAATGAGTCAGAACACATATTTTCCCAATTAGTCGCAAAAATTGAGTCGACACTCCAACAAGTATTGGATAACGATAAGTGGGATGGGTTATCAATCTGAGGTGTGACTCATATGTTTTTAGACACAGAAATCGATCGGTGCAAAGTGACAATAAGCACGCATACCGATAATCTGCTGGTTGGAAAATTACGAACAAAAGTAAACGACGCTTCGTTTGTCCAACCTTGCGAATGTTTAGCGTATGTAATCACTTTGTGGAATATATTAAATATCCACCTTGTTTGATTCTTGATTTGCGCAAACCTGGATGATGCTTATCAAATGCTGTATTGACTATCATTTCTCGTAGATAACGTCACGCAAAAGACGAAATTCAATCCAACCCATATCAGGTTAGTTTCAGGAAAAAGTATATAAAAGAAAACACCATCCCACTTTTATTGCAGAACATCAGCAACAGGTCAACCGATTGTGCGAATTTAGTAAAAATCATCATATACATAAATATATATACACACGTTCACAACAAGAACAAAAAGGTATCATCACATTATATTTAATATTCAAAACAGTTTATGGTTTTATAACTTAAATCACTTTTGTGCACCTATTTATAAAAGGTTACATTGATTTTAATTTATTTGTTCAGCTATGGCGTTAACGAAAAACCTCTTCCTTGTCGCATTCCTGGCGCTGGCCTCAATTCAAGGGTCACAATCCCAAGAAACTCCAGGAACAGATTGCACTGACAATAGTCAATGCAATGCAGAAAAATTCCTGGTTTGTGTTGCAGAAAAATGTGAATGTGACCCAAGTCGGCCCCTTTACTTTGACCTCTTAAAGAGAACATGCACATTGAAGCTAGATCAAGTATGTCAACCAGAGACGGAAGGTGTACCAACTTGCAGCACTGGTGGATCCTGCAAACAAGACGCCGCAGAATACAAGTGCTCCTGCAACGAAGGGTACAATCCTGATGGGTACAATCCTGATGGGGATACAAGATGCGTCAAGGTTGTTGACTATGACCAATCTTGCACCTCTGACGAAGAATACTTAGCCTGTAGGGAAGGTCTTAATGTAGAATGCAATCCCACAACTAGCAAATGCGACTGCATGGGGGGCTACTTTGTGCTTGCCGATAGGTCAATGTGCCTCGCAGGTTTTGGTACGAGATGCGATTCTGACCCTGCAGGACAACCATCCAGCAAATGCAACCATGAATTGTTTACTGAATGCCAAGCTACCAGTACCTGTGGCTGTCCTACTACCCACATGATTGACAGCCTGGTAACACCACCCGCCTGTGCTCTTCGCCTTGATCAACCTTGTGGGGCTGCAGGGACTGCGCAATGCTACAGCAATTCCGAGTGCAAAGGGGACGAAGGGTCGAAGAAGTGTGAGTGCAGTGGCACATTGACGCCTAACGGTAACAAAAAAGACATTTTATTTTTCATGCATATTTACAATAGTGCGTATGCAGTAGAGTTATATACTTATGTACACATGTATTTATATCTTCCGTCTAGCCAATCAATCATGCAATATAGAATATAGTATTCACATATTTCTATATGCAAATCTTATTGTGCTGGGATAGTAAGCGACTCCCAGAGCTTTTTGCGTTCTTGAAATGGTTCATCAATCATTTTCGGATCGTTGTACTTTATATGCAGAAATTTAAGGGGTTTTCCTTCCTCCGAAGGAGTAAAAATCACATCCCGGAACTTTAAGGGGCTCCTAATCAAAACAAAATTGCAAAAAATCTATAAAACATAAGATTTCAAGAATAATATAATTAGATATAGTTCATGTACTTGTCCATAGCAAAATCCACCCATAACTGCACAAGGTCTTTCGAAATTTCGACATCTTTGTCAGTAAAAACCAGCGCTTTTTCAATCCGTCCACCCCACAGTGGGGTGGACCACAGTAGTGGATACTCATCTGCATGTCCTATGCCTGACACTTCATGGCGATACTCTTCTCCCATGATTGAAGTAACGTATAAGAATCGAAGTCTCTCCATAATAAATCCCACAATCGGATGAATTTTGGATTGTGATGCAGCAATTAATGCTCCCATGCTAAAACCTCCCTCGTGTCCATACAAGTACATGTAGGTCGGAACGTGTTTATTTTCTAAATGTGCTGTCTGGCAGATGCCCACATTAAAGAGTCTGTCCCCATAAAGGTTGGTAAGATTCTGAATTAAATCTCGGGAGTTTAGGTTTTTGATGTTAGTTCCAAAATAGAAGTCTTTCAAAGTTTGTGAAATATCTTTTCTCGCAGCATCGTAATGGAATGCTTTAGGGGCCCAGGAAAACCAATCGTTTACTTCGTCCAGTTTCATTTGATTAGCCCATAAAACTATTCAGCAAACACATATACAATTAAATAGAATTTAATCAATTAATTATTTCTGAGAGTTGTAAGGTAAATATGGAACCTGTAGAATGAAGAAGCCCTTCATCATTACAGAAGCCTGCCATAACTGGAACTTTGTTAAACGTTCCAGACTTTATTATTTCCAATGGTTCTTCAGTGATAAATGCATCTTCATCTTTCACAGTTTCGAGCGATGGGACAAAGCGTTCAATCAAGGGGATTGGGTATGCCTAGAATTGAATTGCTAGAATTCAAAAACTTGCCCACCAGTTGTCGGCCCGGAATGTTAATTTTACATACAGATAAACCCCTGTGTCCTTCGAGAAGCGTGGTGACATCGAGTGATCGAAGACATTCAACCATTTGTTCCGAATTGCCAATAGGACAATTAAATTTACGAGCGAAATGCTGAGACTGAGTTTTCGTGTTTCGATACAGGGTCCAATAGTTTAAACTGCTTCCTGATTGCCGTATTGCTCTCGAGAATAATCCTGAACATTTCAATAATTTATTAGTAGCATTAAGTTTATATGATGGCTATGACTGATGATGTTAATTCCTATGCATTATATATTCTTGTATGTATAGATCATTTGGGAAAAAATGAGACATTTTTGCATAAATAATACTTGTAACACCATTAATACTTCGTGAAATTTGAAGCCTTTTGCATATGTAAAAGATTATCGAACCATTATCTATTTAATTAATTTTATAAGTATTCTTTAGGTATTAAAAGATTCCACCCCCCTACCACTTGAACAGACAGGAATTTTGCATCAAAATTTTGTATGCAGTTTGTTCCAACTGTAAGTCTGATTCGGTTGCATATTTGTTTGAATTTTTTAACATTGTTCAGCTTATATAGTCACAAATATGCGAGCTTAGCTAACTTTGCGATTTTCCAATAGCGCAAAATTTTATCACATTTCTAGATTCAAGGGAACTTTAGTTACTACATATGTACATACTGATGAAAATTAAAATATATACATCCTTAAAGGGGAGTAACTTGTATGTTTCTTAATTTGTCGTCGTAGCCAACTTAATTGGGGTTGCATTAATGTCGATTGCGTATTTGTCTTTACATAATTGTCACCCGATCGTATACGTATCTGAGTTTTGAATATTTACCTTCTCGCAAGATCGCTTAAAATTCTTGTTTCTCACGTTTTTTGATTATCAAATTTTCTGAATGGCTAACTAGTTTCAAACTAATTTTTTCTATGCTTATCCATAAGTGACAATTACCAGTGATATACCAAAATACGGCTATTTATATAAATGATGTTTCAAAAAATTATGGTTCATAATTTGTTTGTGTACTTAAGCTCATCATTAGAGTGAGCAGTCTCATTGTTTCCCGAATGATACATAAATAGTAACCTTTTGAAGCAGGTGACAGCATATGGTAATGTATCGACGCACCTACATACATATTTATATTTGTATATTAATTTATACTATGATGAGACGTTCATGGGGCGTGACAACTATTCTTGTTAAAACAATCTAACACACCTCCGGCTGATTCCTATTTAACATGAAAAGGCAATTATTAGCACCCAGAAAGAACAAGTATCGCATGTCGTCGTTAAAGCTTCCAAAGGAGCCTCATCCAATATTGTGGGAATAGGAAATGGCCCCCATGGAAGCTTCAAAGTCGATATCATGGGTGCTATGAATAAAAAGTAGTAAATGCTTTTACTTCACAAAATTCAAGTAAAAGGTCACCTTAGTATGAATAAAAATTTAGCAAATACTTTTACTTTTTAGCAAAAGTACATACTTAAATTTCCATGACTTTTACTTAGCAGTAAATGCTCAGGCTTCGTATGAATAAACACAAGTAAAAGCTTCGAAAACGAAGTAAACTGTGAAGTTGCTATACCCCGAGCTTCAAGGTTTACTTTTTTTAAATTCTAAGCCATTTCATTAATTTTTTAGATTGTTTTTTTGACAATTCTATACTGTAATTGATTTTAGAAAATATTATGACCAAGTTGCCAATTTTTAGGCAGTTTTGGACACCGAACTTTGGACGCCCCAAATGTCCAAAAGTGTCCAAATTAGAAAATGGGGCAAAATGTTAGCAGTTCTTTATTAACGACTTTTTTGCAAATCTATGCACATATAATCGTATGTAATCTCCTATTAATTTTGAGCATTTTGGTGTGCAAACTGAAGCACTGATTTTTTAAATTCCAGACTTATGAGTGGATTTTCGAACCCGATATTCTCAAATTGCTATTGACCCATCGGGATCAATAGCAATTTTTTAAATGTAATGTAACTTAGAGCAAATTTACCAACAGCAATAAACCAACTTGCAGCAAAATTCAACGATATTTATACGACTGGAGTTGTCCCTGATGACTGGACTCTAATAATGCTTCGCCCGATATTCAAGAAAGGTGACCCACAACTTCCCTCCAACTACCGTCCTATTGCTCTAGCTTCTACAATCCTAAAAATCTTTACCACAATCCTATCAAATCGCCTTCAGACTTGGGCAGAAAAATATGGACACTTCTCACCTTTCCAGGCTGGGTTTAGGAAGAATATGGAAACCTTAGAACAAATATTCTGTCTCCTTACCCTCATTCAATCTAAACTCCGACATCCACGTGGGAAACTATTCGCGATATTTATCGATGCGAGAATGGCTTTTGATTCCTGCCTGCACGATAGAATGTGGAAAGTTCTAAGCGAGCGAGGAGTAAGTTCTAAATACCTGAAGGTTCTTACATCACTTTACCGCAAAGCTAGTGGACAAATCCTTACCCCAAATGGGCTTACAACATCCTTCCGTTTTCAAAAAGGAGTTCTGCAAGGGGAACCGCAATCATCATGCCTCTTCAACTTTTTCATAGATGGTCTTGCGCGACGACTGAAAAAAAGTGGCATCTCGCCAGTCAAAATTGGATCAACCGATTTCCACATTCTAATGTTTGCTGATGACGTCGTTATCGTTGCTAATTCTGCGGATAGCCTTCAGGGAAAAATCAATGTTGCTGCAACGTTTTTTAAAGACCGTGGATTACAGTGCAGCATTTCTAAGACGAAAATTGTTATCTTCGCCAAGAGAAGATCCAGTGACCTCCCACCTTTCAAATGGAACGATGATACTGTTGACATTGTGGATTCTTACACCTATCTAGGAGTGACAATGCACAGAAATGGGACTTTCAATCGAGCTCACAAGGAGTTTAAAGAGAAAGCGACTGCTGCAGTGATGAAAGTCCTCAATATTACAAGAAGATCTGGTGTTCCGCCCTTATCTACGCAATTCAAACTATTTAACTCCATCGCACGGGCAACTCTCCTTTATGGCTCATCCATATGGGCAATGAAATTCGTGGACGACATCGATAAACTGCAAATCCGTTTCCTGAAGAAACTACTTAGACTTCTTCCATCTACCCCTGATTACTTTGTTCGATTGGAAACAGGTGCGCGGGACACAAGACTGCAACATCTTGCTGACACATTGGGTTTCTGGGAAAGAATATCAAGAAAAAAAGAAGACTCCCCCGTAAGGCAATGTATGATCATACAAATGAAATGGACACGTTTAAACTCGACACCAATGCAAAGAAACCATTGCTGGGGCCAAGATTTCCTTGATCTCCTCAAGATCGCAAAATGTGAAAACCTCCCATCAACTTTGACGTCCCTTGTGACTATGCGTAAAACCCTCCTAATCAACTATGAACTGCATATTAAGAATCAGGACGTCTCGAGGATGCAAAACTCCAGCTTCATTCCACACTACAAATTCATCAAACTGAAATCTACTACAGAAGGATATTTCAACATGAACCACTCGATCCAAAAATGCAGTTTGATGACTCAATTGCGCCTAAATAAATTTAGCATTAAAATTGGAGAATCCTATATCCCCCTAAATTCAAATTGCCCCCTATGTAGTGACACTTGTTCTGTTGAACACCTTATGTTTTCTTGTACTTCTCTAAGATCTGAACGACAATCATTAATTTTTCCATTAATTCCCAATTTTAATCCAACTGAATTTACTAATATGCAACTTTATATTGCTCTTTTTTCTTCGGCCTATAGTGATAGAGTACTGAATAACTTATTTCTTTTTTGGCACAAAGTTGCCAAATATTTTGACCTATGTTCTGATCAATAATTACTTATTTTAATTTTATTCAACTTTACGATATTCAATATGTAACCATTCATGATGTGCAAAGGCTGTTGGCTATGATGCAATAAATCAATTATTATTATTATTAACTTAGAGCAAATTTAAACATAAATTAAGCTGAAGATATGGAAATTTTGAAGCGATTACGCAACTCGATTTTAAAAGAATCCCATCTCGTTCTATTAAAATACATTTGCTCTGTAACCGCTTATCACACTTATTCTGGTCTTAATGGAACGTTATTAAATTACATAACGCTAAAATGTTATTCTTTGAATCTCCCACCCACCTCCCCCCTGTTGTAACGCTCGCATAACGCTTTCGCAAAACCCTTTGTAACAATGAAAATTTGAATTTCCCAAAAAAAAAATAATTAAACGTTTTATTTTAAATTCCATAATAAATTTTAATGTATTTAGTAAATAAAACTGGAGCAGCAGAAGAAATAAAGAACGCGAAAAACACATAATCACAAATAAATCGTGTAAAACCACGCAATTTTTTAAAATTGTATTTTGAGGCGACCAAAAAAGTTATAACGACTGCCTCAAACCCCCCTCTCCGTAACGGAATTTCCAAATTCCCTCCCTCCCCTTATGATATTACGCAACTTAAGAACCTACCCCAGGTTTAGACTTCACGTTAGCATCACGTTCTCCTCCCAATCCGATTTTTTGATTGGTCGAAATTTTTAATTGTCTTAGTGATATTTTTGATTAGCCAATCAAAAAATCGGATTGGGAGGAGAACGTGATGCTAACGTGAAGTCTAAACCCGGCGTTACCCTAAAACGTAGCCAACTACATTAACCAGCAATGTAGTTAGCTACGTACATTTAGCGTAAATTGCATATACGCTAAATGTTCACTTTATTTCAAAATTTTTAATTTTATTTCGAAAATTTTATTTTTATTTCGAAAATTTTAATTTTATTTCGAAAATTTTAATTTTAATCTGAAAATTTACTCGGTTTCCATGCAATAAAATCAAGTACTTGCTAAAAAGTACAAGTATTTACTTTGTAGTAAAAGTAAAGTTTTATTCATACCAAGTCAAGTAAATGCTTCCAGCTTTACCTTTTACTAATTTTGGGTGCTTTTACTTTTACTTGTTACTATGCAGTATTTACTACTTTTTATTCATACCAGGCAATGTTTAAACTTACTCCAACGAGTGTCACTTTAGCTTTGTCTCCATTAAACGCAGCAATATTTTCTTGGACCTTGATCAATTTAATTTTATTCATAACTTATCACATCCGATGCCCACAGGTCTAACAATATATCCCAAAATTACCCATTTTAATGCTAGATTTTGGTCTTTCAGTCCAGCGTTCCCACGTACCACTCCATCTCCGGTATTTAAGAACCCTGGGTAAACAGATAGGTATACATGGGTCATGTCATGGTCCGTAAACCAGTGACAATTTTTTAAATCTCTGCTGACACACGAATAAAGGATTAACAAACGAACAAATATAAATATGCACATATACTAAATAAGCTATGCTAAGGTACATATATGCTTGAAAATGAATAATGCATTATGCATCAAATTATTACCGAGTGCGCCGAGGCGATAACTCAAAACGACAACAACAACATTCTGATCCATGAAATTGTGAGCTCCAGGGAAGGCTGTTCCGCCGCAATGAAAGTAACCTGATAAAGGACAATTAATGATAACCGAAGCAATCAAAAACTGTTATTGTTTATTCATTAACCTCCATGAATGTAGACTAACACGGGCAGCTTTTTTCCATCAGGAATCTAATGTTAATTAAGGTGATCTTTTAAGATTCATACAAGCCTACAGTTATAGTGCAGACTTCATTTAGCCCGAGTCAGGGTTAGAGTCCACTTCTAAATTTTGTCAGATATCCCAACTAACTGCTTTTACGCAAAGACATACCGGTTAGGTTACATGAGCCAAGGCTAAAAACTCGAGACAAAGTTCATATGAGCAAGGTATGTACATACATATGTACATGGATGAATTTGCATACGCAACAAGAATTCAGACGAAAGTGAATCCTCTCAGAAAACTTTTCTGTTTCTGGAATCTTAGGTTATTTCAAACTTGATATATGTCTGCCGAGTTTATCAAGTTGTATGCCTCCTCAAACTCGAAGTATTGTTAATCATGTAAGATCATCATGCATTTAATAGATGCACACTTATGTATGTACTTATATATGACTTTAAAAACAATGCAATTTGTATCTTACATTGGCTGGAGCATACACATTGAGATAAAGACAGTCTTCGCTAAAATTCGAGAAAGTTGATTTGAGAAAAAACTTTCTTAGCTGATTTTCAAAAATTATAACTTGTTTACCTTCCTAATTTAATTTGGGATACCATGAAATCGAACTGTGCGCACATTGGTCGATTAAATGAAGCGTCCCACACTCCTTCCCACGCCGGAAATGGCACTGGAGACTATGACAAAATTTGTCAGTTGAATAAACATGAAGAGCAACTGAACTATGTGGCAAAAAATAATAATAACAATATCGACCTGGAAACGCAGGCTTCCAGTTGCAGGCAAAGCAAACGGTATTCCCAAATATCCATAAAAATCACGCCCTCCTCTCGATTTCATGATGATCCCTCGCATTTCACCACCCTTCACTTTCACTGTGGGGCTAGGTTCCTTTTTTATGAAAATGTTGTACATCGTAGCGCTCAAAACCGCGGCCAGCAGAGCGAAGGTCAAACGAATTAATTTAAAATACGACATGGTTATATTAATTAATGTTAAGAGTAATATTGATTTGTGGAATTATCGACTATTATTAATAACATAATGTGTTGCAGCAAAACCTGACTGCAAACACTCTCTTGAGTTCCATACGCATTGTCAATTTGACCTTTGACTACTTCAATCATATAGTGATACATATGTGCATATTTATGTAATCTCAGGATATAATATTGAGCAGGGGACATTGTAGCATAAACTTAACCTTTGAATGGTGTGTGTGTTGTACGTATGTACATATATGTACCTATACAAGCGTATGTACATGTTCTCTTGATTATTGCACGTATGTATGTACATATGCATACATGCACATGACATTAAAATATATGTAATTATTAGTATAATCCAATTTCTGGGAAACTTATTTTTATCGATTTTAAGTATGAACCAATTATTGCGTAAAATTCCAGCAGTTGTATATTATTCCAATTGCATGCTATTTTTATGCATAAATAAATAACATCGGTGTTTCGAGGTGGCCAACGATCAGGAATTTATAACATTGACACATACATTTTAACATAAAAATTAAGTGAGTATGGCCATTCGTCATGAAATTTTTATTCAGGTTGCAAATTAAAGCTTTCCCAAAGCAAACGTCGATCAGTAATTGGTTCGTTAATCATTTTCGGGTTATCATAAGTCATGTGAAAGTATTTTACGTCTCCTTTGTCGCTGGCAGGCTGTACTTCTATCCCACGAAATTTAAGTGGTTTCCTGTTAACACATAAATTATTTTGAGCATTATACATCTTACGTGTTGTATTAAATAGGATATAATAAACTTACTGATCTGTTGCAAAATCGACCCATAATTTCACCATTTCTATCGACATTTTAACATCCTTTGAAGTCATGTACATATACTCCAATGGACCAGAGTAAAGCATTGCAAATTCGTCATAATGTGCTGTTCCTGAAGAAGGAGCATAAATTATATGACAATAGAATTTTTTGCCGTAAAATTTCATATTTTTATTAAATGTGTAATGTGTATGAATATACAAACCTGGAACATCGTGCCGGTATTCCTCTCCCAACAGAAATGTAACATACAGATACCTTAGGCGTTCAGCGATGAGATCAACAATGGGGTGAATTTTTGCTTGTGAAGTGGCCAGAAATGTGCCCAGATTAAAGCCTCCGTCATGTTCATAGTAATACAAGTACGTGGGAACAAACTTTCTTTCCAAGAGGGCTGCCTGTGCGACTCCCACGATGAATAACCGGTCTCCAAATAAGTTTGTAAAGTTTTGAATAAGATCGCGAGAATTCAAGTGCTTCGTTTGTGCACCGAAATAGAATTGACGCAACTTCTGAGATATATCAGTCCTTTTGGGGTTATAATGAAATGCTTTCGGAGCCCAGTTTTGCCAATCATCCGCTTCGTCCAGTATCGTTTGATTAGCCCATAAACCTAAAATACCAATAATACGTACATGTACGCAAATGTGTGTACGTATGTACACAATAAATAACACAATACGAATATAATGCCATTTGGAAATTGTAAAATCCAATATGGCATTTTGTACACAAAAAATTACTTGTTGAATGCATAAGTCCTTCGTCATGATTAAATCCAGTCATAAATGGCACACGATTGAATCTTCCAGATTTCAATAGTACAATAGGCTCTTCTGTCAAGAATGCATCAGCATCGGCTTTGACTTCGATAGACGGAACAAATTTACCGATGAGTGGGGTTGTGAATTCCTGCATGGATTATGTACATCCTTACTTCTGTACTTCCTGCTAAAATACTATATCGATGCATGTAAATACATGGGTATATTACCTGCATGTCCTTGTGCCCGTCAAGAAGGGTATGAACGTCCAGTGATTGAAGACACTCTGCCATTTTATTGGAGTTGTCAGTTGGACAATTAAACTTTTTGGCGAATCGTGCAGCCTGCTCTTTGTTGTTTCGATATAGGGTCCAGTAGTCTAACGCAGACGCACTCTCCCTTATTGCTCGTGAAAATAGACCTTCAGGGTTGGTATTAAATATTAATAGTGCGGAATATGAATTTCCTAACGAATGTGTCACACATAGTTGGACTATACCTTTGGATAATGGACTGAGCATATGATAATGGACACTGGCTGCCCCAGCAGATTCCTAAGTTAACATTAGGATAATACTCCAGGTATAAAATTAAAGGCTGTATGTATATAGTTAAACAAAATACGCTGAATAAATTTTACCCCAATAATGGTGACTTTTGTCTTGTCCCCTTTAAACGCATCTATATTTCTCTGTACCCACTTCAAGGCGAGATTTTGATCTTTCAGCCCAGCGTTTCCTCGTATGACCCCGTCACCAGAGGAAAGAAACCCTTTTCATACATATGTATGTACACTTAAGTACGATTTTAGGATAATAAGTACATAAATGCAATGACATATTAAAGCAGTTATTTCCATACCAAGAGCACCTGTAATTTAATTAATCGAATTTAATTCAAGCAAAGATGTGATACGATATAATTTTTTGATATTTATGTAGTTTACCAAGTCTGTAATGAATTGTTACCAATATCACTTTATGATCCAAGAAATAGTTTGCTCCAGCAAGGTGAGAGCTGCCGAACATGAAATATCCACCATGGATGTAAAAAATTACTGGTAATTTTTCGCCTATTGGAATCTTATGTATTTAACACACAAGAAATAAAAATATTATTACTTGGTTTATAAATACAATACATCGGTAGGATAACCTATCTCCAATGTAAGAATTAACTTGTTGTTTTTGGTAGATTTATTGTTCAGTGGTAATTTTATAAATTTGCTTAGTAAACGTAATCGTAATACTTATATGTATGTACCTATGTGTGATACATACATTCATTATGACGATTATTTTATATATTATATTATAGATAAATATAAAAATATTCATACCTTTTCGGGAACGTAAACGTTAAGATAAAGGCAGTCTTCACTAAAGATAATAATCGATAATTTAATGTTTACACGGAATATTTATCAAGTATTAGATGATACTTAACCTTAAGACACCATTAATTACCTTCCCAGCTTTATTCCCAGGACCAAATAGTCAAATTGTGCACACATTTCGCCAAATTTCGAAGCGTCTAAAATGCCATCCCATTTTTCGGCAGGGACTGGTCCCTATAATTAATTATTTGTAATGAATTAAGTATTAATATAATTATTTGAATGAATAACACGTCACAGAATAAAGCGGCGTGATCAATTGAATTAGGATGATATGCAAACCATAAAACGAAGCCGTCCAACGGGGGGCTGTGCGTAAGGAATCGATAGATATGCCAAATACTCCTGCCCATTTCTTGAAGTCAGTTTAATTCCCTGTATTTTGCCATCTTCTAACTGAACTACAGGACCAGGAATCGTCCTTATGAATTTATAATATATCACAAATGCAAAAAGTGCCACCAAAAAGGCGGACAATTTTGCTATCGATTTTATCAACCCCATATTAGTAAAGAAGCAAAAGAAATACTGAATTCTGACCGAGAGGATGACACTTGACAGTATGTGCAGCCAGTGTCCAGCAAATGTTTACAACCTTGCGAGATGAATAGCTGGATATCAAGGCTAACAAGTTTATGAGCAAGTGGTAGAACTGCTACATTGCAAAAAATTATGCAGAGTTGAGTAGCATTATGATAGTCTATAAGGTAAAGATATATATAATAGCATGCGATGATTTTCGATATTGTACATGAGAAAGTTATTTAATGGTTTACTAGAAATAACTACTTTAAGCTATTATATACACCTTATAAGTATATAGTAGATCTACTTATGATCCAAACCAATGTGCAAAATGTTGTATTACACCCAATAATAAGCGTTAATAACATTTTATATGAGAAAGTGAAGCTGTATTAATGTATTTTTTATAGCAAACTTTTACAACGAGTAATTGAATGAAATAAAAAATACTCAACAATTATGTAAAAATTCAAGCCATTTTATCGCCTAATATGCAAAACCCACCCATTTATAAAAATCTCTGCGAGATCTGTACATTTCATGGATATAAAAGTCAATCACATGAAACTGATGTTGACTTGGCCCCAAGACATTGCGGGCAGGCACTGTTTGATAATTTCATTGAGTAACATGTGCTAAAAAAACATATACTGTCAATCTGAAAAACGATGTAATTATACTTTACACCTAGTGATTAATTTAGCGTCAATTGTTCCAAGCTGCTTTGTCAAAATGTCTGAAGATCCCTTTCACCAAGTCCTCCAAGTTTTCTTCGAGACAGCACTTGCTCCCACGTCGTCGCCGGTTTGGAACGGAATAAAATCTGCACTGTCTTCCTCGGAAGAACAATTCCCCCAATTATACGCCTTCCTCCTGCAAAACCTTCTCGAGGACTACAATTGTCGTCTCCTGCTCAAAAGCAGTCACATCGACCTACACAAAAACCCTTCCAACTTTCCATCCGTATTTGTGGAACATTACAACACGAGTGAGACGATGGGCTGGTGTTGGAAACGGTGGGTGGTTCCTAACTGGCCGGAAATGGATGCTCTGGCACCTCCAGAACTTGGAATTAACTTCTCTTTGGCGGATGTAATGCATACATATTATTACCTTCAACAGAGCGAAAGTCTTGATATTTTTTAAACTGGTTACCTATTCCAATTTTGCAGGAAGTTGCAAAAAAATTAATAAACTTTGTGACGGTAGAGAAAGTAGTTTCCAAACCAAAGTGGAGAATGGCAGCAGTACAATTTAATCCTAAGGATATACTGGAAAAGTCTGTGAAATACATATTGCTGAATTATGATGCCAATATAAATCTCCAAAATTCATTATGGAGGGTAATAATGAGACTAATTTTTTAATTCACAAACAATTTAGTAAGTAAATGAATGCAAATTTTCTCTTAGGTGGAAGTGGCCATGAAATCAGTTAATGGAGGCGACAATGACAATTCTCTTAAGGAAAGTCAGGATTCCCGTGTTTTATTGGCACACTGTATACTTCGTTTATGCAAAAGTCAAAATTATTTAATAATTAATAACAACGAAGTTCTACAAATCCCTGACTCAATGCCCATTCCCCCAGAAAACATACTTGTATCATTCACTTCTAAAAAATTATGGTCTGGCTCTGAGGGAGAGGAGAAAATTATAGTGGAAATTAATTCAAAAGACTATTATTCCCAATATTCAGAAACAGTTGTTATTTTGTATAATTACGCACGGATTAAAACCATATTGGAAAGATACGAAGGTCTCGCTGAGAGTAAAGAATATCCTAAATTGCCTCCATTGGATAATGTCGATTTCAATTTGATTGGTGAAAGCAAAGTATGCGGTATATAATTATAAATACTGGCACATTTTAGACTAAATATATGTATTTATTTCCGCTGATTTTGTGTTACAATTTAGGATGAATTTCCAATAATTTTGATGCTGTTCATGTGGCCAAGAGTAAAACATACGGTGATAAATATTCATCGTAAAGGAAAAGGATTTGCCAAGATTAATCTCCCCTTTTTATTTGATTTTATCAAAAGTCTTGCCAGAGCTTTTGATTCATTTTACAACAGAAACGTGGTAATTGTGGTAAGTTAATTTTTACATCATTCAAGCAATATGATCAAAGTTTGCTTACGATGTGTTTCGCTTTTCAATTCATAGCCTCCAAGTGCCCCACACAATTTTAGGTCGGTTAATATATATTATTATTGCTTTAGGTCAATGACTGATTGTATATTATTACTTTAGGTCGATGTTTTGTAGGCTTTATCTACTGAAGGCACTCGCTGTGGTTTTTAAAGACTTTATTTACCTTTCCGGAATCCAAATGGATTAAATCGTATTATGATTAATAAATCAATTTTACAACGTGTTTTCAAAATCAGAATATTTTTCATTTATATGGTTATATTATGCACTTTATAATACCGAATAACAATTTAGTAAGATCAATGTTAAAGATACACATATACCTCTCAAATGCATGATGTGAAATATTTTGGAGAATTTGTAACCAAAGTTAGAAAATGTATAGCTCATATGTTCCGTGCTCACCGTCGACGAGTTTTCGACGACTTCCCTGCTCTGCCATTGCGCTTCTTCCTCGTCTTGTCGCCAGTGTCTTCTTCTTCCTCGGGTGGTGGGGGTGGCTCCTCATCCTCTCCTCCTCCCGCGGGGGACGGCTTTTCCTCGTCCACAGGCTCCTCTGGTTTCTCCTCCGCCTGCTTCTCCTCATCCTCCATTTTATTGTTCTTACTTTCACCACCTATGTTTTCAGTTCATTAGTGAGCATCCAATCTCCATACATGACGAATAATATGGCCTCCATTAGACAGGCAATACCATCATCTGACGAAACTGGCTCACTCGGAGAACCTCCTCCAGAAATTGTATGATTTTGTTTTTTCATAAACTTCACCGTTTCCTCCTTTGCCCTCCGGTTAAAGTATTCCGTCCTTCCTATCGGGTCAAAGTGCGGCGTTGATGCAATAGCGTGTTGAACACATGCAAGAATCTTCATTCGTTCTTTGGGAATGTCGAACCCTTTTTTAATTATAATGAAAAAATATGTAACAAACATTGGACATAATAGCCGAAGCAAATATTCATATTTATCTTTTGACCATGAAACCTATTTAATTAGCGAGATGGATAAATTGTGAATTCAATTGAGACTGTTAGCCATGCAAGAAGGGATAAAAAGACAACAAACTAGCTCTTCAAACCAGAAAGACTTGAAAATGAAATTATGGAAAAATTTTTACGGTGAAAGAACCTGGCCTTGATGGATTATGCATATAGACTCGTGCATAAATAAAGCATATTTGGTTACTTTACTAACACTTATTGTTTTCAATTTTAATACTCATCTTACCGTGGAACATGATTTCATACAATCTTTGCCAGTGTCCAGGTTTTTCCCTACGAAATGTAAGTTTTTTATTATTATATAGTAAAAGTAACATAAATCCGAATGCATACCATTGGACGGAAACGGCGTCAAAAAACGACTCCTTTAATAGGCTGTCCATCAAAATCCAGTCATTTGTCTTATATTCGTTAAGTAAATTGCACGAAGGAGTGATTGCATTAAACATGTACCTACGTATCAATGTGGGAATCATTAAACTCCATCATCCAGTTTGACAGTAGCATTGAAAAATTAATTGTTAAAATACTCACCACACTTGTTCAATGACTGTGTCATAATTATGATCCAACACCATGTCCCACATAACTTCACTTTCTGGGTCAGAGTCATCCGGCCTTGCAACGAATGGTGCACAAGATGAACCATCCATCTGAGATTTCAGTGAGAATTAAAATTATGATAAGCTTGTGAGCCATGATAAAGCTAAACATCTATAGTGCAGCTACCAGAGGGTTCATTCCATGCCCGAAATGACCAAAACAAGAGTCAATAAATAATGTCGCATGCCTCCAATAGTCATCCGAAGGTATCGCCTCCACAGGACCCTTTGCCCACACAACTTTCATGTGCAGAATGAAAATATTCTTGAGAAGGGCAAGGTATTGATAATTGACGGCCGGACAAATTTCATGAAATACTCCGACAATCTTGTACAAAAGTTGAACCATATTCTTGCCCTATATAAGGATTTCCGAGTCAAGTTAGCAGCCAAATATATTTCCCCTTTAAAAAATACCTCATACGGATACTTTAAAACTTCGTCTTCCTCAATTCCTTTAGTAACACGGCCCTTCCAAATTTCCATGAGTTGACCAAACTTCCCTTTCATGTCGTCGCCTCCTCCAGATCCGCACACATCAGACATAGTTTTGGCACTAAAGTCTGTACGAACATTAAAATACTTATCTGGGTCGCTTAAATATATTCTCATATGAAGCAATTGTGTACCTGACTGAACATGAATGCTGTGAATCCCAATACCATAGCAGTTTTGCCCGTTAAAAATTCTCGCCTTTGCTCCGTCACATCCCGGTTTGATGGTTTTAGAACCGGTGAGTTTGAGGGAGGAATCTACCGTGGGGATGAGACACAGTCCGTTCGCCTCTTCTCCAAAGACGGGAAAAATGCAGACATCACTGTTGATGCTCCAGGTGGAGTCTCCAGAAAAGATGATGGAGCCCCCTTCTCCACTGAAACTCCCATTTTTACCACTAACCACTTTCGGGTCAGACTGGAAATGATCTTTCGGAAACACGATAAGGCCATCTAAAAAGGGGTCCCTCATCCCTCCCAAGGGTTGCATGGATGCAATCTATGATTCCAGCAGCTATTTAATTTATAATTTCTATGTTATTAGAGGTGATCAAGGGATTTCATACATTTTCAGTTTCTACACAATACTCTCCAACAACCAAGGTAATGTACGTGCGACCCCCAATCATGTAGTTTTCCTCGGGATAAAGCAACCATCTGAATAAAATATTTTTTTGTGTGATGTAATAAATTAGCGAACTTTTGAAAACATTTTGCATGCTTCGGACATTAACATTGAGAAACTGGTGTATGAATGAATGTATAGAGGGTGAGAATAAAGAATGCCTAAGCTTCTCAAATGGAATGAGTACAAGAAACTCGCACCATTAAAAGTGGCAAGGTTTCTGGCCTACAAACATGACCAAAAACCAGAAGCTCGTACTTGAAATGGTTCAAAAATGTGGAGCAAGTAGCAACATCACTCTGCTACTGTTTTGCGCTAACGTTTTAAAGATTTTCATACGAACATGTACATGTTGGGTTTTGTCATTTGGAGTATTCCTTAATGCCCATGACTGTTCACAAGTTTGATGGCTATTGTGAGCGTCATAATTTTTCCCCATAAGCACCACGAGCTATCCAAATCACGCACTTTATGATAAATTGTCCTCATATTTAAATTCGTGCTCGTCTTTTCTTGTTAACCCAGTAGTAGACCTTTACACTGTTATCACTTTCACTATTTTCAATTAAGGGCAGTTCGTGAAACACGGCTATCAAAGAAATTTAGTTAAGCACTTTTGAATTTTTCAAGACTTAGTTTCATCTGTATATTTTTTTTTACTGTGTTTTGGGACAGTTTGTGCTTAGTACGTTTTGAAACCCATTTAACTTGCTTCAATTTACGTATACATCATGTCCATACGCCCACCGTAGGTAGAACGGGTTCCTCGGGTGGATGCCCGTGCTTGCCCCACTCTTCGTATGTTTCTGCGACGCCAGTCAGGCAGGTCAAAAAATTGAATTTTGTATTCCTCATTCACCGGAGCTGCCCTGTGCGCGATTAATTGATTTTGGGAGCATTCTTTTAATAGGGAAAAGTTACAAGTGTTTTTTCACTCACGCGCAAAACAAACAACACGCGTTTTGCGATTTGTTCCGCATTTTTTGCTCTCATTTTTGAACTATTTGAAGTACGGGCTTCTGGTTTGCGGATCCTTGTAGACATTTATCATCAACCATGCCACTTTTAGTGGTGAGATTTTTATTTTTTCAATAAATTTATGTACATCTAAAAAGTTTTGAGATTCTTTATTGCATACGTAAAACTTACGCTCCCTCTCCTCTCGTACACACAACCGTATGACCTCCCATCAAATTCTTCTCGGCCAACTTGTTCAAACTTTTCCAATGGTCCTTATTTGACCTCGAGTACTGCACATATGGTGAATCTGGGGTTTGAACTTCAAACAGCAATGCATCGTAATGATAACGCCGTACCATGGCATCACTTATCGTTAATAGCGAAAGTGTTAAATGCACAAGTAAATTAATGTGTCCCATTGTCCTAAAGGAAACAAATGTTATTTTAATTGAAAAAACTTGTATCCATTTGGCATAAATACTTTGTACGTCTAATTATGTTACTGCATGCAATCTATTCTAAGATGGTGGTTGGTTGTTGTAAAACAATATAAAATATGCAGGCATATGACATACGTGTACCCTGATCGACAATTCAATTCATTTCCCGTTTGTCATTTGCGTTTGTCCAATACTAGGAAATATTATAAATTGACTGTTTTCATTGGCATAACCCTATATTTTGAAAACAATGAGAAGGGGAGGAAATAGCCCTGCAAAATTTGTTATTGAACTCGTCAGTCGTATACTTACCTATTTAATTTGTATGAACTCATTTCTTCATTCATGGGAAGACGTTATATAAATATATTTATTTTTGAATATCATTTATTTGCGTGCTCTGATTCCATCCATTGGTGTAATAACAAAATGATTATTTACTTATTGATTTATAAATGCTACGAAATTATACAAATGACGATATTATGTATGCCGTGGTCGTCGTCCTTATTTTGGGGCTGGTGGTACTGACATTCTTTTTGGCTTCAAGGATTGCGACCTACCCTTTGGATGAGACGACTTGTTCTTTTTCATCGATGATGATGAGTCCTGTTTCTTATTCTTGCTCTCCTTATGCTTGGACTTATCTTTACCCTTCTTAACTTTCTCGTGATATTTCTCCTTCTTTGTGCTCTCTTTTTGAGCTACTTTTTCTTCACCGGCGTCCTTTAGTCCCTGATTATTATCCTGACTTTCCTTTGGAGTATTGCCAAACTTTTTATCGCCTTTAGGTTTCTTGTATTTCTTTTCTTTTGCTACTCAAATATACATTACCGTATCACTTGAGAGAAATAATTAAATCATAACTTGAAGACTTTGTTCATATGCAATCTGTACCTTTTGACATTGTTCTGCCACTTGGCTGCTTCTCTTTTTCCTTCTCTTCGTCTGGAATTTCCTCGATTGGTTTCTCAGTTGGTTCCACTACAATTGGTTCGAGAATTTCTGGAATTTTTTCTGGTTCTTCCATCTCATTCAACTTTTCCGAATCTGCTTCCCTAGTCTCTCGGGGGGCTTCTTGGGAAGGTTCTTCCGGCCATGAACTGTTTCGGCTCTCAAAAAATATTTTGTTGAACCCCGAAGTTCTTGAGACGGTAGATTTGAATGATCGTTCGTTGTGAAGAGAAGCACATGTGAAAGAAAATATTAATTATTAGGGAAAGTTGGAAAGAAAGTTTTTAATAAACTATTTTAATGCCAAGTTGGTAATGTGGCTTTCAGTTGCCCATAATTGAAAAGTAAGAACTTTTATGGTTGCTAGTTATATATGTAGAATTAGTGGCATCGGAAGCCGTGGGGGTATCTGGGGGCATTAACATTGTAATATAGAGGAGGGAGGGGTTTATATATGTAACATGGGCAGAAGATGGGGACATTTTCCCTCTGTCCACACGCGTTCGTCGAGCACTGTACAGAATTGTTGCTAAAATATGAGACAGATTTAAAAAAAATTGATGTCAGACCATCAATATTTCGTGAAATTTGAAATCTTTGACATGTAAAACTAATGAATAAAGATTCCATGCCCCCTTTAGCGGATAATTCAGTTTTGTTTGGGGAATTTCGCATGAAAATTGTTAATGTATTAAAAAAAAATTTAGTCTGATTTTCTTGCACATTTGTTTGAATTTAAAATCAAAGTTAAGCTTATCTTAAAGCCATAAATATGCTAGTTTCGAAAAATGCCACAATTTTCAAGTAGAACGAACTTATTTCACATTTAGCGAAAGGCTGCTAACTATTGTCACTTAGCGTGTACCATTAGCAGATTATATTTAGCAACGATTTCTCGTCATTAGTCTCCAGCACTCCACTCATCATTACCAGTTATCTTCCCAAACTGGAAGTTAACTTTATCTTGATGATTATTAATATGAGACCCTGATAAATATTATTATCTCGATTTCCTGATTATTATTAAGTTTATATCAAACCTACGCATGTAGTGAAAAGGTCTCAAAAATTTTAAACAAACCATAAAACATTATTAATTATCTACCGTCCAACAGGGTCCATGTGAGGGACAAGGTCAAGTCCTCCTTCAACACAGGCCAGCACTCTTGCGTATTGGTCATGAATGTCATAGCCGTGAAACATTATTGGATAAACTCGCTCCCAAATGCCAGGGTTCATCCTAAATATCATAAGTTTATTGGTGTGATGATGCCAAAAGTATGGTTAGTTTATTTGGCCATGTAGGTATGCAGTTTTGTAAGTGTGTAAGTACCATTGTGCTTCCAATGGTTTTAAGAAAACATTTTTAAATACTTCTGGAAATTCTACCTGTAATAAGAAAAAAAATTGTTTTTTACTGTTCGTTCAAAATTAATATGCAGTAAATGGATACTTACCCATTGGTTGGTAGCATAATCACCTAAATGACTGCAGTACGGTGCAACAAAGTTAAGCATGAGCCAAATCTGTTCAATGACTGTATCAAATGTATCACTCTGCAACATTAAATCCATCGCAAGGGCTTTCCGACCATCGGCAAAATCAATACTCTGTTTTGGATGACAAAACGCTTGAGCTTGGAAATCCCCCTGGATTCAGCAAAAGATTGTTATTAATCTGCTTATTAATCTGTATTGTCCAAATACGTAATACCTGACTATCTTTAACTGCTGCCCAACAATGGGCCAAGTAGTCGAATGTGTCCGAAGGGTCGAAATTCTTTTCCGGTCTAACTTTCCACAAGTCTTTCAAGTGATTGAGATACACTTGCCTATGAGTATATACAACAATGAATGAGGATTTCATACATGCGTACAGAATCATTCATGCCCTGCTCGAATTTAGCGACAGAGCAAAGAAAAAGTGAGCTTAGATTGTACTGCGATTTATATATTTACTTATTCCGTCAGGCGTACCGTTATAATTACTAGAAAAATGTGTTCATACTTACCCTAGAAGGCTGAGGTAATGCTGATTTACGTATGGACAACCATCTACGAAAATATCGAGAAATTGCAGAAACGCGTCTACTTTTGGCGAATCTTCCAAACTATTGAGCTGCGTTCTTCCAAATGATTCACTTTCATACAAAATCCGTGATTTCCACACATCCAAAATTTTTGCAAATTCCATCGAGGCCAAATTCTTTTCGTCTTGTTGGCCTGAGCCTTTGCAAATTTCAGACATTGTTGTAATCTTCATATCTTAAACAAATACATGAAACACATTTTATTATACATGCAAACGTTAATATGCATGCAATTAATAATAACGACATAAGTAGTATTTGGAGAAATTCAATGTAATTTGGTTTACCCCCTGCGATGGGTACCTGCTCAACCCCTTCGTCAAAACAAGTTTGCAGAAAAAAGAGTTTTAAGTCTTTATTCTTCTCAAAGTCACACCCATGTTTTATACTGATTTGCGAAGAGGTCAACCCCAATTCGGACGCCACGTCCGGTAAAACACAAATCTTGGGATCTGTAAAACTTCGCCAAAGGCAGTATTGGCTTTTCCCCTTCTTGCCAGTCCCTTCCAACGTTATTCCAGAATATCCCCAATAAATCAACGATTTGAAATCCCCTGAAGTGCTCCCGTTGTACAACAACTTGGCTTGAGAAGCAAAGTATGGCTTGGAAAATAAGGCTAAGCTGTCTGTTTGATGTGCAAATACAAATCCAATTGTTTGGACAGAGTTAAGCTGTGCATAAGATTGAAATTATTAGAAAAAGCATATGCAAATGCGTAACGTTTTCAAAATTTACGATATCTGCAGGTGCACAAGCATCCCCGGTTATTAGTTGATAAAACGTCCCATTGTGATCAAATGACTCTTTTGGGTATGCAATCCATCTTTAAATGTAACATATTTCTATTAGAAACTCCGAGTATTTAAAGTAATTTTTTAGAATCTAACCCCCCAGGCCCAACCGAACAAAACATTGATTTTGATCTTAATTTATGTTTTATTGCCAGTTCCGTCAAGTTTTTCCACTCGTCTTTATTGGTGTTTATAAAATCCACTCTTCTAGAGAGACCAATACCCTCATCGTCGAATAAGATCGCCGAATACAAGTATCGTCGAATGAGCTTATTGTACGAAAGGTGCACATTCGCTACAAGGACACAAATTAAAAGACTAAAATGCTTCATAGTGATCATGCTCACTAATTGCCAGACAAAATAATATTAATAGACGGACAAAGCATTACAAACTGCTTGTCACAATATATACATATGTATGTATGTTATGTATGTAATTCGAAATGCGGAAGCTCAACATTTCGTGGAGGGTGTATAAAATATCGTACCTATCATCAGTATTGTTTATGATTTTGAGTGTTATTTATTTATTTATTTATTTATTTACTTTGTAACAATTGAAACATTTAATGACCATGCCGTGCCTTACGTACGTATAATAAGTACCTGTCATTGTTATACATAGTATTATAATAATGATTTACGTAACCGCTAATACAAGCTAACTCTCAATTACAATTGAATCCTTAATATCTAACATGTTAAGATATGCATTTACTCCACTGTTTTATAAGTCGAAGGGTACGAAGCATCTTAAAATTCTACTGTGGCATTATTATTAAAATCTCTAGTCGTAGAATTCGTAGTGGATTGTCCAACATTGCTCAAGCAGTGCAAAATTTGTTGCTCAATTTGTCCAATATTCAATCCATTTAATCCAACTTCATAAATTGCATTCCAGTCCAACCTGGAATGGGAGAGAAAGTTGTGAACCTTTTGATAAAAATATTCTTTGAACGAGAATTTGTCAGAACATTTTGTCATTAGTAAGTTTAACAAGTGTGGGAAAAAGTTGACGAAAGGAAGCTCCAAATACTCCAAACTACTTTCCGGCACTATGAATAATTTTGTATCATTCAAGATTTGGCACGTTTTTGTAGTATTGGTATTTGTTGTTTTCATTAAGCTAGATTTGTTGAGGCTGGTAAAATTTTGAGGCAATGACAAATTACAAAAGTCCAATGATACATGAAATGCGGTTATAGCATCAACAAATGACTGTTTTTCAGTTTGAACTTCCATGCTACGAAATATGTGATTTGCGATAACGCCAAACAAATGAGTTAGAACAGTAATGTAATCGACTGGCACCATCGGACAATTGATCTGATGAATTAGAAATCCTAATTTTGAGTTGGTTAACTCGTATTTTAGTAAATCATGCAAATGGTTGGCTACGCGAGGAGCAATGTTTCCTTTCTCCTCATGCATATTTTCGTACGAGCGATTGGTCATTCTCAGGTTCCAAATTTCGAGAATAATTGCGTACTCTTGAATTAGCCGTATATGTATCGTTTCCAAGTATTTTTTACAAGTCGTAGGCGGTTGAAGGATTTCTGTTAATGACATTCTTTAGTTAATTGGCAATTTGTACCATTTTCATAAATTAATAACAATTTAATATAATCTTTCACTTTGGCAGCTCACCACTTTCCACAATAAGCGTATGGTAACCTTCAGAATAGCAGGATTGCTTTACCACTGGTGTAGTTTTTTGACATCCTCGTTTAATTTTAATTTTGTCTGTCGCTTCTCCCATCACTAAATCAATGTCCGGAATTCCACAATAAGTCAATTTCTTTTTCTTTTTTGGAGTACCCAGCAAGCAAAATTCAGATGTGGCTTTCATTTCTCCTTTGTGGGTCAAGACGTATCCTAACACCGTCCAGTTGAAGGGCCCAGTATGAATCAATGACTTTATTCGTCGTGCAACGCTTGGTTCCTGTGAATCTAAATTCGTCAAAGTATACCCTGACGTGTAGTAAATGTTCTCGAACGTTAGCAGCCCCGGATTTAGATGAGTTCCAAATGGTTTCTTAATTAGGTTTCTAATGTTAATCGGCCCGAGGGACTGTATCGATGCAACCTAACGCACACATATAAAATTAAAGATGCATCAAAGATACAAAACTATTTGTGTATGTATTGATATATGTATGCAACACCTTATCAGTTTTGATACAAGTTTCTCCTACCATAATTTGTAGACTCATGGCACTACCCACCGTGAAATTTATCTCGGGATAAGCGAGCCAACTGTATAAAAATTAATTTCAAGTGTATTATTTCGATATTGCGTGTATTCGAATAATTTTGCATACCCCCCACTTCCATACGTGCAAAACAATGCACTTGACTGTAACCCGTGTTTGACCGTTAGTGCAGATAAATTTCTCCAATAGTTCAATCCACCATTGCCGATGGTTTTGGAATATAGCAATGATTTTGACCAAGGATATGGTTCCTGATAAAGGATTCCATTAAAGGCCACCCTAGATAATTTTTGAGTGTGGAGAAATACGCAAGGAATGCAGACTACCAAATTGAAAATACTAATAGACCACATTATAGTTGTTTTTATCGATAAATCATGAAACACTAAACCTGGGCTTTTGTATAACACAAGTCACAAATCAAAGAAGAAAAGGAAAATGTTTTTCATTTTCTTCAACCAACATAGGAAATGGATGTGTAGGTATTTTTGTTTTCAATATGAAACATGATTCCACATTATTTTGATGCGTGTTTTAAATTAAACAAATGGGTTTAGGTATACACATAAATGATGCATCATAGCATATTTAACAAAGAAGTGAACGTGTATGTATGGTGTGTACGTAATACTTGCATGCAACAACGATTTTGTCAGTAGGCACGCTTAAGTTTGATCAATACATTCTTCACCCCTATTATTATTGATGCATACACATAATATCAGGCTCAACTAAAATTTTGACAAACTCTTGAAGATTTTATATTAATTGTGTCACTAACAACTTTTCCACGGACGAAGATGACAACCGCATCAACGAGGAAGGTATCTCAGACAGCATCGGAACAAATGGAGGATCGAAGTGAAGAAGAGGAATTGAAGCAACTACGAGAACTAACGACGGAAGATGAGGAGGAGGAGGAAGAGTTTGTTGATGATTTGAGAGGAAATAGACAACGTCGTAAATTTGCACGAGGGTCCACTTCGGCGTCACTATTTTCTAGAAAAAATACCCTCCTCTCCATCACTCAGTCCTTGTTGGGGTTCGAGTTGGATGATGATGATGGTCATCACAGCCGGGGGCAAGTAGTTGTCCCCTCGTCTGATGAGGATTCATCCGCCTCCTCCCAGGCCGTTGGTGACTGGAATGAACAGCAGATTGCATCGCCAGAGTTGCCACAAGAATACTGGCAAGTGCAGAGATTGGTCAAGTACATCAAGGTGATTGCCAACATGTTTGCACATTGTATTTTGTACACATAAATCAATGTTTACCAATAATTAAATATGATGCATTTCTTAGGCAGGAAACCAAACAGGTATCTTGAATTCTAAAACAACAAGAGAAAAATTTAATCATTTTTCACCTACTTATCTCCTCCAAAAACAGCTACAATAATCGCACTTTCCGCCCTACGCGATTATGACCTGCATGACGAAATAATTCAAAGGGCCATTAAGGACAGCGGGGGCATGGAAGTTCTCTTAAATATTTTGGAAACAGATGAAAGTCGTTGCAAAATTTCCGCACTGAAGGTTATTCGAGATGTGACATACAATTCGGAAATTAGTCGGGCTTTGTTCAATATGAGGGTATGTATAACACGCCTGATGAAGTTTATAAATCCCGAATGAAAATTCATTTTTTGACACATATGGTTTATTTATAAAGGGACTGGAAACACTGGTGGAGTGTCTGAAGGAGCCAATAACAGATATAAGGCTCCTTACTGCCGAGGCGATTTCAAATATTTGTAAATTGAGAAAAGCTCGTCGGGCAATGAGAATGAGTGATGGAATCAATCGACTGGTGAATATGTTGCTGCTTTAATTAATCCATAAGTACGTAAACCTTATGGATTATGCATGTAGGTTGACATGTTGGAAGCGTCTGATAAGGACTGGCAGTTGGCAAGATGTGGAGCTCTGGCCTTGTGGTCATTGGCACGATCTACCAAAAATAAAGAAGCAATAAGAAAAGCGGGCGCAATACCTCTTTTGTCAAAGTTGATGATGACAGATGAAGTGGACGTGGTCATTCCCGTCGTTGGAATTTTACAAGAATGCGCTTCTCAACCCACTTTCAGGTGCATTAACTTATATACCTAGTCAGGTACGAAATTCTTTGATAAACGTTTTTTACTGCAGAAAACTAACGGGTAAGAATTTTTAATTACAATTTTCCATATGGATGCATAATATACCTCTGTATAATACAAAAATACTAAGTATCCAAATTTCCTCTTCTAGAGTACACACACTTACAAAATCTGACGATAAACTGATCGCTCGGATTACGCACACTTTCCTGTGGAAACTTATCCTAAGCCTTGCGTAAATTTAACAAGGAAAATTAAAGAATTTGCACTAAGAAAAAATCATACATACCCCTGGCAAATAGAAAACGTCGAAGATCTCATCCCGCTAAGTCTTTGATGGTTTGGGTTTGAATTAATCTGCTGGAGAAAGCGAAACCCTGTTTTTCTCTAGAAAGGGTTACAGTGCAAGCCAAGAATTACATTACCAATGTTGCCAAGCTTAGTTTAAAACCTTTAAAGTTCGGTCTATTGAAAAATAGAAACTGAATTTCTTAAAAGGTCACGGCTCAGCAATATTGTGCAAAAATTGTCGAAAATTGACTCTGAGCTCATTTCATCGATTTAATTTGGTCACAAAAATGCCAACAGCAATAGCAGACCTTAATCATCCGGATTATGACTTGCGGCTCAAAATAGGGACCATGGCCTGCTCTAAAACTTCCACTGGTGCAGAAGTTCTCAAATTTTGTTTCTCAACGCTTGTGACCATTTTCCGGTAGAAACCGTGCGTGCTCCAAGCGACCGGCCGTCCATCAGATTTCTCAAGCGTGTGTACTCCAGCAGAGAAAATTTGGAAACTTAGTATTTTTATATTATGCACAGGTATATTATGCATCCATACGGAAAATTTTAATAAAAAATTCTTATTCGTTATTTTTCTGCAGTAAAAAACGTTTATCAAAGAACTTCGTACCCGACTATGTACTTTCATCAATGTGTTTCTGACTACGACAAATGCAATACCTCACAACTTTCCACAGGGAGGCAATTAGAACACAAGGACTTTTACACCAATTTGTATTTGGGTTGAATAGTGACAGTGCCGAATTGGTCCAATTTTGCGCAAAAGCTATTTACATGGTCATTTTTTATTTTTTTAGCAAAGCAATGTTTTACTTTTTTCGAAATTATGGATTTGGAAATATTTTAGTGTGCCGAGGATGAAGAGTCTCGCGAAATAGTTTATCATCTGGGGGCTGTGGAACCTCTGTTGAGGATTATTCAGAATGTTGAATTGAGAAAGAATAAGGTATCAAAGTCGTCTATCTTAATTTGTACACAATATTTATGTATGTAATTACCTCATTGGGATTATAGCAATATAGCAAACACCTACATATGTATTTAAATATGTATGTCTAGCCTCTTTTAGCTGCAGCGACTGGAGCTATTTGGAAATGCAGTTCTGCCATTTTTAGGAAAGGTGGAGAATCTTCCATTTCCTCCATAATTGCCGAGGGTAGTCCTACTACCGGGTACAACAGCAGTGGGGAAATGAGCACGGAAGGAATTATTCACCTCCTCGTGAGCCTTTTATCTGACCAACCTGAGGAGGTTTTGGTCAATGTTGCTGGAGCATTATACCAAATAGCGAAAGCGGATTTGGAGTACAACGCCCCAGTAATTAAGAAGGCAGACGCAATACGACCATTAATGGCTCTTCTAACAAGAAGTAACACGGTAAATATTAATATTTGAGACGTATTTTAGAACTCTTCTGCTACTAATTTATCGCATTTTTATACTGGATTTCAGGAGTTGTTAGTAAACACGACCAAGGCTATGGGAGAATTGGCAAGGGACAAAGATTGCCGAATTGAAATGGAAAATTTGGATGGATTTCGTTTGGTTTGGTCTCTTCTTAAGCATGATTCATCATTAGTCCTTGCTTCTGCTGCTGAAGCCATCTGTCCTTACGTTGAAAATTCGCTGGTACATTTTTTTTCAAAGTTAAAGTAGCGATGTGCGCTTGCTTGTACTGGCTTAATTTTTTGTAGTAAAATTACTAACGTAGTGCATTTGCAGGACTCGGGACAAATGGTACGAAATTATGTGGGTGGTCTTGAGACAATTGTGGTATGTGTTTTTTTAAATATAAGTGCAATATGCCCCACACAATAATGCACATCATCGTTGCAGGAATTATTGGCATCGCCTGACCCGAGTGTCCAAGCTGCAGTTGCGTATGCAGTCGGTTGTATTGCTAGGAACGTTGACAACTTGTCCATCATGAGTGACCACGACGTAGTTGAATACTTGGCGAGATTGGCTCCAACGGTTTGTTCTTATTACTACTCAAAATTAATTCACTTTCGTTATAAAAACTTACCAAGTTACATTAAATTCCGTGCAGCCCAAAGCAGGAGATAACGTACTGAAACAGTGTTTGGCTAATGCAATAGCTCATTGTTCGTCATGGGGAGAAAATAGCCGAGAGTTTGGAAGGCGACATGCTGTCGGATATGTTTGTGGTTATCTGACATTTGGCAACGGTGATGTGCACCGAGCTGCTGCGAAGGCTCTTTGTGCTTTGTCATCTGACCCAAGAAATTGTGTAACCATTCACAAGTGTGAAGGTGTAGTTCCGGTAAGCAAACTTTAATAAAGAATGGCGAAAATACAATTCTAGGGTTTTACACATATTTTATTAACATTTTCAGCTTCTTATTAATTTGAGCGGATCTGATGATGAAGATTTGCGAAATTCCGTCGCAGGAATTATGTCGAACATAAGGAAACTTGCCCTATGTGCGGAGAATGTTCGACTAATCTAAAGTTATATTTACATTCGATGCAGTACAAAACCTAAGCATTTTATATATGTATGTGTGTAAATATGCATTGCCATTGTAATCGAACCTGCAAACCTTTGTTCTGCATCATTCAAATCAAATTATGTTGCTGAATAAGAAAAACCTTTTTTTAAAATTATACTACTATTAACTGTACTCTACTTTTTGTAAAATGCATTAAATAAAAGAATAATTAAATATCCTCCTTCAGTTAATCGTGAGATAATTTAGAAAGGATCAGTTGCTTGAACTATTTTTTTGGATTTGAAAATGGAATGCAGTTTACGCCATGTATGTTGCCCGTTATTAATTAATTAAATATAAATATTATTCACTTTTTTATTTCAGGTTTAGCCTATTGACTCTTAGTCAACCTACATTCTTTAAAGAATTTTGCACTGTGTGGCTAAATTATAAAATTGTCAAGTTATTCCAATTAAAAATCAGTCTCCTTATTTTATTGTCCTTAAAGACATGCAACAAAATGGGACGATTTGCAGTATTAATTTAGTAACTAAATCCCAGCCCCTCATTGTACTCAGGAAAGGAGTCATTGTGACCTGAGAGTTCCAGCGGTCGAATGAGCTGCCGGTCATCGAGTTGATTGTCGAGATAGGCCGCGGTGACGCAGGCTCGACTGTTAACAATTGCTTGGAGCAAGTCTATTTCGCCAAATATGGGTCCGTACAACATGGGTGGACTTCCTCCCTCTCTCCTGAATTACACATATTTGTTAATGGGATACATTAGCATATGGCCATGTACATATGTATCATACCATCGGAACATCAAGTCATCCATAAAATCTTTCAAAAATGCATGTTTTAGCAGAGCAGATTCTGTAGCCTTATTGGTCATAAATGGATAACAAGTTCCAAATGCGAAGGAAAACATGTGCCAAAAGCTATCAACTACTAAATCCAGACTGTCCAGGCCATCCGCCATTTCTTCCTGAGGTTCTACTGGCACACTTTCGAGGTGATCTCCTATGGTTATGCCTACTTCGGTGATCTTAAAATGTTTGATATTAGAAATCATCATAAATAACAAATTAATGTAAGTACTTTCTTACCAAAGGGCCATCAGTATCTGAAATATCAAGCGGTTTCTCTGCATTCGAACACTTTTTCAGCATTTCCATTGTTGATTTCCAAACATCTTTGCTCTTCCCTTTGTCTCCATTCGTCGTTGGAACAGAATTTATGTAAATCATGAACAATGATTTTATAATATTGATAAACGACTGGGGGACATGCAATGATTCACAACCCTTCTTGAAAATTGTGGCGATCGTTTCCACCACTTCAACTTTCCACTCAAGGGCAGACAATTTGAGAGGTTTGCCGGATTTAAAGTCATGTTTTATCGACCAGACGAGAAACTGTTGGAGGAATTAGCACGTTTTTACATAGCTAAGCAGGATATTTAAGTCATAGTGTCCTAATGTCATTTTATTGAACGTGACATAAATTTACCGTCAACATCTGCTCGTAGTCGAAAGGCTGGGTCAGATTGATTTTTAATTTGGCATGGTCAGTCATTTTCAGAGCATTACAAACAAGCTCCTCGTCCTTTTTAATATCACGAAGTTCATAAAGCACTCCGGCCAAATTTTCTATTCCACTCCAATCGCCCTTCCCACCTCCTTTAGAAGGCTTATCGCCTGAAAAATTGAAAGAAATATTTTTTTCAGCTTGTACTACATAGTACAAATGACATTAGATAATAGTTTATTAATAACTCACCTTCATCTTGTGAGCATACACCAAGAATCATGATACATACGGCAAATAATGATAATTCCGTACCCATTATGAATTAAATGCACAAATAAAACTTCAATGTTATAAATATAATGCAACACGTACTCTGTACTGCAAAAATGAATGTGTATAGCATTAATCTTGTTAGTAGTATGAACTTTAATCAATTGTAAACATTTCCGCAAATACTGTAGGCATATAAATAATCAAGCGATATATCTAGTAACACTGGTACTATTTATGGTCTGCTCGGCAAATTGTCGCATCTCCATATACCTATTTAATATGTACATAATACATAAAGTCATTTTCAAGCAAAATTAATAATGCGAGATGAATTTTTGCAAGAGTAAATTTGCTTCGTGAATGAAAGACATGAATTCCTGTGAAACTAACATACATACATACGTGCCTACATACATATGAAATACATGCACATTTGTAGACAAACAATTAATAGCGTAAAGTGCTTTTTAGAAAGATATGAGGACATGACCATGATAAAGCAATGTGCTCAAAAAATTTAAACCACAATTTAGTGCACCTAGTTTATTAATGTTTTTCACTACTAACCTAATTTATGTATATATTAAGCGCATTTAAGAATGTGACAAAAAATTAAAAAATTAATTTAGGATTTCCGTCATTCAAACTTTCAGTTGAATTTTGTGATGCTGGGACATACATACCTATTTCAAGTAGAATTTCTACCAAATGTTTCCAAATATGGTCGAATTACATATCAGTGTGTCTAGCAATCTAAAAAAGTGTTTAGTGAATAAGTACCTACATCAAGTTTAGTATCGGTGAGTAGATTGTGTGGTGACATTCAGAATAGAAACGACCTTGGTCTTGAACTTACAGATATTTATGTGGCAGACAAGTGGAAGCACCACTGAGGAGCCTGAATTTCCCTTTGAAAGGTTCATTTCATTAATGACTCTGCGGTGTACTTACGTACAAACGGGTTCAGTGGTTGAAATAAGGGCTCCTGAATACTCCTCCCTATTGGCCCATTCTGTTTAAGTTAATTCTTGCTGGATCTGGATATGTATATGCAGCTCAAAATATTTCATGGACAACGTTTATATATTTCGTCATGTTAAGCAAGAGGCACATATATCTTTCGTAGGCTTAAAACCATTCATTAAAACCTGGGCTGCCTCAAACTCTCATTCGTCCAGTTGTTCTGTGCATGTATACGTATGTAAAAGACATGTTTTCAGCATGGCAATTTCAAATCCAGCAAGCAGTACTTGCGCAAGGATGTAGGATAACATAATTACTGACCCACAAAAACACATTTTTAATAAGATCACGTTTAGCAGCAATTAATTACGTTGGAAGTTCTTATCTGAATAGTCTCAAGGGATTGCTGCATGTAATAACAGTAAAAAAGGGTATAAACCGGCATCATTATTTTATAGTTTTTTGTGAGCCAACTTATAGAAATGTGTGCTTAATATGTGTTACATGACTCAGTTTTTTAAAGATTTTTTACACTTTTAGAGTACAACCACTACGATGACTGGATCTCAAAGAAAACCTGGACACAGGAAAATGACACACTTCTCATATCGCTCACACATTGCACATCTCATTATCCCGTTCATCAAAACCAGCCTAATTCTCATTGCATTCCCAATTTTCTCAACGTCCACATCTGAACTCGATTATGGAGATCAGACAAGTTTACAATCGCAAACAACATATCCACGAGTGCCTCTATCACCGTCAACAAGTTCTGTCAAGTGTAAATGTCAACAGGTGTCATCCGGAGAAGTGGCGTCATTATCAACGGACACAATTGAGGATAGATCACATAATACGGAACATGATTCGGCATCCAGCAAAGCAATTGAAATCCAAATCTTCAACTCAAACTCGGACCTTCGAAAGTCTGAAACACAAGTTCAATCAGACTCTCACAGCGTACACGACTCCTCATCAATCAAAAAATTCAAATCATTCAGGACTTCACAACTGTCGAACTCCAATGCTGCAGTTACACCAGATTTTCTACTTCTTGGTAAAAGCTATGGACCCTTTGCAGGACCACGAAGGAGAAAAAAGAGAGCTGTTTCCCCGAAAAATGACAAAGTTTTTTATGTGTACTCATATCCAGTTAATACTCTGGATTTGCATACCCAACCTGCTGCAACAACCGAAAAATCTCAAGATACACGATCTGCAACTCAAACCTTGCTTTCTTCATCGTCTACTTCAGGTCTCAATTTTCATTATTCCCATAAACAATTCAATAGTACTTATGCAGAACCTCCGCTTCAGGAAAGGACGACTGATATTAACGGTGTGGAACGATCTGACAATGTTAACGAAATTATTATTTCTGAAAAAATTACAACAAAACCATCGAATATAACTACTGCTACTCATCCACAACTTTCACCACCATCAAAATCGGACTCTAACAATTCCAGTCCACTGACTTCACAAACGCCAACTCTCATCTCACCGACGATAGCAACGCAAATAATTCATCAATTTCCTTCCCCAGTGCAAATTCCGTCCTACTCTTATCAGTTTCAACGAAAAGGTGACCTCCTCCACTCTCCCTGGGATAATCGTATCACTCAAACACCAGTGCCCGTTTTTGACAGAGACGCGTCTCAACCCGGATTCTTTTCTCCATTTCTTGCCAAGTTCATTGATTTTGAAGTGAATCAACAAGAATCTGCCGAATTCCTGAGAAAAATACTTTTTGCATTTGCAATTGGTACACTGATTGCTGCTTGGATTGCGTTGGGTGTGGCTCTTGGAGTATTTCCACTTCACCTCCTCTTTTCCAATGAAGAGAAAACACGGTCAAATTCTGAACTCAAACGAAATGTTCTGAATGGATCGGATTTAGACGAATTAGGGCAACGTGTGAGCCTTGCATTGGACTCGATGTGGCTTAAGGCTTTGGAAGACAGAGTTAAAAAAGATCCAGAGGGGGATTTTACTGTTGCAAAATGTTGTATACTTTCCAACTTGAAGAAAGTTGACTGCGTCCTTGTCAGGAACAACAAAGAAAGTGGGAAAGTGGGAGGGGGTCCAGTCTCCTGTGCTTCAGGTCTGGTTTATAATTTCCAATTCGGCGAAGACGACCAAGATGAAAATGACGATGTCTTGACATGATGATTATTATTGTCGTCGACATTTTGATTAGATTGTTGCAATATGCAATGTATTTGAAAGGGCTCCAATGACATTATCAGGGTATTCGCAGTTTCAATTGCTAAATTTTTAATACATATATGCGTACACAACATTTTGAAATATATAAGACTGATATAATTTATTATATGTAATTATTGCTCGTACTTCAATAAGTATGATTGATACATAAGCAAATATAAATTATTTCCATTAATTTGATACTTAGTTAAAAATAAATATGTAGGTTTTATTATTTCTCTGCACAAAATATATGTTTTAAATAAACATTTATATAAACGCCCCAACTTGTATTAGGGACGATATACCAATTATGTATCAGTCAAAAATTTGCATTCAAGTTACGTTGCATACCCCTCTTGGTTCACATAAATTAAAGTATAAAAAGTCGTAGCTTATTGTTGTCAAAAAACGGTGAGATCTACGTATACAGTTTGGTAAACATTTGCCAATGCATTTTTTCAAAGCCAGGTTTGAGACTAATTGGCTAAGAACCTAAAAATCCCCCGTTCCTGTTTATATTGCGAAGTTTAAACCTATCGTTTGCATTTGTATCTGTCATAACCAATTCGCCATTGGTGTTTTTAAAATTGTCAAACCGGTGATCCTCCATGTCCCAACGACTCATCTGTGACGGTGAGCCTGACATCCCTCCTCCCGACAATGACGACGATTCCTGTGGTGGAGGACGACTGTTGTTAAAATTATTCCTGTTTGGTGGTCTAAGTTTTTGTTTCGAAGGTGGACTCATGAACATTCCAAAAATGTTGTTGAGGTTGAATATTCCTCCCGATGATGGCGAAGTTTGTAAAGGTTGCGGAGATGGTGGGTGGTTTCTGTGAAGTCCTCCTGTCGACTTTTTTGAAAATGAAGAGTGCGTATTAGGCGCTATTTTGCGAAATCGAAGGAAAGATTCTGCAGTATGGGGTTCAGCCTCTCGTTTAAAGACGGTTGGAAGTGTGGGGTCCTTATTTAAATTGGACTGGGGAGTAGATGCCCTTTTAATGATGTGCTTGTTTCTCTGCATTTGATACAAATCTGCGGGGGTGAGCATACCAAGAGCATTTTGAGAGTAGGAAGATGTCTGCTTCGTCCTGTCCAGTTGCTTCTTCATTTCCATCAATTGCCACAATTCTTTCAACGCTAGTTTTAGAGATATAGTTAATAATAAAATACCACGTTTAATAATAAATGGCATAAAGTACTCGTAACGGACCTTGCTCTTGGGCGTATGGGGTGAGATTTGAGACGTGGTTATACGGTTTTCGCGTCGTTGTTGGTGGGTTGATAAAGAAATTTCTGCGGGTAGGATTATGGTATTGGCCTTGTTGGTGGAGTTGGAAATATCGTCGAGATGCGGCTAATTGTTGTTGCTCCTTTTCTACTTTGGCTGCGGCCTGGATTTGCTGCCCGGGTGGGGTCGGGGGATGAGGTGCAGAGTCTTGTCGCTTCTGCTTTGTCATCGGATAACGGGGTGCTTCATTTTGCAAAGGGTCGGTAAACAATTGGGGTCCAATATCCCACCTTCAATCCAGAAATTTATTAAGCATATTGTATATAAATTAAGGCACTTCATGTTGACGCTACCCATTACTTTGAATTAGCACAATGCTTACATTATTTGAGCGTCTGCAGCATCTCCAAATCGATATCCTAGACCGAGTCGAGTGTCCACGCCTGAAAAGCATTGTTTTGTATTGCAATTTTAGTGAAGGTGCTATCAAAGTGCCGCTACTCTAAGAAAATCTATTAATACATAGATATGTATAGTCGCCAACAGTCGAGTTGTGACAAAAATAAATTGCACAGATTGATTAGACTCGATGCAACAAATATATCTACAATATCTTGACATTAGATTATGATTGGTGTGTGCATGTGCAATTTATATTTACAGTGCGTGAACTCAACTGAAAACGACTTACCCTTACCACGCACGCGTGGCTTCCCACCAGCCCCACTGCCCCCGAGAATATTGGACATTGTTGAGATGACGGAACCCAGTCCTCCAAAATTAAATGGTTGCTGTTCATGAGCTTGTGGTTGATGCTGGTTGAACAAATTTCCAAAAACATTGGGATTTTGCTGCGAAGGTTGTGCTTGGGGCTGAAGTAGTCCTGCCAAAAAATTGTTGGAAATTGGCGATGCGACCGTTGGGGCCCCAAAATTGAAAAGTGAACCAGTTGACTGGAGCTGCTGCTGAGTTTGTGAGAGCGAACCCAATGTTCCAAGCAGGGTCAGAAGGCCTGATAACTGATTACTTGCGGCAGGGTCCATGTTGGCATTGCTGTTATGAAAATTCTTTAAATGCTCATTATTCCCTACTCCTCCTCCTACGATGGATTGAAGATTGAGATTTCCATTTGCATCCGCAGGTGCTTTTGCAATTTGCGTTAAAAGCTCGGTCAGTGCTGCAATTTCAGGTGATGAAGGGGAAGGCGTTTTGGGAGACTCGGTTTGACGTTTTAGAAATAACGAGGTTTCAGTAGTTTGCGGTGTTGTCAAATTTCCAAATAAGGATTGAAGAAGGGCAACTTGCTGTGCTGTGAGGGGCGGGGGTCCATCCGGAGCCGGCGTTGTCGCATTCTCTGCCGATAAGCTCATCAATAGGGAATTGAACAAGGAGAGTTGTTGTACGAGTTGTTCATTAGATGGTTCCGTGTCGTCCCGACGACTAATTTGAATTGTGGGGGTTGACATCGGAGGTTGGGGCGTGGTCGTAGTCGTTGGTCGAGGGGTGGTTGTCGTCGTCGTCGTCGTACTAGTAACCGTCTCATCTTTTGGAGAATCATCATCATCATCTAGTAACAATTCGCCCAAATGAAGGAGTGGGTGCGAATCAAAATGTGGGACTTCTTTTGAGCCAGGCTCGTCCAATATTTTCAGAAGTTCTCGAAGTTCGTTATTTGTGAGTTGTTCTGGGGCTTCTGCTTGACTAGATAATTCCTCTGCCAGCGACAATTTTGATGTCCAAATTACTAGAGAAAATGTAATTTAAGAAAAGATGAGAGAAGAGAGCTAAACTGTAATTTAATTATAGAGGATTAAACGTATTCGTCATAAGAAGAGTATAATTTAATTATAGTGTCGAGTTAATTATCCCCGTCATGAACTCGTGAGAAATTATCTGCGTGTATTCCGGATATGTAGAATTCTAAAGATGATTAATAATCAGGATATCCGACAACTTCCGTAAGCTAGATACTTAATTATTTAAAAAAAATTGTATTTCTAAGAATTAGACTTACTCAAAACCATCCAACACGCTAAGGAAAGCAGTCCTCGAGTCATATTTGCATTGTAATTGACAACACAAATGTACAAGTTTAAAAGTCAATAAGTCCGGTTAGGATTTTAGAATGTAATTAGTGAGTCAGGGTGTACATGTAAAAGTCGATCAATTAGGTCTCAAATAAGTGAATGCGTCAGTTTGTCACAGCGAAAGTCTCAATCAAGAGTCAACAAGTCAAGTTTAAACTAAAAACTTATAGTCAGCTTGTCAGGTCAAAATTTTACTCAAGTAACTTGTGTCCATTGTAAGTAGTCATGTCACAGAGTTGTATTTGCTGAGTCCTGTAATTGTAGTTCTTGTATGCGTACAGTTGTTTCGAACAGTCGAGTAAAATTTTAGATAATTTAGTTTGTAAAACAGTCAATCGTCATTGTTATGTATGTATGTGTTATATGTCTTGATTGTTTTAAGAGTCTGCATGCAAATGAGTTCATAAAGCCTGTGAGTTTTTCTTGTCCAGTTTTATTTGTCAAATTGTCACGTCAGTTCACAATTGGTCTACATGTACATAGTCAACTCTAATTTTTGTCAAGTTGTTTTCTATTATGTACACGTATATATGTAAAACTTGGTCCGTTTAAATTGTCGGTTGGGTTATGTCCTTCCTAAATTCAGAAATTTTGTCAAGAGGTCAATCAATGTAACACACCACAAAGTTCCGGTCTAGTCACACATGTCATAGGTCACAGTATTTGTCCGAATTGTAAATTAAACTCAGGATGATCATGTCAGTCCTTCACCCACAGCGTCACTGTCTTAAAAGTCAGGAATGTTAAGTAGCTTAATATCTTCTCTCCGTCAAACGTTTTTCAGGTGTTTTTAAAAATTCTCACAGAAAATGAAAATCGTCAGGCAAGTGTTTTGCATTGTCAAGTTGTGTAAAATAGAAAAGTATATAAATTAAAATAAATAAATTTGATATCTAAAATTCAAGTAGGAAGTAGGACGTCCGTGTCCCCCACTTGCGTCGTCGTTAAACGTCTATGACCGAGTGAAGCTTTGTAAAAACAGCGAAAGGAATTAATACAAGTATTCATCTATGCATGAGAACATGAAAATGGCATGACAGCAGCCGTCGCGTCGTCAACAGGTACAACATTTGGTAGATAGGTTAGTAGTAGAGCTAAAGTCGGCTATTGTGCATATGAAGATGTATAAAGCAATAAAAAGTAAGAGTTGTTGGGGTGCGTGGATGCAGAGTATTATAAAAATAACAATCTCATCTCGTTCGCCCAGAATATTTTTTTAGCAAGGCGGCTTAAAAGTTATAATATCATCTGCCATGGTTCACCTCTCCTTTAAAATACACTCACCTGTATTTACGAGCCACAGATAATACAACATGCCCACAAAAAGCAAACCAATTTGTAAACATATTTATAACCATTGTAAAGAAAAGGAAAACATTGAAGCATAGCAGTATTATTAACTGATAACTATTTTCTGCGCTAGCCAAACGCCACGTCAACTTCAACGTTATGGCATTTTAAGATTTATCTATATTTGTTAAGAAACCTGAAGGAAAAGTGAAAACAGGATAGAGTTATGTATGCAGATATAGATAGCAGGCTTGGGCAAGATAGATACTTTAAGATACAAGATACTAGATACAAGATACAAGATACTACTTGTATCTTGTATCTTCCACCCGCCTCAGCTCAAAGTATCTTGTATCTTGTATCTGGAAAATCCTCAATGAGTATCTTGTATTTGTATCTTGTATCTGATATTTTCCATCAAGAGGAAAGTATCTAAGATACTTTTTAAGATACAAGATACTTTTTGCAAAATATGTTACCCGCGACATCTAAAGTTCGCTTTTCTTATGATTTATGAGGTAGTAATTGTAATTTATAAGGAAATATGCGTGGTATTTTTGCTAGTGGAAGGTGTTTTTCAATGCCTAACTACTCAATAGTAAGACTTTCATTTTACTGGCGATACCTTAATGGCAAAAAATATGAAATTTTATCTTTTTTAAATCTTAAAAAAAATCAAAAGTATCTTGTATCTTGTGGAATATTTAAGATACTTTATCTTATCTTGTATCTTTAAAAATACTTAAAAGTATCTTTTACTTAGTATCTAAGTATCTTGGAAAGAACAGAGAATAAAGTATCTTTATCTAGTATCTTGTATCTGAAAACAAAGTATCTTGCCCAAGCCTGATAGATAGGCATGTATACATATGAATTAGTTGCTGTTGTTTATCTAACAAACATGGTAGGAATGCGTCGTTTCATTTTGTTCTCTGCGTATAACGTGAGTTTACGACCTTTATAACTATGAGAAAATCTCAAAATTCTAACCAACAACTGTTAAAGATCAGCAAATTCCCCATCCATAATACGCACACACGCACATTCATTTTTAACTATTTTTTCACTTTCTATTTGCTACCCACGCTCTTATAGCATTGTTACTACAGCCAAATAAGACTCACTACTGCAGGATTATATGATTAAAATTTCTCTCTCTAAGCAGCTAAAGTTTTGAGTATGATTATACACGTGACGGCAGGTACATACGTCAATTTTTAGCATTTTCAAGCCCGATAGTTGGTTTTATACTTATTTGACCCGTACAGAAGAACCAGCAGGACATTCTGGTGAAGACGTTGACGGTTGTTTGCTTTGAAATTTATAACTGTAGTAAAATCAAATCCCCATTTGAATCATGCTGTCAATAAGGAGGGTATGAGCTACTGAATTTGGGTCACTGCTAACTAAAGATGCGAGCAGATTTTAAAGAGTTGAGTTGTGCATATAGGTTTTTCTATGCATTGTTAATAATGATCAATGCATTTGCATGGTGCATATTGCCATATGTACATGTGTGCATTCACGTTTAGCTTATGTGTGTTTGGGCAGGACGCCCTGTGACTAATAGATAATCTAATAGATAATCCTCATCGTCGTGGAATAAGTCAGAGTCAAGTGCGCTGACCTTTCTCTCTTCGAGCTATGATAATTGCATGTCGATGATTAAGCCAAATTCTCCTTAGACGGTTTATAGCCAGTAAAATCTCTCGTTTGCATTATTAGTGTTGTACGTATACGTATGTACATACGTACCTAAAACGTGTGAAATCTTTTGTTCGGCTGATTAAAATTTTAGGCCAGGTTCAATTTTTTGCATAAACTTAAAAAACCGTTTAATAATTGAACCAGTTGGAACTCGTCATATTCTTAGCAATAAAATTAGCCCTCGTGTACTGTCTAAGAAAAGTTGGATTCATGCAACCATATTAATTTACTAAAATGGCTTAAACTAACTTATGGGCACAAAAACTTCTCGTATATTTATAAACTTTCGTAATAGCAATAAAATGCGATTTTACCCATCACATAATACACACAATTAATTAAACGAGTTTCGAAATTAAACGAATCTCGTAATCAAAGAGCTGCAAAAAGAAAGTTGTTAAGTACGCACAAGTCTAGAGCAGTTATGAATGCTTCTCCCTTGTGTGTGTGCATGTCATGACTTACGTATGCACATATCTATCTATATTCTACCGGCTTAATTGGCAAGTTTTTTCTAAAGAGATTTTATATTATTGGAATGTTCATCTCCAACGGTTGGTTAGTTTGGCTGGTCGGTGGATATGAGAATATTGTATCACTTCCAACTTTCTCCTTCATCGTAAAATAAATCTAAGATAAACTGATAAAAAGTTTTCTAAACAAAATTCAACATTTCATTCACGACACAAAATGACAAGTCTTTTCTTGGCGAATTGTCGTGTCGTTCTCTTGTGGCTACATATGTATGTATGTACGTAAACACTTCAATTGTTTGTCGCACACATTGTTGTGGGGAGAGTGACCAGCAAGACACTTCGCCAGAGAACAATGAAAGAGTGACAAGAAAATTTTATTGAACAGATGTTAAAATCATTTTTCTAGAATTGATATCATGTGACAATTTCTAGTACAACTAAATATAATGGAAATGCGTTTTCTTTCTGAGTTTATTGTGCATTATGTATACTTACATTTAGTTCCTGCTATATTACTAAAAATTAAATGATACATACAACATATGTGCATATTTATTTTCATACTACTTATTGAGGATTTGAGGATACAATTTTGTAAAACTTGCTTTACTAATATTGCTTATTTTTGGAAATAGTATAGTATATGACAATTTTTACTTCTACCGATAACAAATTTCATATATTTTAAAGCTATATTTAAGCTTTACGTTTAAATAATTCTCACAACAAAGATGACAAGTTCATTTCTAAAAACAAATATGGAAGTATAATGTGCATTGTAAGACTTATAAGTAGACAGCTCTAAATGCTTCTTCAGCGTGGAATCGTGACATGGTTGCATCTTCGTTGACCATATTCTAAAAATGGGGGTTGTTAGTAATTTAATGACAATTGTTTTCTTACTGAATTACATGTTTTTAATAAAAGTAAGAGTCGAGTGGCATCTCGGTGTGAATCTTTCATCTTAGTTTCAGCTCTATTCCTATAATTCGAATGTACCCTTGCCTTGTAGATAGGTATACAAAATTGATGGTTAAGAGAAACCTCTTTTCTTGTAATTAAATACTTAAGCCAAAGGGTTGCACCAAATTTTAAACACCATAAGTAAATAATAATAGTTAGAGTAAAACTCAGGATGAATCAGAATGAATACAATACATAGCACAATTGTCCAATTCACTTCAAGTTCATGATTTTACTGCATGAATTGCATAGCAAAACATTTTGCAATAATTGTTCCATGTCCATCTGCAATATTAGGTCATTTTTAGAAATTTCCATTCTCATAAAATTTTATTATAAATAATCGAAGCCTTACCTATTTGTTATTGGGTTGTAAAAAGTCCCTCTGACATCAACGATTTTACAGCCATCTATAACAAATAAGTGTGAGGGCAGTTTAAATAAAGGAATTTACATTGCAAATTAGATAAAAAAAAAGTTGTGCAAATATTTGAATCTTACTCTCTCTAAACAGTTGCTGAGTTTTGTCTATGGCGATGAACTTATTGTACTCGTGCGTACCAACGGGAACAATTCGCATGATATGCTCAGCAAATAGTATAACACCAATCCAAGAAAGAATGGTCTTAGCTGGGGTTGTTAAAATGATGTTGCCTCCTGGCTGGAAAATATAATAATATTTCCTGAAATGTTGGCATTGGTTTACGAACAATCACCAAAAATTACCTTTGCAACGCTCACAGCATATTTTAAAAACTCTTCAGGGTTGTCCACATGCTCAATAACTTCGGACATGACGACAGTATCAAACTGGACGGTTGGGTTATTCGCCACATAGTTTTCGATCGTGTCACAAACATAGGTCACCTAAATACATATTAAATAAAAGTGAGCCCAGTAACATCGTTTTAGTTTACATTTCTTTTATCATCCCTGAACGCATTCTGAAGGGATCTAGCTGATTTTTTGTTGCAAACAAATTAGTAACAGCTTGCATGATCGAAGGTGGTTCGAGTGGTTATCAATTTGTGCCGTGGCAATTTTTTATGTGGTCAGACATTTTTGTCTATAAATACTTACTGATTCAAGATTAGTAGTTTCGTCACATATATACGGTTATTTAGGTTCTTTTAGAATTTTAGAATTGCATTTCAATTTTCGTTGCATATCGCATATCTAAATACTTCTTACACCGCCACATCTACGAGTACCAAGAGTACCAACCACTATCATTGTTTGTTTGATTGTTTAACGCCCTGGCCAAATTATGTGCGTTGTTTGGTTTTACATGCAACAGGTTCTAAAATATATGCAAATGTACCATAGGCGATAAATTACTAACCATCCCAGCAAGTTCCGAAGGCAAATGGTTCCTGGCCACCGCAATATTGTCAGGTGCTGGCTCCATGCCCACGATTTCGATTTCCTCATCAGTCCACCCCATCGAGCGGAAATGGACCCCAAGGCCCTCAGAGAGGAAGCCGCCCCCACAACCCAAGTCCTGGGTTAAAATTAAATATAAGTAGTTGCTTAAATATTTATATTATTGATATATGTAATGATTAACCAGGATTCGCTTCCTCCCTGGAACATTCCTATCAATGGTGGCCTGAATGAGGGGAACTCTGTATACAATATGCAAAAAAATATTTAAAATTGCAGACAATCAATGGACTCCATTGAATACTCCATTGAATGGAGTATTCAAAATTTCGATGAAAACTATATACCGAATGGAGTTCATGGAGTGCAAGGCTGAAATCAGGGTATACAAATTCATATTCATACTATTTCATACGTGTATATCTACGTAAGATTTAATTTAATTTAATTTGTACCTTTTAATCCACCATTGGGATTCCACCAATCTTCGGCCAACTTTCCAAACTTTTCCACTTCCGACGGTATCACGGTGCTCTTCATTTTGGAGTGCCAATTAATCACAGCATTAAAATATTTATATCACTGAACCAATGAGCCATTCAAATTCTTGCTCTTAATTTCTCTGCGAATATGTGCATGGCGTGTGAGGCACTCCCTCTCGTACTGGTCCACCATCAAGGAAAACCTGTCTTTAAAAGACATAGCATGTCAATGTGGTTGTAATAAAACATGCAGAGTGATAAATAATATAGAAGGGATGCATGATGTTGATCGTATCAAGGGATTACATGCGCATGATCTCAAAGTAATCTTGTAATTATGCACTTATTTAGTGGTGGAAGAAGCAGAAGGATAAATAGACTTGAACGGTCAATGGAAGATCATGTATTGCTGCTATTACTATTTGCATGAAGCTATCGATTCGATGCTAAAGAAAAGTGACAAGGAGGTGCCCACTTTTTTGCATTTCTTATTAACACCGAGAACCTTTTTACATGTCTTGCCTCACAATGGTAAATAATTACTCAAGACGATTCTTCACAGCGACTGACCAGTTGTGAAAGTTTATTTTACGGGTTGAAAATAAGTAACGATTAAATATATGCATATGCACGAAATATTTGGCAAAAGTGCTCAAAATGGAAATAGCTACCTTATAGAAAACTTTATTTACTGATAGGTAAGTCGGTAATGGATCAAAATACTATCCATGTAGATGGAGTGCATATGCACATAGATAAATATCGTTGACTCTAAATTTCTAGAATCCAGCACAATAATACTCATGCTGAATTAATTGATTTTTATACGCTTTATTTACTTCACTTCACTACAATAACAATGGTACAGGGATATTACGTAATTCTTACACACTTCATCTGCGGTAACTACATGTAGTAAATAATGTTCTCATATACGTTTATTATATAAATAATATCAAATTTTCGTTTGTTAGCTTTAGTATGATTCAATAATTAGTTGCTTAAATTATACAAGACACCTCTACTGATTAGAAAAAATACATTTGACGGTAACTCAGCAGTTTATATTCAAAGTATCACACTGAAACTTGATTTGATTACACAATTAACATGAGGATTATTATTAGCTTGGTGTTTTTTAAACAATAATTTATCTCAACAATTTCCAGTTATCAAATGTAAACCGTATTAAATTTAAATTCATAGCAATTTCTTATGCCAATTATGCCCGTTAACAGATACAATAAGGACATTTATAATCGAAAACAGAGAACTTATAATTTTAAGAAAACAATAACTATAAAGGCACGAGCGTCAAGGAACTCATAATTTTTGACATGATTACTAATTGCTAATAATATTACTGCGAATTTGAAAGGTATAATTGGATGGCACAACAGTTGAGACGAGAAGGAAGCGGTGGTGGTGGAATAATGATGACCAAAATTGAATATTGATTAAAAGTCCTCAGTATCTTGCTGCAAAAAAATGAACGAATATATCTAATAAATTTAATATTTCTAATTCTTAGCCAAAATGTATAGTAAAAACCCTACCCCTTGATGATTATGACGATTATGGTATCCGACGTCGACACGGTTGTGAATTTATACTGTGGACATTACTACCGGAAGCAGCAATGCTTTCATCACGATCGTTCCTTCGTTGACGTCTGGGTGGAAGCGGGCATGGGTCGTAACTCTCATCTAGAACAAAGTTTTAGCAATCACACACAGCTGCATTATTTAATAAAAGCTATCATGACTTGTTTAAATTGGAAATACTTTGAAATGTCATGGTGTGAGCGGTAGTGGCGCCAATACTATTACTGTTGTTACGATTATCTGCGCATTGAGATACCATTGAAATTGACGACGATGTTGGTGGTGGCTCTTGTGAAATTTCTTCAATAATTTCTACTTCTGTCAAATCTTCATCATCAAACAAAAACTCAACATTATTGTGTTCAGTTTCAGTGTCACTTTCCTGTCTTCTTCTTCGTCCAAGACGTCGATGAACTCCTTCAGTATTGTTATAATTGTTGGAGCAATAGTCTGACGAGGAGCCTCTTCCTCTTCCGGAGCTGCTTTCATTAACATTGACATTTGTATGGCTGCATGGCTGTGACGTATAGGCATGATACGGACGTTGAGTTTGTTGATTAGACGGTGCCGCATGGGACTGTCCCATTGTGGTGGTATACATAGTCGGTGCAAATAATGTTTGTCGTTGCTGCTGATTGAACTCGTAAATTTGATGTGGAAAAATTCCATATTGCACCGGAGGAGCAGTTAATGGTTCACGAGAAGGGGTCATTGGAATGAATCCATAATTATGAGAAGTATTAGGAACGACGCTACTAGTAACATTGAAAGTTACATTTAGATTTGAAGGACGCATTTGAGAAGACGATTGCTGAGGTAGAGGAGGAGCAGGAGGATGTCGATGATTAATAAAGTATCCATTATTAGTTGTCGAATTTTGATGAGCAGGTGGTGGTACTTGGTTTAATTGTTGTTGCGGTCGGATGGGATCTATTACAGCAAAACAATATTAGTTAGTCTTGTGTGTACTTGATTAAATGATTTCAAAAAAGCCAAATTACTAATAAAACGAACTATAGTATTATAACGATACCACAATACTTACTAGTGAGTCGGTTGGCATGGGCGGCTTGTGGAAGGATCGATATCGGCGGTTCCTCACGCGGCTGATAGAAGGAAGACGGCATTCCATGATAACCAAGGGAATTGTTATTTGTCGCATTCGCATTCGCATGAAAATGACATGGATACCCCTGATGATATGTACTAGGGGTTGAGAGACTACTTGCTCCTGACGTTGGCTGACGGATATTCATACTTTGTGCAGAAAAATAAGGACAAAGATGTCCATAGCTGGAATTCCTTACAACGTCGTTGTTGTTGGTACTAGTATGATAAGTGGAAGGACTATTAAACATGGACGAAATAAGCGTAGCTGGGAGAGCTGGCGTTGGATCTGTAACTAGGAATGCAGATGACGAGGACGCTGCAACAGCATGTTCCCCTTGTCCACCGTCGTCTTCATCGTCGGAACTAAATGGTGACACTTCTTCCATATGTGTATTCAGAGGGCTTGCTGCAGGTGACAAGCGAAATGGCCGCATTCCCATTTCCCCAGCGTAAGCTCCAAAACCCGGTGGAGATAACGGACCAAGGGGATATCCCTGTAGATTCAATAATAATATATGTATATCATTTGTTTGCATTTTATTAGTAGTTTATATTAGTTACTACTTGTTAATATTAACTGCATACATACATATACGTATACCTGTCTATCCATTGACGCTACTTCACGACCAAGGATTTGAACGTTGTTATAAAATCCATTAATTTCTTGCACCAAATATTCATTGAAATTCGCAAGACCAAATTCCGGACGTTGGCGTGCTCCCGACGCTATGGTATTTTCCCTTTCGCTCACTAGCTCGTTCCTCTTATCTTGTATATCTTGGGACATCATGGTGTGGATTTTTGTTACAAAATTTTGCATTTCCACGTGCTTTGTGCAAATAATAATGGGTTTTCGACAAATGGGGCATTCTTTCTTTTCCTTCTTCCACTCATTGATGCAATAAGAGCAAAACGTATGCCCACAATCTATTACTGCTGGCTGAAATTGAATGAAATGAATACATTCATCATTGTAGTGAAGCAATATGGTTAAAACGACTAATTTCATAAAAATAGATTGATATAAATTATAAATATTGAGAAATCTTCCGGAATATTTTCCAACGTAAAACTATTACCTCTAAGAAAATTTCACAGCAAATCACGCAGCTAAACTCAGTCTCCAACAAGGCCACAACATCTTTAAAAAATTCCAGCTGAAAAACTTCAGTCTGTGATTTAAGTTCGTTTTCTTTCAGTTCTTTATCTTCTGCGGCAACAATCCGAAGTCGTTGTACGTCCGCATACAAGTCCTCCAAGGTCCTAATATTCTCTGCAGCCACGACTTTATGTTCCAAAGCGAGAAATTGTGGTTCCAGTTCTCCATTTAATAATCGATTTCGAATACTGACTCGTTTCGTCTCTGATGATTTGATAAGTTTGACCAATTTTTCAGAAACTTTGGCCAACTGAATCTCCACAAGTGACGACGATTCTGGACAAGATTTTAGGACCGAAGGACAGCGCATGGATGAAGCGATTGACGTTGAGGTTGAAGCCGTCTCATTGTTTTTATCATTCTCGGCCTCATCAATCCGACGTCTCGCTCCCGAATTAGTTTCAGACTGTGGTCGCGAATCCATCCCACAAACTTACTTTGTTGATTTGATAATGTTAATGATGAAAAATCCACAGGACGTAGGAAGATTTGAATATTTGCTATCACTTCTTATTTGTCAGTCTTTTGAATTACCTATGTGCATAGATAGAAGAGGCTCGTGAATATACAAACAAACCAGTGCAATAATAAACCGTCAAATAATAATCTAAATAAAGGCAAACTTTGGTTGATTTTATTCACCTCATTTGTAGTTACAGGGAAGAAGATTGGTGATCAAATTATCAACTTGAGGGATGCTGGAAATTGTGGAATGCAATTCTTTGTCGTCCTTCTTACTTTTAGACTAGCAGTCACATTGTAGGTCACTCGTCCCCATTTCACCAGTTATATGTTCTTGCATGTCCATCGACTAATCTAGATTCTAAATGTGCTTCAAATAATGTCAGCAATTGTGAATTAGTCCTCCTGCCTGCTGACCCTGCTGCTCTGCTCTGCTGGTCTGCTTCCTCAGCTCACACACAGTTTGAGGAAATAATACTTTCCCAAGTTTTTCAGCCTACCGCAACAGGTAGCAAATCCCACTGTGCCCCATCGTGACATTTAAAATTTCTGTGAAATTTAGATTTTTGGCTTATTAGCTTCTCAAGTTTAGTATCCTCAATTTTCAATTATACACAATTTACGACTTTCTAAGATTTTCACTTTTCCAATTTTCTCCATTCTGATAGAGACCGTTTCGACTGTACAACTAGCTCTTCATTTTCACCCGACTCGCACTGCATCTATGCACTTATTGAATATCGAGTTTAGTATACATCTAATTGCATAACTAATTTTAATACTTATTAAGTAATTGAAACATGCTATTTTATTGGAGGTTGCAATATTTCCGAATAAGCCCAATAGCATTCTTTTCTGTGCATTTCGTTTCGTCCGTTGTCTCATGCTGTCTCAATTTGATGAAACAACTGAGACTGGCTGGGTATTCGTTCGTCTTTCGTGTAAAGCTCCTCAGTCTGATTAATTAACAAGTTCGTGCTGCATAATTGACAACTAATAACATGATATAGTAATGCACATGTGTCAAAGATTAGATTAATTAAATTACTCGGACGGGCGTCCTACTGTGGCATCATTTAATGCAGTCATCTTGTATATAACGGCCTATTGGTCCGTGGATTTCGTTGAAATGTTTCAAGATGATGAATGTATAGATGCATCCATGATGTATAGCGACGATTTCGCACTTTTGGGATTTATGAAGTATCCGTCTACTGATGTAAGTATATTTGGTGATTGTACTATCATCCTCGCACCATATTGAATTGCAGGGCAGTTGGATTCGTTGGGCAGGAGAGAGGCTAACTAACTAACACAATGCGATGGGATTGAAGAAGTGGCCTAATAGAAATTAGTGGAGCCCTTGGGACACACCACCACCACTGATCATCAGCCGAACAAACGAGGCAAATAGGATTACCTTCGCTCTCTCCTCGTTAGATCATCAGCATCAGCCCCACAGCCAGTGTAGGGCAGCTTATCATCACAAAATCTATCCAAGTCCACCGCACTAATCCTCCAAAACTTGTATTTCAAGAGACTTTCACATAGTCCATCTTAGCCCCAGCTCGTCGTCAGTCGCATTGCTCATGCATTTAGCACTGTAGTCTAAACATATAAAATAAGTGTCGCAATTACTGCTTTACTATTGATTTCGTAATGTTTATAGCGGCATCAAGAATAATTTTATTGCATATTTTTCTCTTTATTGTTGGAGCAAATTCAACTCCATGAGAATTGGAATAATGGGAACAATGAAAAAGGTGTATGCGTGAGGAGAGTGTACAAGAAAGAGAGAGAGAGAGCAAATAAGGCAAAATCAAATTATGTGTGGAAAAATGTAATAGTAGAAGATCGTTATAGTTCTTTCGTCCTTCCTGTTCTTGTGAAGAAGAGGAAGGCAAGGAGGCAAGAAAGGTAATGATAAGAAGACCTGCAAGAAGAAGAAGAAAGCAACACGAGACGAGACTTTGGGCCTTGTGTGATGTGATGTGAGAGCAAAAGAAACGAACTAAACGAGTAAATGATAGTAAGTAAAAGTAAAAGGATTATTAAGTTAGACTCCATTTGATCTCTGCGAATATGTACAAAAGACTTTCCTCTGCTGATTTATATCTCTTTCGGAACATTCATTAAAGATATTGGGGCGACGTGGGATGCAAAATTATCACTCTCCGTCATATCTCATTTCTACGTCATTTCATCTCTATCTAAAACCATGTCCTGCTTGGTATCATTCATAGTGCAGCATTACAATTGTTATGCACAATCCTCAATTTCCCCCACATCTCAAAGAGAGAAAGAGATGGGCTTTGGTCATTAGATTTGTACGGAGAAAGCATATATCCATCAAAATATATGTATTTCGTTTCGCCGGTAGCAGGTTCCGGTGGCTTCTTCTTCGTCTCCAGCTCAGTAAAGGGCTCCATTCTTTGTCGTACAAGAGGATCGTCACGAGGATCATTCACTCCTTTTTATTACAAAATCAGCATGAACATCTCATCATCATCCACGCAAATGGAGGAATTGTTGGAACTTGAAGAGCTTAATGCAGGTGTAAGGAAAGGCTGAAATTTAATCCCGTAAACTAGCAGTTGTTCAATATATGCTTTACGAAGCAAGGGAATGTGCAGAGCTGGGTGCAGACAAGATTTGTGGATGATGGTCAAGTTAGTTGGTAGTTGGTAAAGTAACGTAATTTGTTGTCTGTGTGAGTGAATGAGGGCCAAAAAGAGAAAATAAATTAGATTTCGAATTCGTTAGCTCGCTCAAAGTTCACTCCGCTTCATTCCAAGACCAGCTGCAATCCAGCAGATCACAAATTCAACAAACTCAATTTAGAAGAGCAAAAACTTTCTCCACTCTGCCACCAACCACCACTACCACCCGAATGACTATGCACTACCCTCCCTCCTCCTCCGACGAATCCTAGTCCTCGTCGAATAATACTAAACGTGCACAATGTATTTTACATTAGTCGCTACTGGTGAAAGCACACCCTCACTGCTCCCTCGTATGTACCTAAGTTGCTTATCCGTGTCTGACATTTGTATGATACAAGTGCGGTGGAGATAATGCAAAAGGAAAACTAATTTGGAAATGGTGATGACCAATAATGGTCTATTACAATTTGGTTGGGATGAATATGAATATATTGAGAGAGAAAATTATTCTCCTATTTATGTGAAACAAGAAGAGAAGTGCAGTACGTACATACTTATTTAGACCACACATTTTCATAGGTTCGATGATGTAACAAAATGTATAATATTGGGATTAATTGTAATTGATTTTGGCTAGTTCGTGAAAGATCTAAATTCAAGATGTGAATTCATATTCAACGATATGATAATACTCCGAAACGTACATATTTATATAATGCACTTGTCATAATGCCACATACTGGTATAATCCAATTACAGACCTACAGTGCTATGTACCTGTCTTAAATCTGTTTTAAACCTGCTCACATAAATAGGTGCATGCTCATGCTGTTTCTAACTGCAATAAGTACATAGCCATTGAGTTTCTAATCCAAACCAAAAAAAATCTAACGGGTTGCGAGTTGAGATGATATGCGCTTTCTCCATCAACTTTAGATATTATTTGAAGTTTACTACATTTGGCGAATGGGAGCATCATCGTGAGGACTTTTCTCCCACCAGCTTTGTAATAACTGTCACTCTCCCCAGAAATAAATGTCAATTTGACGTTGAACTTTGTAGGTTGGGTATAAGTCGAGATATTTTTTTGAAATTTGAAATTATTATGTATATAATACCACAACCAACCTCATGTCAATGTCACTCAGCCGTCTAATCTAATTCCAACTGGGATCGGATCCATTGCTCCCATAAAAGTGGTTTCACTTTCTTTTCTTCTTCCTTCAAAGTAAAAAAAAGCTGCAGAATATATACGCCTTCGTGGCGTAGTGGGTGTTTATAATAAGGAAGTCAAAAGGGTTGTGTGAGGCTGTTTCACTCCATCCATGACAAGAGTTCAGAAATGCCGAGGAAATGCTCTCCACGCGCTGACATGACGTGACAGTGAGTTGAATTTTCAAGAAAATGGAGTCTTATCTTATTGTTTGAAATTGATATTCTTCTCATTTCCTCCCCCTTTCGTCTCGTAATTTTACTGTTCTGTGCTCAGTTTAAATCACTTATTACGATATTTACTACATAACCTTAACGATGGTGATACTGGTTTACTTCTGGATAACAATTGGATAATATCCGAGATATTTATGTATACGTATTCCCTGGTTCTTAAGATGCACTATGAAAGGGCAGTGTAAAAATTATTCTTTTGTAACACATAATCTTAAGTGGAAGAAAGATAATTGAATTTTTATTGGGAAGGAAAGATAGGTTTCAAAGTGACTACTGTCCATCTCTTGCCAAATTAGGCAAGTCTAAGAAGGAGACCTTAGAGCCAATCTTTTTTAAATTAATTTCTCATGGGATCCTTTAAGCCTCCAAATTGTCAAATTGGATGGATTTTCTACCACTTTCTCTTTTTCTCTTTTCTTAACCAGCACATCAGGATGAGTGTCCACAGTCATTGTCCCAACCACATATGAAGTCAAATGCTGTCGTCTGTCATATTCATGCACGTGGATATATCCTAAACATATATATTCTTATACAAGCATACGTACATGCAATCGTCATACCCACATGCGGAAATGCAGGAAAGTGGGATTAATTTTTTGGGGTGACTAAAAATGTTTTGTTTAGGGAATTGAATGTAGTTTTGAGTACATATGTCACAAATGAGAAGGTATGAAATAAATAATAATACTGGAAATACTATCATCTCAAGTCACTGTCAATCATGGTAAAATTTCATAAAATTAAAAAAAAACATTATAACAAAATCCATCCACATTTCGTGCTTACAAATATCTCCAGTGTATATGTAATTAAGGACATGGGACTGTAATGACGACCCAGCTTGATGTTTCAATTAGTTTCTCGTTGAGCAACCATCATGAATAAACTAGTTACAAATTGCACTAATATTTGGCTTACTGGGCTCACACCCATTGACTTGTTCGTGTCGAGCAAGTCCGCATAATGCGTAAGTGGGCATTTTATTGTACACACGTACATAATACGAATGTGTTTCAGTAATCAAGGATTAAAATCCAATGTTGTATTGTGCAGTCATTTATTAGCTTGGTTTTGGTTTCTAATGGAGCGAAATGAGTGAATGAGTGAGGATGAGGGGACCTGATCTTATTGTCTTGAGTGTGCACTGAGCTTTCCCCTTCGGGTGTGGTGCATGTATGTACTGTTCGACAGATGTGTCCCATGTTCACATATTCAACATTACAAATTCACTTATTCTTTGACAAGTAGAGAAACACTAAATAATCCACACACTAAGCCAATTCTCTCTGTGGGGACCCAAAGTACTTTTGTCATCCTGTGTTATTGACATGGATTATTCAAAGGATTGGATGACGGACTTATTGTACATTTGTATTTATATTGCTGTGTCTTTAAATACCCACGAGCTGTTAAATTACTGTTGCTACATATTCGTCAAATGTTTAACATGTCACAGTGTCAAATTAAGGTTTTCTCGTTTATTCTGAATTGGAAAATAATTTATATCAAGATATATATATTTGCGACATAGTCAAAATTTCACTATACTAATCAATGTATTTTCTTTCTATGCAACATTTTCTTATATTCGCATTTGAATGGGTTTTAAAATAAATTCATGAAAAATAATACCCAGCGTAAACGTGAAGTACTTATGTACATACATACGTTTTGCATACTCACTGTACGTATATGCAATGCATTAGTCTGCTTTTACGAGAGTGAGGTCCAAACTTTATGACGTGCATAATGGCTGTAATGAGATTTAATTCAAGGGTTTTAAACGGTCCGGGATGATCTCTCTCGTATTAAAAGTGACTAACACAATTGACAACTTCCAATTCAATCCGCAAACCCTCACGATGACGATGAGATGTTTTCGTAATGAGGAAATAATCAGTTTTTATTTTCTCAGTCTAGATACTTGTTAGCATTATACGTATGTATACATATACATATGTTGTGCATATCTCCCACAGACAGTCCAAGTCCACTCTATGTCATTGTCTGTCATCAATCCATTTAATATCAACTTTATGACGGACTTTTTTAAATTTTTAAAGTGATTCATCCTGTGCTCGATACATAGTTATGAGAATCTATGCAATGCAACATATCGGTTAAATATGTATTGCATGTGTGGTGGTAAGCTTAATTGTGTTTGGGAGAAACGCAGATCTGTTAGTTAAATGAGGAAATGCTATTTAACTCTTAAAGCACTTAATATGTGTTCATGATTGAGGAGGGCCAGATCGGTAACACAATACAAGCCGTATAATAAACAATGAGATGCATATGGCCTGTTTAATAACCAGCCATGCGCATACATATGTATGCATCTATGTATGTACATAAATAGCTACATATGCAATAAAGTGTGAGTAAAAGCCCTTTAATTGATTATAATTTGTAATTGTGTGAATATCCTGGATGTCGAAATAAATGAGGATGTTGTGTTAAGTGCACAATGATGGAGTAAGCAGTACAAATTTTATATCAATACCGTCATTCCAAATATTGTTCGTTTCAATTTTCTAGTTTCAGTATTATCTCGTCTCGAGATTTCGGAACCCAATTTATCGTCTAATCAACCATCGATAAAAATTTATCATGATCGGGGGCAGCATAAACAGTAAAAGAGACCACAATTATACAAGAATTTAACCCTATTCGGAGTGGCCTTTGGGCTATCATGTCCTACAGTTTTTGGTCGCGTGCTGGTCACACCAAGTTATTTGCATGTACATTCATTCTCAGTCAGTGAGCAGCACTAGCTTGGCTGAGCTGGTGACTGACTATGAGTCGGTTGTGATTTCTCTCATCCACTCAAAGAGAGATAAAATCTTTCACTTTCCCCAACCAACCTCCAGTAGCCACTCTCCATCCAATCTGCACTCTCGCCTAGTCACCAAAAGCCTCTGCTCCCCGCACAACAAGTACCCACAGCAAAATCTCATCTCGTCTAGTCCACTAAGGGCTCCCCTTCTTCAACTCAACCAAACAAAATTTAAAATTTCCTGATAATTATGCACACCGCGAAATAACAATAAATACATAAATATGTACAAAATATTCAGAAAAACATTGAGTTTCACCGGTTTCTTGTAATACACAGTTGAAGGATTTTCCACTTTCACGCGTCCATATAAGTATTGGCACGGACAGCTAGTGTTACTGACATTTAGTTGACTACACCATTAGCGAAAATGAACAAGCGCTTGCTGGAAATGTTTTGTTCGTACCACAATCACAGTGGGAGTGGTGTCTCCCCTTCGTCTGGGGGACTTCCCTCGGCCGGAGTGAGTGTCAGTAGTTCTGCCAGCAATGGGACTAGTCCCTCCAACCCCGGCGGGTCACCTGTCGGTCAAGGAGTCTCAAGTCTCATCAGCAGCCCATCTGCCGTTGCCGCTGCAGCAATCGCGCTGTCCGCCGCTGCGACCGCGAATAACTCGGTGGGTGGAGGAAGTGGTAGTCCGCGGGGGTTGGGAATGGGTTATCTCGTCGACCCTTACGTCTCCCCATACTCATGTAAGTCACTAACTCTGAACGCTATTTGTCAATTTCATGGTTCATGGACGTGCAGGATATGTTCTAATGCAGGCACGTAAAACTTTTTTGCATAACGCTTGAATTAAGTAAAGACTAGAAATTTAAAGGTCCGTGCAGAAAACTTTTATGCAGGAATATTCATAATAATCTCGTTACTTGATATGTTTTGGCACCAACAAATAAAAGTGTGTGTGTAATACGCAAAGATAAAAGAGAGCACGAGAAAAATGTGCCGTTTTTATATCCCTCTTCCTTTTCTGTGAATAAAGAAGGGAGAAAAGTGAAACTTGAGACTTTCACTAACAACACACAACACCACTGACTGAAACGTGCCTTTATTTCTGAGTAAGCTTATAATATAATCTTTGAGCCTCAAGGGATTCTTTATACTGCCTTTGCCGGGATGGAATTATGAATTAGCCAGTTTGAGTTTTTTTATTATTACGGGAAAATAAAATTAAGTCCAAAGTGCTGGCAACGACCAAATATAATTAGGCTAATGGATTGTGAACGGTGCGAGGAAATTGCATTATAAACTCATAAATGACTTAATTCAAAACTGTAGGTAGTGCATACTATATATCTTCAAGCAGGCTAACCTATGGAAGTCTGTACATATATTTAGTTGTCGGGTGTCTTATTGTCTGAGGAGGTTGATTATATTCGCTTGTTTAGTATTTAGTATTTTGCTCAGACTCGCTAGTTTCTAACCAAGCCAATAAATTTGCAATAGAAATGCGAGCTAAGCTCAAAGCTAAGTACATATTCCGTGTTGCATCATATCATAAAAACTCTGCACCCACCAAGAACCAAAACTAATGTAATTACTGTCAATATAATTTGGACTCTGATTTTATTTTTAATAGATGCCAGTTATTATAGTGGGCATCACCACCATCCTCATCACCACCCTGCCGGACACCCGCACCATCTCCACCAACATCATGATTTGCATGACGATTCCTTTGTGAGAAGAAAACAGCGGAGAAATAGGACGACTTTCACTTTACAACAGGCAAAATGTTTTCCACAATATTATTATTTGTACATGTATGAACATGGTGATATTATAATTTGTGCGATAGAATAGACTAGATAAAGAGGAGAGGGCATAGGAAATGGGAGCTCCAAGATGCATTGCCTCCATTTCAGAAAGTCTTTGAGGATACCCATGTGTTGTTGCTTTACTGCTCTTGTTTAAATATTAATGTGATCCTGAAAAGTTTGGAGATACGCAGCTGAGCTCTTGCCTGTGCATAATGTGCAGATTTGCCATTCAAGTGGCAATAAATACTTTGGGGTGGTAATTCAATTGGATTTTTAGTGTGGAGGTGGTGGTTTCAGAGAGAAAGCCCAATAAATATACATAAGTGTCTAATCCGGTTACAAAATGCTAATAAAATGTCCGTACATTTTGCAGTTGGAGGAGCTTGAGACGGCCTTCTCTCAGACTCACTATCCTGATGTGTAAGCTTTCACGTGCAAAAACTTTTATAACGTGGCAGCTTTTATACATACCCGTGTGAAATAAAGTTGAAAATGCAATTGTCACAGGTTTACAAGGGAAGACCTCGCCATGAAAATTAATCTTACAGAAGCCAGAGTGCAGGCAAGTACAAATATAAACAAAATTACCCAAGTGTTTTACAAATATTTATCTACTCGCACGCCACTTTACCTGCGGGGTGTGAAAAGTTCTAACCGATTAATTAAACAAAAGCACCCAAAACCATGTTGATCACGACTCTGTACACATTTCGTTTTAATAGAATTTAGATACCTATTCGGTATAGAACTTTGTGTATCGGGCATCAACAAAAAAATAGTGCGGATTATTAGTTTAAGGAGTAAAAGTACAAAGAGGGACCCTTTTTAGAGGCTTTGAGCTGAGAAGTTGGAGAGCGAGCGAGAGGAGGTTGGGAATGCAGGCAGGCAGGCAGAGAGGAAAAAGGGAGCGAGTGGTGTGTCGTTGCAAGTTTGGGTTTTGGTGGAGAAAGGCGGAGAAAGCCGAACACTCAATTAAAGTAGAAATAGGATTTACACCAGCAAACACGGCTATCCACCTCCCACAATCGATCCTCTCCTTTGATTCCGCCACTTCCCATTACCCTCACTCCCACTCCCACCCAGGGTTCCACCACCGCCAGCCTCAACCATACCCAAGAAAGCTCGCTGGGATGCGGGGATGCTCTCCTTCAAGTAATTCGTAAAGTTGCATGCAAAAAATAATAGCGACCCTGACTTATTAAGAAGATATTAAATACACATTTTCTTAAATGCGACCTCAGGAATATGTAGTTAAGCCCTCCAATCAGCACAGGGGTAGATAATTGTCGACACGAACCCTGCTCATAAATCCGTATCACATATCACCATTCTGAGCAAAGAGAGGCACGGCGAAGGGAGTCTGGATATAAGGCCAGGCTGGAGACGAGGGCGGCGAGGACTTTCTCCTAATAAAAGAGCAGAGAGTGAGTGGAGACATTTAATCTGAGCTCGTTTGTCATTCTCTGCAGAACTCTGAAGATGTTGCCTGATTACTTTTGGCATGTCCCGTGCCAAGTCAGTCACTCTTCTTTCATGTGGTGAGGGTGTTGGATGGATTTAGACTGTTATTGGACCCAATTTGTTTCACCTATCCTTTACACTCGCAACCATTACCAGACTTTATAGCACGATACATATACATACGAGAATCTATTTATCTATATGATGCATTACTTCTGTCGACTTCTCGTATCATCAAGATGTCGTAAACCATATTATTTGTAACGTTGTTGCTGCTGAACAGTGAAAGTTTCGATTGTCTATTACATGCACATTCTCATTTTACCCTGAGTATCACTTCAACCATGTTACATACACTCTCCAACGTATAAATATTATTGGATTTCTTGAGGAAAAAGAGAATATGTATGAGAATATTGTATTACGCAGGGCTAAAAGTAGCACCAATAGCTCAAGTAGTGACAAAGTTGATGCTGTCTGGTTCCATTGGCTGACCACCTTAATTATATTTTATTTTTAGTTGTGGTGCTGGCTTTGCTTTCACTCTCACACCATCAACCACGATCACATCCAAGCCAAACTACTACACATAATGCCATTTAGCTTTTATTTATTTATAAAGAAGGGCTAAGAGGATTACCTCTCCGACTCCGGCTGGAATACGAATCCCTAAATAACGAGAATTGAGATTGTAGGGAAAGTGAAAAGTTGCTGAAAATAAGAGTAAAAAGTCTGACAATGACAGAATCAAATCCATTATTTTATCATATCCCAGTTCATACTTAAATCGATACGAAATTTTATTAAGCTCTAAAATATAAACAAGTAGATAGGAATAGCCTGAAAAGTAAGTGTAGCGAAATGTAGCATGATTTTAAATAATTTCAGTGTCATTTATAAGCTTTATTCATTCCTGCCATATTGTGTTCACTATAGTACACATCTATACACGTGTATTTACATTCATCGGCCAACTTCAAAGATAAATGGGCAACTAAATGGATTGCAAAACCGCATTTAGATCTGTCGAAATACAACACATTTGTACTTATTAGCTACTCAAGCGACTTATGTACGTACGTATTTGTACAATTCCTCTCACTCTGCTGCATATCCACTTTTTGGGGAGGTCGGTCGGTGGTGGTTGTGGAGTGCGTAATTCGTCCAGTGGGAGAAAGGCCCAGGAATGAAATTGAAGTGAAAGGGTTCCATCCACTTCACAATCCGAATTATTCTAAAACCACGAGACCATTGACTCACTAATGCTCTCTAATCTTATCATGTGGGATGCACTGAACCTGGAACAATGTGCATGTTGAAAAATATGTCTTGGCAAAAAAATAACTCCATATGAAGTTTTTTTTCAGGGAGACTGATGTACATATATTTTTCATCACACAGTTCATGCACTTCGTCCTTGAATGGCACCTCGACTTGGGGAAAAGGGGTGTATATGCAGTTTGTTTTGCGGATGTTAGATGGTTGCCGGAGGCTGGAGTGATGTGCCCATTCATATCCATTTAAAAAGGAATTTGTGCTGGTGATCCCATAAGGGATTAAGGTCTAATTCCTCTTGAAAGGTCCACCATCCACTAATCTCATTCCATTTGTCTTCATATTCCTAATCCTTTGGTCTGCACACAGCATCACAGGTCAGCAAAACCAAGGCAAAATGTTAGTCGAACTGAAATACAATTCAGTGCAGGATGCATAATACAATAACATATTATTATGCGGTTTGGTCAGACTATGCAACGCCGGATCTCATTTTATATATATTTTTATGTAGTTGGATATGTATGAGTTTTTTGAAACATTGCCAGTTTAGTTGCATTTGTATTCTTACAAAATTTTATTTTTATTAGGTTTGGTTTCAAAATCGACGCGCCAAGTTCCGCAAATCTGAACGTTTAAAGGAGGAACAACACAGAAAACGGGGTGGGAGTGGCGAGAAAGATTCTCTAGATTCAAATTCTATGAATGATGATGACTCCTCGAATATAAAGCACGAGGGACTCTCTGGAAATTGTGGAGCTGCAGATTCAGACTGCGAATCTATAATTGTTCAAGATAACACAATCACAACGAAAAGCGGAGGAAATCCAAGAGATGACAGCGAGGACGCTGACGTTTGCTCACATTCGGATAATGAAGAAGCACCAAATGGTCTACGAGGCAATGGAAATAGTGGAAAAAATAAACGAATTTTTGTTGGACTACCTCCTCCTCTTCCAGGTTCAATTTTAAGTATTATCGAAAACGGGAAGTCATGTGAGCAAATAAAATCAGAAAACAACAATATTAACTATTCAAAAATGATGCATGGTGAAAGAGATGATGGAAACAAATCAATTTGTTCAGACGATTATGACATAAACGGCCATGGTCGACATGCTTCAATTCCAAATCATAATAATAACAACAATAATAGCAATAATAATAAGCGACCAAGGATGAGAGAAAAATCAAGATCAAAATCAAGGTCTAGATCCAGGTCCAGATCAAATTCGCGGAATTGTAAAAGTGCAGAAAGTCAGAGCAGTGGTGGCAGCTTGAGTAATCATTCCTTGGCAATGAGCTCATCAGCATTGTTTCCCACAGAGTAAGCTTAACATTTTCCCAATAAAACTATTATTTGGCAGTAATAACAATGCATTATCAATAGCTACAAATGTACATAACTTGAAGAAATCATTAATTTTGGTTATTTGTTAAATTTTTTTAGTGGACTAGTCACTTCCGGAGGGTTCAGACCGGTGGGGGAAGTTCGACCTCAATTATTGTTTTCTGGTCACCACAATCCCTTCATCAATCATGTTCATGCTCATCACCATCATCCCCTATTCCCACCGGCGGCTTTGAAAGGTATGGACAAACTTATAAATTCCCCTCACAACAAGCTCGCCCGACCCTTTGCATGCAAGCACTCATTCAAACGTGTGTATGTAGAACTTTACTTTTTTATATTATTTACACCCATGTAATCCTCCTTTGTAATGACACTCAGGACTTGGTCTTTGCCCATGCTGTCCACCAACAAATGCCACTGGTGGTGGTGGACAACTGTCACCCACGTCTTCATCAAAGTCCTTCTTGGGTCACTATTCGCCCTCAAGTCTACTCTCGTCATCCGGACTCCTTCTCCCCCCGCTGTTATCCTCCTCTGGTTCGGGATCAGGCTCACACGGGTCCCCCGTCCCCTCCAACGGTTCTGCCATCCCCATGTCGATCAGCTCCCTGTTGGATTTTGATCCCAGGTATGGACTGTACGTATCTTTGGGGAATTTGAGACAACTATTTTTGGTTATTTTCTGTCCACCTGAGAAATCGACTTTAACCATTAATGTACTAACTTTTGTGAGTTAAATTGTTCTTCTTGTGTGGAACAGGTCGTCCAGCGTGGCAGAGTTGCGGCGGAAGGCGCAAGAACATTCTGCGGTGCTACTACAACAATTCCACCAATCTCTCCTGGGAACGGGGCCCAACCCTTTCCTCCACTTCCCCCAACTCCCCTCCTCGCCCACCACCACCACCAACACCACCACCAGCTTTGGACGGCAGAACGGCTCCCCCTCTTCCGCCGCCGCCGCTGCCACTGCCTCCTCGACATCTCTCCCCCCTCCGGCCAGCCCCACGAACAACAATAATTCCATCAAGTCCATTCTCGATTAATTGGCAGCCTGTTGTAGTTAGCAACCATAATTAAGTCTTTAGAGGCTCTCGACACCCACCAACCAAACAATCTGCCATTGTGAAATAGAATGGAGACGGTGTGCAAGTTCTACGTGCATAATTTGCCAGCGTAATCTCGTGTAATCCCGTTTCGTCAATAATTTACTGAATGCCGGAATGGGAGCAACCGATTTTAAATATTGAACAAGATAATGATTTTCTTGTCATTACATGCACACCATGATGTGTAAAACGATGCGTTTATTTGTAGATAATTATTATCTACTTAATATATGTAGGAGTTTGCTCTAGAACAATCCGTAGGTATAAATTGTACGTATGACTTGTCTGTAATTTTAGGGAGTAGGTTTAAATTTATATAAATTGTAAACAGTGTTACAGAATAGAATCTCATGTAAATATCTAATTCTTACACAACAAAAATAAATACAAGGATACAAAACTTATATTATTCGTGGGGATGTATTGTGGGGATGTAAAATCCAATGATGCTTTCACCTCACTTTCACTTTTCTTTCATATTGTATACATAAATATGTGTACGTATATAAATTTGAACGCAGGAGGAGCGTATATGTACATTTGTATGTAATACTGCTGCTCGGTGAAGCATCCCTGAGTGACTGCGTAAAAAATGATGCCACTTACTTGAAGAAATGGTCGGCAGTCAGAGATAAAATCAGAGAGAAAACGAGATAAATCTAGAGGAGAACAAGTGCATAATCCCTTTTAGGACCAAAGGCGCCAGGGAGACTGAGCTAATAAATAAGGAGGCTAGAGTGGATAATAGGTGGCTAAGAGAGTTACTCGGTGAAAGTGAAATATGGCGAAATAGTTTTAGGAAACGGTGTTTACAGGGCTAAACGGTTTTCTTCAGAGTAAATGGACTATGCGGAGCGGTAATGGGACTTCATTGCATACAGTTAATCGTCGTCCTAGCTGGTTGTGGTGGTCTGACGGATAAGTAGCTATTTCATGATGAGATGAGGAGGCTGAGAACTCGCGATAAAATGGAATAGGATGAAAACGACTTGATTTTCAGGGGATAAAACAAGCAGCAGGTTTGGAATATTTAGGACACATATACAAATCATACACAAGTATTTTGTACACACAAGCAGCACTTTCACCACAGGCTCTTCAAACACAAACGTCGCATTTTATTTTAAACATATACGTATCCATTCCGTTAGCAAGTTCTAACATTGGATCATCATCACATAACCAGTGATGCTCAACAAACTGGGAATAAAAGGAATGGATTGGGTTTACTTCCGAACAGATTAAATCTCACGAAGGCGAGTGGATTTCCAGTGAATTATCACAAACACAAGGCTAATGGATGGCCACCGTTTCCGTTCTCTAATAGTCTCAAAATCATCATTTTTTCCCAAATGCTCTCTCTGCCTGTCAGCTAACGACCAGAACGCCATGTTCCACAAAAGGGAAAAAGAACTTTCTTATAAATATATGTGTACATGGACGACGACATTGGTTTACTGGTCACTGAGGCTGCTCGTACACACTCCAAATGGTTGACTTTCACTCGCTTAAAGAGCCGTAATCACGATGATATAATCTTCCTCCGCCATCCACTTCAAACACACAAGAGAAACAGCAGCAGACTACCAGCTACGGTATATGAATGCTTTGTACTGCACAGAATGAAGCACTTTATTTATTTTATACCAGGCAATACCAATGCCACCGTTACACTTTCTTTTATACACTTTACTACCCAACAAATAAATGGCTTATAAAGTGTATAATAAATGTTGGAGCAAATAAGAGTGAAAATGCGGTGGCGTGTTTTTCCAGAGTTTGAGTGGGACCAAATGGGATCATCAATTCCGAAAGATTTAACTACATCATCATCTGATTTCATAGACTCTTGAGATTTTCTTCCGTTTCCTTTTCCTTAATCGGTGCTCCACTTTTATACATCTCTCCTCCCTTCAAAAATTCCATCCCTTGTGCTTAAATTTTCTCAGCTTTGCAAAGCACCGCATCATTATTATTGCATAATACAGAAAATGAAATTGCATTCAACTATAGGTCTCATTTGTTGTTTCATTAACCATTTTCGTGCTAGCACATGTGTACGAGCAGCCATTTATCACCGTTTTTGTCGATCCATTATAAGTTTGCGAGGGTGACTTTTGTTTAAGGACAAAGGTCCGGAAATGTGACCACTTTCTCCGCATTACTTTATCCACCCAGACATTAGTGATGGCCCATATCCACGCGTTACTTGTGCATGCCAGACAGATCTTGAATATATTTATTATTATATCATTTATCATCTCTTCCCTACTGTATATTGAGTGTGAGTATGAAATTAAAATGCTAGGAATAATTCGAACTATACATATGTATGTACATACTTTCCAGGGGTGGGCAAGATACTTGGTCAAGATACAAGATAAAAGATACAAGATACAAGATAGTATCTTTATCTTGTATCTTGGTCGCCTGATCAGAGAAGTATCTTGTATCTTGTATCTTGTATCTTTTAGAAAGTCGAATAGTATCTTGTATAAGTATCTTATCTAGATATGCCTGGCAGAAAAGTATCTTAAGATAGTTTTGTCAAGATACAAGATACTTTTTCTAAAAATTCCGTAAAATTCTTAAGTCAAAGTCAATTTCGTACTACTGGCAGTCAATTTGACCATGAATTTGTCGTAACCAGAATTTGGTGAATTTTTAGTTTATGTTTTGCCAATGTGTAAAAAACTTCTACATGCATATGTACATATATTCATATATATATGTATATGTATATATGTTCATGTGTACTCGTACATTTGTATACATACATGCACATTACATGATATGTACCTACGCTGAACTAGTGTATATATCTTATAGGGTTTAGATAAGCAGGGAATATTGTAAAAATAATATCAACTTCTTAAAAATATGTATGTTAGGTAGAGTTCTAGTTTTTCGAAATTTTTCGAAGTATGTATAAGCACTGGCTACAAAATTTGTAAGATGATTATAGAATGATTTTAAATTCTGTACTCACTAGATTTTTTCGTTTAAATTATTAAACATGACCAATTGGGCATGAATACCAAGGTAAAAAAAGAAAGTATCTTATCTAGTATAAAAGTATCTTAAGATACATATCTTGTATCTTGACTACTCAATCTTTAGGAAAGTATCTTGTATCTTGTATCTTGTGTACTTGAACAAGATGTATCTTTTATCTTGTATCTTATATCTTATCCTAGAAAGTATCTTATCTTGTATCTTGTATCTTGCGACCAAAGTATCTTGCCCACCCCTGATACTTTCTATATCAAACAGGTCGGAACTTTAAGGTCAAACTTTCTGGAAGGGTAGAGAATGACCATCAGAACTAAGTATAATTTCGACATCTCGACTTCATCACTGTGGCGGCGTGACCTTTTGACCTACAAGGTCTATTAACGAAGTCCCTCTAAATGGGGATATCTGAGAATACGACTCAAAAACACTGATAAACTAGAGAGTTATCGTGCTATTGAACAAATCGGTCGCATTAACTAGCTTCAGTTCCTTCGCTCCTTAATAAAGCCATCTTAAAAACCCATACCAAATAGATTGTACTAAGTCTGTATAAATAGTTTGATGAGGTGTTATTTATTCAAGATAAATTTGCGTATAGATTCATTTGGACCTGATAGATTTACAAAAGAAGTTAGAGGTTTCAGAAAAAGAAAAGGTGGACAAGAAGAAAATTTTCGACACGGGATAAGGTCGACTGTCCTATAGGTCTTACCATGATTTCTGGTGAAGTAAACTTCCATCGGGTTTAGCTCGTCAAAAAATACATGCAATGTCAGATTTGACGAGATGCGTCAATATATTACTTATTCCACCAGATTTTCCTAAATTCTAGAAATAAAAATAAATAAAAAACAAACAGCCCTCAAATTGTATTCAAGATGAAATTGAGCACGACACTCGGTGATACATATAACGCGAATATTGTGTGTAGCAGGCCAATTGGATGGAGTTTTGGTTATTTGGTTGGTTGGATGGTTGGATTCGAATTGTGTCGTGCACAAATAAAACTCCGCTCAAGCCCTGCAGGGTCACCAACCATTCAATTCGCCACTCACCATGAATAAACAAGACGGGAAGACAAGAGCACAAAGGAATCAAAAGAATAAATTATTTCGGATGAATACCAGGAAAATTGAGGATTATCATATCCTATCAAATTTCAAATAACCAGCAGCAGCAGCACAAAACAATCTGGCTCCTTATTTTCCTTTTCTCTTTATGTGATACATGTACACATTTAGACAGCGCTATATACATGCATATGTAAATATGTAGGTACATATGTATGCATGTTGCTTCTTCTAATTATTTTGTAACCTATTGACTTTTTCGATCCTTCAGTTAAAGCTCTGTGATTATCATCATCTGAATTTTATGCGTTTGCAACATTTAGCTTATTATTTTCCACTTACTTACAAATGTAGATATTCATGTTTACCACCAGCCCAAGAGTACAAGGAACAGCAGTATAAATCCATTTATTATTTATTTTGTACACTCATTCTCCGTTTGGTTGGTAAATATACACAACCCAAAATTGTTTTTGAATGTTGATGTGATGGGATAAGTTTCATCTTTTCTTCTTATCTCATCTCTTCCCAGTTGATGCTTGAGTTACGGGTTGTGTTGAGTCGTATGAATTTCCTCAAATGCGATGTTCGTATGTGAAATAATACATGCACACATACTTAAGTTAAGTTTGGAAGGAAATGGAGAAGGAAGAAATAAATAAATAGTAAATGGACCCCCTTTGGGCCTCCATTTCAGCGAAGAAGACAGATTTCAATTTTCGAGAAAGCAATTTGTTCCTCGCAACGACGTAAAAACGGTTGATAGGATTTGGAACTGAATTTGCAGGTTATTCTCCAACAAATTGTGATGATGATGTGAAATGTGCGATGAAATATGATCGAAACCACTTAGCAAAATTTGCATCCTTTTGATTCGCATCATAAATCTTGAGCTTTGTCTTGTTCATGATTTCACGTTTATATGTATTTGTAGGAACAAGTATCCTGCACGTGTTTTCCTTGTATCCAATTTGTTATGCTGTTTGTATGGATGAAAATCAAGTGATGAGATGATGATGGTACAAAATTGACAATACATATTGAGACAATTCCGTAAGTTCCCCATTGGAGTTATACAATGTTATACATACGAATGTATAGAGTTCTGGCTCACTTAAATTATCAACAAAGGGAATTTTGTAGTACGTAGACAACTTAAACACGTACAATAATCCTGATTTTGATTATCATAAATTTTAATTAGCAGTAGCCAGCCCTCCCCATTATACTAAAACAATGAAGTGTGTAAGAAAGAGATGAGAGCTTTCGTGCTAATTGCTTCCAGTCTTAATATGCATAATGCCCAATCACCATTCATTACCATTAGGTGAGATGGATTGAGACTAGCTACAGAGAACTTGAGACTGGTAAAAAGCGTGTATGCTTGAGTACAATGTTGTCCCTTTTCATTTCGAGTACATGTCTCAAGCAGGGGACTCGACAAACTGAGATTTATTGTTCCGGCGTGTCACTGTCTTGTAAAAGATTTGTTTTAATAATTAACAAAGCTTAATTGAGCATACCATTACAGGTTTATTTAAACCAACTTTGAGAGTTTATTTAGTACAACAGATATGCATTTATGTACAAGATTTCGACTTGTGTTTCATGTCAAGTATGTACACTTGACAATTTACGAATACCAAAAAGGGTTGAGAAACTATTAACTTTAAAAAAGTCAAGTCGGGTGTATCACGAGCAGACTGTAAATCTTGCTCGCACCGTTCCAATCTCGTAATCTCAGGTTGCCAGCTCACTCTTCAGATTTTCAAATGAATGGATGGGGGCAAACACCAGAAATACGATTTTTGTTCAATGTAAAAAAATCTGGAATTGTTTAAGTTGTTCCAAGTGGCTGTAATACCAGCACTATCTTTAACAAATTATCTTAGTAATTATGCTCACCAAAAAATTAAATTGCATTTTTTTAAAATTTTGTAACCATTTAATTTTATACACAAAAACGTCATGTTATATGTGTTGGTCCCCTATAGCAAGCGATGTGGAGTTTTCAATGCTTGCAAGTGTGCTGGCACCTTGGTCGCACCGCTTATGGACCGGTGCGAGCAAGATTTATTCTCTGATCACGAGTATGTGTAAAACCACATAAAAAGTGTCGTGTGAAAATCCCATTCATTCACATACACCGTTACCAATACAAAATAAAACCATATCGAATGAGTGGGTAAAAAATTATACAAAGGACGCACTTGTGCACACCATCATCATTTATTACCAGGAGTGGCATGCAATATAGGCAGCAGGAGAAAGATCACAATGAATCAATCCAGCCCAAGTATGTACAAGGGAGGATGAAGGGATCCGTGCTGTCCAAGTCAGTTCATGCAATAATGGTTCGGCCAAACCCACATCATTAAGTCTCATGTCATCGTATTAACAGTTTCATTTATTAATCTATCCATCCACTTTTACACCATCAATCCATTCAGTAGTAGATATTATCTATATGCCGCTTTGTAGTTGGGAATTTATGGTTGGATTTGTATCGTGCACATATTATACCATAGAAAAGGACTTGTCGTATATACGATTTGGGAATGGAAGTACGCAGTGATTTGGATTATGTAGCAGACTGAGGGACCATACCAGTGGACGCACATATGCACAAATGCATAATACGTAATGAAATGTACACCAGGAAATAGATTGGTGGTGGTGATGCGGGTATCTGTATGAGGAGACAATATGTGGATGGCTGTAGGTTATATTTAGTGAAAGGGAGTGAAAGCATGAGTTAAATGAATTGAATGAGCGGAGGAGGAAGCAAAGTTCTGCTCCTGCCTATTTTTTGGTGGCGTAGAGAAAAAGGAAGCGATTAACAGTTGGATAGCAGCATTTATGTATTTTTTCCGGTTTTTCTAATAGAATAGAATGGAGGCGGGTAGAGAGAGAGCGTATGCTTCCTTTCTTTCTCTCTCTCTCTCTTCGGTCCATTTAACCAAATAAATCTCTCCGAAAACTGCTTATGTCCCTCCGTACACTTATGGACACTCTCGTAAGTGCTTCCGCTCCCTTTATGAGAGAGGCCAAGCCAGAGTCAGGAAGATGAACCTGAAATGATGCCAAATTAAATACTCCACCCATCGATCGATGGGGTAAACCATGGATAAAATAAAATAAAATAAATGCAGTTTTCCTCGTGTGGAGTCTAGGCTGAGATTTAATCCATACATGGATTAAAGGTTCGTTTGTTATTCCTTTGTCGTTGAATTATGTGCACAAGTTAAACGGAAGTACAAGTGTACGAATGCAGTTTGTGAGTATATTTTATCATGTATTTAACTCAACTTAAGCTTATATAGTAATTATTGTTACAGTTAGTAGAATAAGAATATTATTAAATTGAAATTAGAATAAGCGATAGTGATAAGTCTTATCAATTATTTAGCCATATTTATTACCACTGCAAGAGACGACAACGTTATTAAAATCTTCCTGAGATTCCCATTCCAGGGCCGAAACGAGGAGGCAAGCCGTGATAAACCACCTACACAAATATTCATTCGTAACGTAGAGATGACATGGACTTTATTGCATATCAAACTAAAATATTCAAAAACGTTAACTTGTGTAATTATCATTTAAAGTCACCTTTTGCTTCCGTTTCCAAGAAATTCCACTGTATCGGTACTTTTGATGCCCTGAAAATCCTTGCACTTGTTCAATCCTTTCACTTGTCACAACGCATTCTCCGTCGTACCTACGTCGATGAGTTCCTGGAGAGCAAATCTTGGGTACGCACTTGTGACCCCGACTGTGCCAAAACTCTTCAGTTCCACAAAGCCGTTTCTGCTTTCCCTTCCTTCTCTTAATTCTATCAATCTGCAAAGTTCATTCAAATGAGCACTTTAGTATTTATAAATAATATGAAGTAATCAATTTTATCTTGTCACAAACGTGTCTGTCTGGAATTAGTTGAGGTGATCGCAAGCGGGGCACTATTTTCTTGGTGTCTCCAATTTCGTCGTTTGTTGCTGACTGGATACTTGGGAGGTCGCTGAATTCAATCTTTTGCAGTGGTAAATCAATGACAAAGTCTTCATCTCTTGCATCAGTCTCTCCCAGAACGAGGAGAAATATCAGCATCAAGTATGGCAAGATTTTTAAGACGTGTCGAATATCGATGGTGGTCAACATTGTGAATTAGTGTCCTTTATCTGCACCTCCGTGTGGTAGCACTGTCTGACTATTACTGACGATAGATTTACGACGTGGCCTAGGGTATTTTTCTTTTTGGCGAATCCCGACTGTATGTATGCATAGACGCAATTGAGCTGAATGTCGTATTAATTGAGAGGAGGTCAAAATGATTCATGTTTGTGCAAAACATTTTGAATGGAAATTTATAGCTTGGTCGGACAATCATACATTTACTACACTAATTTGTACATATCTGCCTGTTTGCTTGTTCTAATGCGAACCAAACAACATGTGACATGGACCGGAAACGATATTATTTTGCACCATAACACATACGATCTGATACTTGTGATGTGATGGAAAAGTACAACATCACAATCTAATTGAGGATAATATTCATGTGTGTTATCGTAATACTTTCTCCTTTCCAAGTAAGAAAAAATGTCTGCTGGGTTCATAACTCTTCTCTCGTCTTTCCTCAGTAAATAATAAACTCACAGACAGAAGACCGACTGAGACTTTCATACGTATGACAACCCATCCCAGTACATATTGCATGTATATAACGAAATCGAGTTAGCATAAATTTCCTCTATGAATTTCTAATGATAATTTGTACCACTCTAGACTTTCTAGTAAATTATGCCGTATAATCTAATAATATAATTTCTCTCATGATCCACTCCCATTGCAGATCCATTTGGGATGGAAAGCAATGTGGGATTGAATCGAATTCTCTCTCCCTTTTCACGAGACGAATGCAGAAGAGCGACTCCTTTTAGAAATTCATTCAATTTATTTGCGACACAGCGATATGACGCAGCAGCCAATAATATTCATCACACAGATACTTGGTCATACTTACCTTATCATAAAAGTTGCTAAACGAGGAACTAATATTTAGTTGCTGACATTCTGCTGCTAATGCAATCAGTATACAAAATGTCCCCACAATTGTATTTAATCAAAATAGGGTGGAAAATTTGCAAAAAAATGTACGCCAAGGGCACCCGGGATTCCCAAGCGGTCACCCATCCAAGTACTAACCGGGCCCGACGTTGCTTAACTTCAGTGATCGGACGAGAACTGGTGCATTCAACGTGGTATGGCCCTTGACAAAGTTAGCCTGACCTCGACATCTCCTTAGTCGGACAGTGCATAATACCAGAAATAATGTAATGAATTCACAATCATTATGTTGCACAATCTCAGATTGGGAAAAATCGATTAATGTTTGGCGGATCGTTTTCCACCAGCTCCATGCTTCTTATATTCAGCACAGAAATTATTGCTATCCACTTAATTTGTTAGAAAATAGTTTCGACTTTTGTATACTAATAAAAACTGATCATCATGAACTCAGACGCCGATGATGCACTGTATCCTGAAATTGAGCCATTTTTCACGGGTACTCTCCCAGTCTCGGATATTCATACCCTGTATTATGAACAATGTGGAAACAAAGAAGGCATCCCTGTCGTCTTTTTGCATGGGTAACATTGTCATTCCAAATTTGAGAAATGGGGCCATGGGTCTAAAATACAAGAATATTTTGTCGCAGGGGTCCTGGAAGTAGCACTTCTGGGAGAGACCGGCGCTTTTTTGACCCCAAAGTATACCACGTGATTCTATTTCATCAACGTGGGGCAGGGAAATCTACGCCAGCGTTCTGCCTGGAAGAGAACAATACTTTTGCTTTGGTAGCAGACATGGAAAAGCTAAGGTATCGTGGAGGATACGATGATGTGTATCTTACAACTATGAACAAATTACTAATAATCATTGGATAATTGTTGACACAGAGAAAAAGTTGGCGTAAGCAGTTGGCTACTGTTTGGAGGAAGTTGGGGTTCTACGCTGGCTCTTGCTTATGCTGAAAAACACATTGACCACGTGCTTGGGCTAATTATCCGAGGAATATTTACCAACCGAAAAATTGAACAGGACTGGTTTTATTCGGAAACGGGGGCTGGCATGTTGTATCCGGAAGAATATGCAAAATTTGTTGAACTCATTCCACTTGAAGAGCGGGGGGATATTGTGAAAGCATACTATAAACGACTCACTGCCCCAGTCGGTGATGCCCAGCAACTGAAATGTGCAACTGCTTGGAACATTTATGAGCTAACTCTAAGCTCCATGCAGTTGACCCAGGAAGATGTGGATAAATGCCAAGACGACAATTGGAATCTAGCTCATGCTCGGATTGAATGTCACTACTTTGTAAATAAGGGATATCTTGAGGAGAGCCAACTCATCAACGATGCAGTGATAATTGCAAAGAGTGGCGTTCCAGTTGAAATTGTACAAGGTCGATATGATCTGGCGTGCCCAGTAAAGGTAACTCTTCTATTAAATTTTCTAGTCATTTTACTAAATAAAATTTATTTTAAAGACGGCATGGGACTTGCACAAACAAATTCCGCAATCAATTCTCCATATTTTGCCAATGGCTGGTCATTCGAGCCTAGAACATGGGACCGGCATGACTCGAAAGCTAGTGGATATTTGCGACAAGTTTAAAAATATGTTAAAGTAACAGAATGGCTTGATATTGAAATAAGCATATTGGATACTTGAAACAGATTTATTACATTCATATTAATTTACTTTATAAACTATTATAAAGTATTTTTCTGGATTACTACGAAAATTAAATAATGAATTAAACACGTTTAAATTCTATATTTAAATAACTACTATATATGGAAAAATTTGAAATGACTTAGCACCTGTAAAAATAAAATCCAATATTTTTCTATACAAAATTCAAGATATTATGATGACTGTATGATCAACAATTAAAGGCAAAAGTCATAATACGGTAGTCCATTCTATCTAGAACAGAAAAAAAGAAATCACTGCATCAGTCATTTGCCTGATCACTCTATCTACTTATTTATATAAAATATAATAATAGACTGTTCTCTTCTTACCAGTAGTACAAAAACTGACTAAATCAGGCATCTTCTATATCGGAAAACAGAATTTCAATATCCTCAGTATTGAGACCTATGTATAATTTATACATGAGTAAATAATCGACTTTCTTTTAAATAGTTAATCGACTAAATAAAGGGCTTCAATGGGAATCAATAGTAATTACCCGGTCTGTCAGAAGCAGCAGATGTCCCTTGGCCCACATTGGTCAGACCAGAATCGATGTTTTCATTTCGATCAATCATTCCTCTGGTCGATGACGAAGGTCCAGGCGAGGTGGTGTCAGAGTCGCAGTCCATTACCAGTGGGATAGGAATACTTGAAGCTTCCAAATTAGAAATAGATGTTGAGGGTCTTGCAGCTAGCGGCTGGGCTGTAGTAGTTGGGGATAATTGAGAGCGACTCCCAGTAGAATTTAAACTATTTGAGGCATCACTTGTGGCAGCGTTGGAGTTATTATTATTATTATTATTATTGTTGCTACTTCTATCTTCATCTCCTCTATTGCAAAAACTAATGGTTATTGTAGTTTCTCTACCACGTCGCTCCCTACTCCGGCTGCTATTCTCATCTCGATGACTTCTTTCACGTCGTCGTCGTCGTGATTCACGCAAATGATGCAACAAACGTGGTCGTTCTTCACTTCGTATTCCTCGACGACTTCGGGGACGTAAAGCCAAAGCTATCGGAGATAACGAATGACTACCACCATCCAAGCTACTACTACCATCTTCAATTGTTGAGATTCCATTGTTGCCAATAATCTGTTGGTCATCCGTCCCTCCTCGTTGTCCTGGTGGTGGAAATATAACCGACAACGGCTCATTAATGTCCATATCAACATCAGGAAGTAAATCGTCTTCGGGGTGATGTGGTAGTATAGATGAACCGTCAATCACATTTTCAAACCGTTGACGGAAACTTATTATATCATGAAGTGATAGCTGGCCCAATCTCAATCGCCTTTGGAGAGAATCAAGGTCTGCGTCGGTAGGATGTGTAGATCTTGAAAGTACTGGCAAATCAGTGGGATCATCTTCAGCAGGACTCGTACCTAGAGTAGAACTGGAACCAGCGACAGGAATTGTGGTACCAGTGTTATTGCTTACAGCAGGCATTGTTGAATTATCTGAAAAAGCACGGAGTATATCAGAGCTTGCACTTCTTATGGGCGCTGTCGTGACAATTGAAGTGGTGTCCCCACCATCAAGATCTGTAGTATGGATAGTTGAACTTATTGGTCTTCCACTCGATGATAAAGTTGTGCTAGTTTCGCTTCCAACCAACCCGGTCAATCTGCTAGACATTGATCGAGATGTTTCATGTGGGAATGGGAAATTTGAATTTCCTTGATTACCACCTGATGCAAGCCGGAAGTTACACATGGAGTATGGAAACGTCGTAGTAGGTGATGAAGTTGAAGCCAAACTACTACCACTACTAGTAGAAGTAGTAGTAGCGTCTCTGGTCGTTGTAGAATCATGAGGTTCTACATTTGATGAAAAAGGATCAGTGGTAACAGCAGCAGTAGCAGTTGGGGAAGAAGTTGAAGGGGAATCCAAACTTGAGAAAATTGATCGTATAGTGCGAACAGCATTTGCTGCTGAAGGATGAGATTCATCATCGTCGTCTTCTATATTAATTACTTCATTCCTGGTGGCATTATTAACATTAACATCCAATGGTGAGGTAGCAGAGTTAGTAGCTGATGATATTTGTGAAGAAGACTCGGTGACTCTAGGTGCAGATGACGGACGAGCTTGAACCACTGCACGATCCAGACCACAGCGAGCCGCTTGTTGTGCATGTTGAGATTGAAGATATTGCAAATGTCGCAAAGAGTATCGAGCCATAAGTAATCCATGTGGTACTCGGCGCTGATCTTCGGCAGTAGTTCCGATAGGTGCATTGGATTCTATGGGGCATAAAATTTATCTATGTACGATACGATACGATAAGATATAAAAATATTAAATATGTATTCATTGTTAATTTGGTAGTGTTATAAAATTGCGCACCACTAGGTGTTCGACAATCGCGACCAGCGCCTTCACGACTTGGAGAATCACATGATGGAACCGTTGGTGGAGATGGAGATGCGGGAGATTCACCTTAATAATAATGGGCAGGAAGACACTTTGGAATTCATCACAACTAAAATAGTGTGTTGGTGCTGCTCTAATACACCATAGTTGTAAGACATACGTGAGTCAACAGGGGTCCTAATTGAAGAATTGGCTGTAGAAACGGTAGGTGTTGATGGCGCTGTAGATGATGACTGTTGCGACAGCATGGATCTGGGTGCAACTAATGTAAATGAAACTCCAGGTGAAGGTCCTGAAAATACGCGTTGTATCAAAATTTTTTCTCAATCATTTACTAATTATAATTTGACGATCGGTTAATTAACTTACGAACTCGAATCCTAGCCACGGAAGATGACGAAGACGAGGAATTACTATTACTTGCCCCAGGTCGTGATAAAGAATTCAAACTATCGACATTCTGTTGCTGATGATGTCTGAGATTTTCAAGTTCTACATGTAGTAAAAACAAAAAAACATGGTTACACATAACTGTAATATTTATTAGGATTCGATGGTAATGTGACAAACCTTCCATGAGACGCGCCCTCATTCGAGCAGTTGGTCCATCCCCCGATGAAACTGATGACCTAGCCGCTTGGCCACTCTCGTCTATATTAGCATCTGCCGCAGAACGCCTCATGGCTCTGAATCTTTCGGCCAATGCACGTGCCGTAGTAGGAGTAGTTCTCCCTTGTTGGTCGCGGATAAAGCGAAGAGCATCGACGAAAGCGGCCCCTTCATTTCTTCGCGGTGTATTCCTCAACTGCTCAATCGCGACGACCCTCTCCTGTACCAGACGTTCTCGACTTTCGCGTATTTCATCCGACAATCGAAGATGGAGCCTAAGACATATGGACAGGAATTAGATGTTGGAGGCATTCAATAGAAAACCTACAGTACAGATTTCATTTGGTCCGAACAATGAACCAGCCACAATTATAAAATTGTATTCCAAAATTTAACCTTCATGATGCATACACATACATCTTATACTTTTCTTGGCAGAAGTGATCAAGTTCGTAACTCATACCGACATAAGCCCTACCTCGGGCTAAAAACTAATCGAATGGTGTAATATAAATCGTAATAAAGCAATTACCTAGTGATGAAGTTGTCCATCTCCACGTGCTTGCCCCAGTCAGTAAAAATCATGGTACGACATATAGGACAGTCGACTTTATCCCGTGTCCATGTGGCTATGCAGAGTTCACAGAAGGTGTGGCCACACTTGGTGACAGAAGGAAGGATAAAGATCTCGTTGCAGATGCTACAGCTAAATTCAGCTTCTAATAACTCTACAATTTCCTTGTACAATTCTTCCCTTGTCGCAATAACAAATGTTTTCTTCTCGTCCACCTTTTCCTGTTCTGCAACCTCTAACTTCTTCTGCAAATCCATCAGGTCCAAATGAATCTATGTATACACAAATCTTGAATAAATAACACCTCATCAAACCATAAAGACTGGCTACAATCTATTTTGTATGACCTTTTAAGATGGCTTTATGAGGTAGGGAAGGATTGCAATCATGTAAAACCATTTTAAAAGGCCCAAGAATAGCGTAATAATTTATTAATGTCTTACACTCATCATGTGATTCGCCCTTTCAACAGTAACCTATCAATGTACAAAAAACTTGATAATGTGAACAATTCATAATGTGATGTTGCAAATTAAATCAGCATTATTATTGACCATAATCATAATTTATTTAGTCACCAGTCTTTGTCGGAGTGCTGCTACATCCGTGCAGTTTGCGACTTCAACTACTGCTCCTGCCTTGCCTTGTTCTGCGTCGGATCTCATCTCTTTGATAATGTTCCCCATTGTGGCCGTGATTGTTCTAACAATCACGGCCGGACTCTCTAAACTTTGCATCTCTGCTTGATGCACTGCTTCCAAGTTGGCGAGGAGAGCGTTAACGGAAGCAGAATTTGGCGAGACAAACGATGTTCTTCGTCGTTCTGAAGGGTTTGCCATCATCGTCATTTGTCTTATGGTGCGAATTACGGAGTGGGGAGTATTTCCCGGTGGGGTTCCTCGAACTGGGGTGGCTGGCGGAAGTGAAGCATCTACCGAGCTGCCGCTGGTTCCTGCTGGCGGCGGTGTAGCAGTTGACGACGACGACGAGGATGAACCATTATTATTCTGAGACGCATCAGCATTTAAGCGAGGAATTTGATGCCTCATGTCGGTGTAAATTTCCTATTCTCGACGGTATTAAAGAACAATTTATAGTATCTATGCACCACCACCACAGCGATTGATTGAAAACAAAAAATAATATTTAATCACCAATTATACTTATTTAGCTGGACATGAGCTGTTATAATGTTATAACTTTAAACTTTCAAAAGATCATATACGAGTGGCAATATTTGTAACGATGTATAATTTACAATAAATAAATAATTATTTTGAATATTTGCCTTCTTCAACCTATTTACTACAAAGTAAAAAACCAGCTGCCCGTAATGCTACTGCCAAGTGCCAACAACACACTGGCAACCACTAAAAAACACTACTATTGCAACGTCACTCATAAGCTATGATTCTATTTGTGTGTTATGATCCTCTTTTTTGTGGTTGCAAGATATTTATTTTGTGACCAACTTTCTCGTAATTTGTAAGAAATACCTGAATTTGAGGATAGAAAAAATGTGCATATAATTCCGGATGTAAGTACAGATGATGATTGATGATGATGTGGTTGAGAAATCTCCTTTTTATTCGCACTCTCTAACCAAGCGTTTATGCTGCTCCGAACTCTTCTCCGCCCAAATGCCTGAAAATGGCTTTCTTTATCCCTTCCTCTCGGTATTTGGCAACTCCCGGGGTTTGAAACATCCAGTGACGCTCCCCACTATGTGTTTATGCAATATCTGGGCGAATATACGTGTAAATGTAATAATAATAAATCATAATAATAATAGAGACTTAGAGATTTTTTGTATTTTTACTTGTACTGTACTGTGGCTACAATACAATACAAAAATTAGTACAAAATTCAAAAGACCTACTAGAGAATTTCCATTATTTTGTACTCTGAAAAATTGTATTGTAGAACTCCGCGAAATAGATGCGTCAAAAATTGAGACAAATCAACTCATGATATACGAAATGAACCTCCTTCCACAAATTGGGTCTAAAATGTTCAAAACTTAAAATTCGATATTTTTGACCTTTGACCTCGTTTACAACAATCACCAGGCTGATGTAATCCGAAACGATAGTGATTTTTGAACTCCTCGCCTCAAACTAAACACGTCTGCAACGGTCCAAATAAAAAATAAACATTTTTGACCTTTGACCTGGTCTACGTGGTCTCAGGGTCTTCGCACGTTAAAACTGTGTCAATTTCTGAAATTCGCGCCCAAACCCAAGTCTAAAACAGTCGACACTTCAATTTTGACCTTTGACCTCGTCCTCTGGATTATGGGTTGGTCGGAGGTCAAAAGTATTGACGACGATGAATTCTTCGTGAAATTTCCTTTAAAATGACACCGCATATGAAAATTAAGATTGAATTTTGCGTTTACTTCACGCCAGGGTGACCTTGACCTTGACCACAGGGCGCCCATCTTCGAACTCGACCTAGGGTCAAAAATTAGAAGCAAAATGGCGCAAACGGCGTCTGATTATATTGAGGCGTTCTGGAGATATCCTACTTGCCAACCCTTGATTTTTCCACATAGTACAAACTGAGCCCGTGTTTCAATTTGTGTACTGTAGACTGTAGAATTAGTACAAAAAGCTGATGACGTCATCATCTAGAGTCCACAGTACAGTCTACAGTCGAAGTACAAGGAATCTCTAACTCTCTAATGCAAATAAACAGACAGTGGGCAAGAGGATTTTTTTGATTTTTGCACGTTGCAGTAAGTATTTAATAAACGGAATAAAATATGGTTTAAATTGAATACATAATAATAAACTAATTAATGACAGAGATAACAAAATGCATGTGGAATCAATCGATTTTAAACTCGAAATTCATCCTTACACACTAGTTCATAGTTAACAGTTCTCGGTTTTTGTCGTCGTCAGTATAATATAATAATAATAATATAAGCTTTAATTAAAGTCTGCTGCTAACCATTTTCTCTTTTTTAATAATTTCTATCATACTATATTTAGTACATCATCATCGTCCATGCACGTTTTTTCATTATATTTTATACCTTCTTTTATTAATAACAACATATTACACATAATTTAATAGGTCATTTTATCTAGTAATATAATGGTAGTATTTCGGGGTAAATCTGTATTTTTTTATATTTTTTTTATCCTTTTAGCTAAAACACCTTTATTCATTTTGATGAGGTTTCAATATTTTTTGTCCAACCTGACCTACCACAGTATCATTACATATAGATTCCAAATCGAGAATCGAGTATATCGTTATATAGCCGTTGAATTTAATTCTTTGTTTTATATTTAGAGATTTTTGTTGATTAGATTTAAATTGCGGTGCAAAATTTTAAAATTTCCAACTTTGTAAAAATTTTAAAACTTTATCGTATCTAAATAATTTAATTATCCGTTACGTGTTATGAATATTGAATTTTCACAGAGTTAAGTAGAACAATTTTTTTCTTATCTCAAATGTTACACCTTCAAAAGAGTGAACATAAATTAAAAGTCAAAGCTAGAATTCTTAAAAGTTCAAAAATGTGATGGATAAAAAAATTGATGATTTTAAGAGTTCCAGTTTTTAAAAAGAAGCAGAGTTGCACAAGATAACACAATTGAACTACGAATACCGAATTCTATACCCTTATTAATCATTTGGCGTTGCTAAAAACTTTTTCCATTCAACTTTCAAATTGTGCGAAATAGTGAAAAACTGTGAAAAGTGTATGAAAAGTTTAGTATAGTCAATTTAGTAATTCGTGCTTTCCATTTTGTATCTGATGAGAGGAGAAAGTACTACAATCTAGCGTATTAAATTACCACCTGAAAGGTAGCAATTTATACTAATGTAGTACACGAAATCTAAGTAATAGAACATATTCATATGCCACAACAAGTACATAATGTGTAATAGAGAAGAAGAAAACGAGGATTTTTTGGTTATTGCATGTTGGTGTTGACAAAAGTTTCACGCTGAATACACATTGAACCATTTCGCATTGATTAATTACCACTATTTTCACTCCAAAATTATTAGTTACATACATATATAAATCTTCTACCCACTACTTGCTAAATCACACTGTCCTTTTAGTCATTACAGTACAGATACCGTTATCCGTTGCCTTTTAAACCAGACCTTTTCTTATCCCGACCACCTTCCTTTTCCCACCCTATAAACCACAAGGCTGCATCACTTTCATCAATATTTCGCTTGATCAGTCTTTGAAGCTTATTTTCATCAGTTTTAACAATAATGATAACAAGAGTAATGATAATAATCGATATAAACTCACAATTTGATGATTTTGTAAATAATTGGCTTGGCAGTCGATTATTCTTTTTTTAAGGGTGGTTGTGAGCATTGTTTTTGTATATATATATAAATGACCAAATGCAGTAAGTTGAGGGAGGTATCGCCTAATTTTAGTACAATTATTATTATCAATTTAGCATTTTCTACTTTAGTCTAATAAGTTTAAGTCCATTCCTTTCCATCTTTTTATATCAGTTCAGTCCTTCAATCAGTTCCCCCTTCTTCTTCTTGATCATCATTCATCAGTTCTATTTCCATCACTAGCGTTTCATAGCTGTTTTTTGCTGTACTGAAATTAACTACTATTAGTAAATTGGCTTAGTAGTATAGTAATCAAGGACTTCAAATAATACACTGTATTTTTTCTATTGCTGGGTCGCGATCTGATTAGATGTTTAATTTGATTGGTTTGGTATTGTTTTGTATTTAGCAGCAACACGGTACTGCATACACGAAGTCGTTAGTTATTATTGGTCACCAAAGATGACTAGGTTTGTAGTTTTATGTGATGATGATGATAAAATTAGTAATTTAATTTTTACAGAAAGTTAAGTTTGTACAGTCCCTGCGATTTACATAGTTTCTTTTGATACATACATAAGTAATCCAATAAAAAATACGAATGAACTAAATAGATAACTCATTAATACATGTTACAGAACAGCAGCAGATAAGTACTGTCGACGAATATTTTGAAAGACTCTGAATCAATTCTAGAGCTTATTTAAACACAAACAATTTTATAGAATTAACTAATTGTAAGACGTTGTAAAGCTAAGTTTGATACGTCATTTCACACTTTACAAATCCTACTGTAGCCGATTCATAATTTAATATGCAGAGAATAATTAAAAATACGAATAGATTGCACTTGGAGTATAAACAAATTCTTTGGTCATCGTTAATATACATCCTTCCAAAAACAAAGTCAACAATAAAGTTCTACAACAAACAACTTATACACGGCACATATTTACTACGGTAATGAGAGAGTTGGTTATTTACTGGCCATAAATGTTATGCCTGAATATTACGAGCAAAGCAATTTATTTGGTAGATAAATAAATAGAAGGCCAAATCTATCAAATTTCAAAAAAATACTGACCAAAGCATGGATTTTTCATATTCCGAGAGAGAGAGAAAATACATAACTACAATATAAATATGAGTTGAGAATTGTAAGGAAAATTGGGCGAACAAGAGCCAGTAAGAATATAATACTCTTATTTATTTAGTACAAGTTGTTAAAATTTAGATTCTTATAAAGTGTCAGATCTTGCCAAGCATAACCACCCACGAAACCACCACCCCCATTATTTCCCATTCCCATCACACCCACCCGCCCAGTTATCATCAAAATCGTCATCAGACGTCGAGGAGGACAAACACTCTCACATTTGTACTTGGATATAAGTCATCGTTTGATTTTAAATCACTAAAAAAATTCTTTGTTGGTTTATTGCATATTTAGCATTATATGGTACATGTTCATATTGTATCAGTGGGATGAAATCACTATTTTTAATTACCGTTAATTATTTAATTGTAGTGTCAACAATTAAATTTCTATCACAAGTTTAAAATTGGACTTGGACTATGAACGAACGATTTGTAAAATCTTGGCTTATTATAGCTCTTGCCAGACTTGCTTGGTCAATGATTGTTCTGGATCGATCAGGTGTTACGTGTAAATTTAAGTATTCTATAATAATAATTAGTGTAAGATGTTCTTGATTCGAGGGACTAGACGGGGATTGATGCTGTGTTCTCTATTACAACGATAGTAGCAGCAGTAGTAGTGTTTTTAAATAAAGAGAGAATATTGCCAACAAACAAATTAAATGTACAAACTGTAAGGCTTTTGATGATGACCATAATGCATTCTACTAATATTTGACTTAATTCGGGTTTGTCATTGTAAATTGCCACTGATCAAATTATACCAACGAATCGATTATTACTTATTTTGTTTGCTTTTATGACTCTTGACTATTTAAATAAATTTGTATGTTTGTACATGAAAAGAAACTAAAAATCGGTGGTTGTTGAAACGGTTAACTGATGCATACCATAAAAATCCTATAAATTAACAAATTATTTGAATATAAAATGCTCCGGTTTGATCACAGATTACGAAAAATTTGGCATACAAAAATACCCAATACAAAATTTAAAATCAATACCAAAACACCTGAATACAAAGAAAAACAAAATTGTTAAATAAACAACACTACAGTTACCAAACTAACTAAATAGACAGATAATTCAAATTTGTACCCAATAAAAAAACTAATAGTTTATATTAAACATGTGCGATTGCGAAATTAATTCCTAATGCGAACGAGCGTGGGTACGTGTGAAATTAAGGTATAAATATAGCTAAAAGTAAGAAAGAATGCAATTGAGATGTGCGAACTGCAATTTTTTTTAAAGTTAAAGAGAAGTTTTAAAATTCGAAATTAATTTGTTCGTCCTATGCATAGTAGTACTGTAAAAATAACTAGATTAGATGAGACTCGATGATTTAGGTCGGTAGGTAATAATTCATAAATAATAATCAAAACAGCAATCATTGACTCGATTGCTCTAAAATTAGAAAGAAATAATCTCCAGTCTGAATGGCATATACTGCTTTGTTTTTGTAGATGTAAATAGTACTCACGAGTAGGTAATTAAATATTATTTTTTTGTAATATTTCGTCCTCCTCGAGCGTCTGATGAGCGTTTGAATGTATTCAGAGCACACAATGATTGCATTGCGTCACAATCATTATTTATTATCCCCGTATGAAATGGCATACTACAAGTATTTAGAACCACGTGCCCACCCAAAAGATTAACTATTGAGAAAACCCCTCCTCTCATATACACTCAACCAAAATAAATTACTAAGTCCACACAGTTACATCTTAGGATGGTAAATTTTAAATAAAACGCAAAAATTAACTTAACGGCTCTTGTCCGCCATCACAATAAAATGCATGCAATAAGATTCCTTCCACAAGATCCTGTACATTGTTTTGCAGTAATTTGCATAACGAACTGCTTAAAATAGACTGATGATTATTGTTTGATATATGTAGTAATACTCAGTACATGTATAATTTTTACTAGTATATGGTGTAAAAGTGGTCGTATTAATCTCAAAGTCTAATTTGAATCTTCTCATTACGAGTAGTTAGCTGTTTGTAACGCGTGTCACTCACAATGTACAACACCTTTATGTATAGTTTAGTCTTCTTTTCCGCATTTGATAATTATTATAAGGCTACCTTTTCAAAAACCTGTAAAAGTTAAGTTAATAGTTTGCTGGTTTGTTTTCATTGTGTAAGTAATAAAACTCACTGGCTAGAAGCGTATAACATTTTTATGGATGAGATTTTATCGACATTGACCTTTCGTTTTGACATCCTTCATCTCTTTCCCTCCCTCCACTTTCCTCCTCCTTCCTGCACCTATGACATGATGATGATAATGATGGTTCAAGTATCCTTGAGTTTTGAGTAAGTGTATGCAATACTATATACTATGCCTGTTATATTATCATTATTTTCGAAAGTAGTTCAATGCAATTTGTAGAAACATTTTGTCAACACCAACCGCAGAAGAAGGTCGTAGTTTGTAGTAAGCAATAACAAGTGAACATTAGGGTTTTTCGTTTTATACTTCTTAAAATCTATTTGGCTGGCGACGGCTTTTGTTTGGTTTTTTTGGTTCTACACAAGACTATATATTACTTAATACTATGTTAAGACTTAAGACTAAATTAATCACCGTAAAAGTTCCATTAAAAGGCGGGCGGGCTTATTTTTCATTTTTACTAAATAGCAGTTTGCTTTAGTTGAGTCAGGTTTTTTTGTTGAAGTTCCTTCTACTACGGAGATCAGTGTGAGCATCAGTCCCCGCCTCCTCTTACGTGTATTTTTAATTTGTAAATATACTTATGCAAAAGTCTAAAATATTTATTAAAAAGACCCGCCGTTTAATGGAAGTCTTAGGGGTCGTGATTTTATATCGATGATCGTTGGAAATAGTAAATATATTTTCATTCAACTACATATATTATCAAATCTAGCAGTATATATATTTATATATTATCTATAGTCGTACGTTTTGGATTAGATTTTAATAAGAGTTCATCAATAGAACAAGAGTTTGTCTACCTACGGACATCAAACCGTATCATATCTTAACGGATGATGATGATGAAGAAGTTGATGATGATGCATGCCATTGAATAATTGAATTAAAGAAAATTTAAAAAAAGCTTAATCCGGGTTTATGCCTTAATTGTGGCCTTGTTGCTATTGAACCAGTGGTACTTGTCACCCCCCTTGGCAGGAAGGGGCGGGCCGTACGAGGAATGATGCGGCGGCGAAGACCACTTTGATGGACTGCCATAACCATATTTCGGTGGTGAGAACTTTGCCAGCCCATAAAAATGGTTGGGATTGGGAGGACTGGACGAGAACATGTCAGACACCCCATTCGAACCATTCACCGAGTTGTACCAAGAAACTGCGGCTGAAAATAAAATCAAATTATGAAAATATATTAACTAGAGACGTCAATTACAAAATCATTGTATATTGTTTCAAGCTTATAAGACATACGTACCAGGACTTGGGGTGTGGCTATTATGATGATGGCCCATATTTCCCCCATGATGAACATGGTTTGGATGGTGGGCGTGGTGGGTAGTGTTGTTGTTGTGGTGAGAGTGGTGATGGTTGCCGTTGTGATGAGATGAGAATCCCACGGTTTGACCCCCTGGTTGTCCGAAGGGACGATTCCCTTTAAAATTCGGAGTCGTTGTACCCCCCACCCGGTTGCTCAACCCCATAGCTAGGAAACCCCGACGTCCATTCTTCCGAGTTATCATATCTTGGCTCATCTACAGACAAAATAATAGTAAAATATTTAGAATTTTTGAGATACGTGCATGCATTTTCACACTCTCTCAAATATGTAGTTCTTTACATACGTACAAATTGACAAAAACTATTAATTTGGATGTACATTAAATTACTTGTTGGCTACATTAACAATGATTTTGCTTAAAAAATCTCTAATATGTAAAAAAAGAGTAAAAAAGCAGTGCTAGTTTAAATATTTTTAGTGCATACGGCAACAACCCAAATCTTCATCGTCCTCATCACCTCACTAGCCGCCGCCCTGTGTCGTGGCTCATTATTATTATCATCGTCATCATTCTATTCAATCTGATGAGCCTGAATGTACTTTTATAGATCTTTATCATAAAATTCTGCATGATTTCCTTTATTATGCCCAAAATTGCGGTATTTCGTCTCATCGACTCTTTTACTTTGCCTTCTTTCTAGATAAATAAATGCAATGTAAATTATTTTACCCAGTTTCCCATTTCAACTCTAGCATACATAATCATCTTTTTATACACGTAAATTTGGTAAATCACGAAAAAAATACCACAAACGGTACACTCTGAATAGCGTGGCTTCAATTCAGACTCAAATTAACCGTTGGTGCAAAAAAAGTTCAGAAATTAGATCAAATTCTACTCAACTTTGCCCCACCTTATCAATTCGTTTAAAAACTGAAACTTATTAATACCAATTTAAATTATATATAAACAAATACAAGTAAAATCCAATACGACAAAAACTATAATCTAAAAAATTGTGATAATTGTATTCACGCTATCAAATTTTCGAATGATTTATTCAAATGTAAGGAAGATAGTGGTGGTGAGTGTTTGGTATGGTACTTGGTTTTTTGGCGAGGTGATTTCTGATTTCGCATGAAATTACAAATGCTATGGTGTTATGTAATAATACTACTTATATGTGCTCAGAGAGCAGATGTAGTCAGTCATCATATTCATATAGCAGCAGCTCAGCATTGCACCATGTTATGGTCAACGACCCTCTTCCTCCCTCTAAATCTTCAATGTACTGTAAACCAAGTCATACCATGCATTTATCATTATCTCTGAACTTACTACATACACACATACACTCTAAATCTACTGCTATACTCTAAATCCATTTTACATCAATAACGTATAAAGTAACTAACTTCAGTTACTTTGTACTTTGCTGTAATAATAGCAACACTTTTAACTTTACCAAACCAGATAACACCAGCCACGCATAACGTTAAACAGCCGATACAACTAAACCAAACCAAAATGATTGAATTGAGCCAACAACATCAAACTGTTTTATTCAATCAGCCCCATCGGCTTTGATTTACAGCGAACACAGTACGTACGTAAAGCCGACACATCTAAATACCATAGGTCAACTAAACCCTCGTTGTATTCACCAATTTGTTCCCATTACAAATTTTATAATGCACTACATACGTAAATGCTAATCAAATACACCTACAAAAGGTATAAAAACTTACAAAACATACTTATTTTATGTCCCCTGGTTTAAGTAATTCGCTTAGATTTAGATTTATTCAAATCAAACTTGCTTATTTACAAGCGTATTACGTTTGTTGATTACAGTAACAGATAGCATAGCACATTTAGACACCAATTATCAATTTAGGCGCTAATCGGTATCACTAAATCTTTCCTAGATGCTTAAGCATAAGGTGGCCTAGTGAATGAGTTTAAAGTAATTATTTTCCGCTAATGCTTATAAAAGATGATGCATGCAGACGAGATAAAGTATTTTTATAATCCACTCAAGACATGCTCAAGACTATAGTATATGGTCGAACAAACATAGTCGCCTACGCAAAATCCTCCAAATAAATATCCTCATCCTCATTTTATTACGTCAATATTAACCACCATCATTTGGAATCCACTTTATAAAGAAACGGAGGTCACAATGAATAATTATGTTGGCTCTTGTACAGACATACCTCCTCAACTCAACAAACCCACTCAACTTGAACTATGCTACTTTACAATTTACTGTACTGTAGTATACATTGAATTGGATTCATGTCCAGGAAATTGCTAGTCAAATTCATTCCACCAGATGACCTACTACAAGCAAATGTAATAATGCAATGGCAAATCATAATGTACAACATAAGTATGCACTACGGAACTTACAGAACAAATAGTTTAATTAATTTACTTTTTGACTTGCGCATGATGATTTCTTCATCATCATCATTATTATGAATGCTACCTATCTGTATGTATGTACGATACCTAGTTCAAATATAATTATGGTCGAAATGAAAAATAAAGTAAAATGTGACAGCAACTAGAAAGACGGCAGCAAGCCGGATTACTTGACAAACTTTTAAGTGTGGAATCAAATATAGGTAGGTACGCATAATTTGAAGGACATACGTTATACCAACTATGAATCGGCCAGCGTGGATATATTCTCATTTGTTAATTCAATTTATACCAACACATATTGTGCTCTGTAAACAACAGAAGGGACTTGCGAAATTCCTATTTGCAATCGCAATTTACTACTATACTATAATCAAACAACATCACGGCGAGCATGATGAGATGACGAGAGGACGTTGGGATTGGTCAGAGCAGAGCAACAAAGAGTTGCAAATAAGCATATTATGCTTGTGCATTATATCCAACATTCACCAACGGACACTTGAAATAATGCGTTCTCCAACGAACTCCTCAACTAAAAAAGAGTTCAACGTTTCTTTAACTGACTATGTATTTCACAACAGTTTATCTGACACTAGTTACTATCTAAAATTAGCTCAAAATTAACAACTCGTTGTAAGTTTTGACCTTCTCTTAGCCTTTTAACTTGATGCTTAAAACCTATCATAAAACTCTATGTATCAAATTCATTCAAGAAAAATAAAGAGACATACCTTATCACGGAGCTCTTGAGATTTCTTTCTGATCTCATCAAAGTTTACTTGATCTAAAAAGACTTCTCCATTGCCACCATTCTTAAAGTTTGCGAGCATACAAAAGGAGCCTTGGCTTTCACCAAACCTAAAGATTCAAAGTGCAAAAATACCGTTGTTAATTCAAAATTAATTTTTCTTAAGCAATTAGTTATGTAATAAAATTAATTGTAATCTAACCTGCAACAAACTTCTTTCGGATCCACCCATAGGGTAAGTTCGACCTAGAAATAAACAATGAATCAGTGAAGATGATACATAATTTATTTTTGTGGGGTCAGTTTAAACATATTATTTCAAAAGGAGGGGCTAGTACAAAGTTTGAACAGGATTTAATATTAACAAAACAAACATTATGTTAGCATGCGTATCATCCTTACTGGGAGTTGTAGTTGTTCGTATGAGAGTCCAATTTCTGAGGCGGCTTGTTCTATGATGGAATCCTTTCGGACCATTTCGTTGACGCGGATGCACCGAAATGCTTGTCCTCGGTTTGGCTTGTCGGGAAACCAATGATTTTCAAAACGCGAACATCTATTAAAACGCAATAATGTAAAGGTTGGAAATACACTTTTGAGTAGGTTTTGGCTACTACGTTGATCACCAAACTACAAATCCACCTAGTCCATTATGTAAAAAAAGACAAGGTAAAGAGGGGGCACTCAACTCAGAGACCACAAATGTCGACTGAGAATTTATCAAAATGAGAAAGGGGTCTATACGGACTGAATGATAACCTACAATTCAAGCGGAAATGAATAACTGTGTACAGGCGTTTTCAAAAACGAGAAAAGACTTCAAGGCATAATAATCATCCGTCTTCAAGAGCAGGAAAAAAATACTGAATACGGGACCTACATAAGTACACCAGCTCTGATGATGAGTCAACTGAAGATGACTGTTTAATCTAATTTTTTATTAAGCATTTAAAGTTAAATAAACTTACAATAACTCGACCAACCGTTCCTGGAGACCTTCAAGCTGCTCTTGACTCAATGACCCGTTGCACCCATTCTCGACGACTTTTATGAGAAACTTCGCTGTAAAAATATGAACAATTGTTTACGATAGAGTTTTCGCGTATTTTTGCAGCTTTGATTTACTAGCCATCTCAACAATTAAGTAATATTCTGACTATTCTATACAGGCAGAAGAGAAGAACGAAGAATGGGGGCGTCTGAACAGTAGTGAAAAGTAATTCGTAAATACCTGCTACTGACACCTCCTCTTTCATGACGTTTGGTAAGACTTTAACTTGATCCGGATCCAACTGATAGAAAATGCTTCTTCCAGTTTACGACTAACCAGTTCACTTTCTCCTGGGGAGGATGTACTAAAATTGCTTATAATACGAGTTCTGTACGAGCACGATTCCGATAATGCGGACATTAATGGATGATGTGGACTACAGATCCACCACAAAATTATCACCGTCGCTGTCGCCAATGAAATCAATGGCGGAGACGAGTGAAATTCCTAAAAAAGGTAATTTTGAGACTTTTCGTATTTGGAATGGGAAGCCTTCGTTCGTCTTGACGAAGATGATGGTGATGATGAGATCCACAATTGGCAATCACTGAAGCACGTAAAATTAATTATTAGTAAGAGCTATTGTGAAATGAGTATCACAATAACGTACAGCAATCCGTTTTGAATATTTCCTTTCTTTTCTGTAAAAACACTTTTTGCTGCTGATTTTGGTGTCGAATGGCTTGTTTCTTATTTCGTCAAATTTAATAATTTAAAAAGCTCCACGTTCTCGAGTAACGTAATGGTAAAAGATGGGAATAAAATTTGTTGAAATCAATTAATTAAAATTCGAAATCGCTCCTTTTCCTTCTTCTCCTCCCGTTGCTTTCTCTTCACTAGTGAGTTTGTGAAACCTGCAATAATAAAACGAAGAATGAAATTAGAAATCACACATATTTTATGAGCACTGCGATTTGTTTAATGTTATCAGTATTATCGTGAATATAATGTCTGCTGATTCGTTTACACAAGCAAATGTTTTCGTTCTTTGAACAAAACAGTCTCTCAATTATTGTTCAGAAATCATAATTGCCCATTATTTATTACTCGTTATTAGAGAAACGAAATTGTGGTTGACATTGACATTCAATTCAAAGCTAAAAATAACAAATTTGTCATGAAAAATAGAGTTCCTCTCTCACACATTGAGCTATGGAACTTTGTTACAAGCTAGACAAATTCCCTCTTCGATGTTCGCAGTTTCGCACATGCACTTGGTCACTTATTAACAGTGAAAATGGCCTATAAGTGGTCGGTACACTTATGTATAAGTGATCAACAGAACCATGATTTACCGATCATAATTGATCTAGATTTCACTATTGTGCATATTGCTGCATGTGAGTCAGTGAAGGACGCAACTCAAATGGTTCACAACTGGCTATATTATATTCAGCAAGTCCACTCCTTAACACAATCCATCTGGTAATTTCAAACCAAAAATTTGTTCCGCAAAATATTTCTAGGTTGCAGATAGTTGAACATACCTTTTTTAAATAAGCCCGATTAGAGATTATTCAAAATTTATTTCAATATTTATGCTAAAACTTGAGATTAGTTGAGAATTGCACAGAAGCATGCATGCAATGCCATGCCAAAAGAACAGCACGTTTTTGAATTTCTTGTTTCGCTCACTCGTAATTAAACTACGACTGAGCTAAATCGACAATGAGCTCAACCCGAAACTTATTAGATCATATACAAACCACATCCATGCGTATATACTGCTAAACATATAGTAATATGCATACAACGCAAATGATCGCATATTCATGAGTATGGATGAGTATATACTTTGAGCTACGTATGTACATTAGAGAAATGGTAGACATTCGTACACCTAATGATTACGCAAAAGCATGTTACTTTAAACACAGTTTGCTCTTCTGAACAAACAACTGGAACATCCATATAAAAAAATCCTCCGTCTCTTTTTACTAAACCCAATAGCCTCGTATATATCCTTCTCATGCGTTCACGAATGGCGTGACTGATCTCACATAATCTGGAACTTTTGAGGATTGAGCAGCATTTCGACCAACAGATACCTCGCCATTTGAGATGTGTATATGTACGTACAACAGATCCACTCTCTATTCTCTATATCCAAATAATATTAAAGTGTTGCTGATTCGCTCTCTATATCGTACGCCAAATTCTAATGAGCAAACCAGCAGCCGCAAACCAACTCATTTTAATAAAGCGGTTAAAAAATGCGTCGTAGTAGCAACTATCAGGAATGACTTGATATCAGGTTGCGTTCACGTACTTGCTTACGTCTACTGGGAAATCAGCCAGTAGGAATAAAGAATAATAAACCCAATAACTCCTACAGACTTGCATACATTACATGGACTTGGTTTACGCAGAAGTTGATGTACACCACTCTTAATTGCTATTCTCAAACTCGTTTTATACACTATTTAATATGTAGTCAATTGAGTGACTGCCACTGCGGATTCGTAATAGCAACAATAAGAAATTATTCCAGTAAAAATTGGTATGGATATGAAATGAGTATGTATGGATAATTTCTGCCCTGTCGTCATTCTATCTGAATTCTAGAAATACGCACTTGTCTCTATTATGCGGAATCTGCAAGTTGCATATAAGCAATGTTATTTTACTTTCATACATTTTTATGCGTACTAATCTGTATATATTTTTGGTATCAAGTATTTTTCACACACAATATTAATCATCAAAGGGTTGAATTAATTTTTCATTGAAAGAATAAAATTGTTAACCACGAGCAATGCATGGATCGCTTTTGTTAGGTCCCATTAGTTGCGGCTGTGCTATATGCCAGATTGTTCATTTTAAGTACATGTACGTCCCATGGTCCTTACAATCTAACACTATATAAGGTACCATACCATACTATAAGCCATAGTATGCATTGTAATGTGACCCTTATACTGCTTGTGAACATAATGGTGAATAAAAATAATCGAAAGAGTTATAATAAAGGTTGTGGCTTTTGTTCGACTTTGAGTCACCTACACGGCTACACGAGCCAGTTTCGTGGTTGGCAACAGAATGAACAAAACTTTTGCCTCATACTACATAGCAAGAAAGAACCATGTATAATACCTATCATAATACAACCTACGTATATGTACTATCCTCTGTTATGAACCTGTACCAAGTTACCAACTACCAGTCCTAAACCTGCCTTCAACACACGTTGAAAAACTGACCTTCAAAAAGAAAAAAACTGATAGTATTCAACAACCAAGCACTAAATAAAACAACCCAAAAATGTTATGCTTCGTTTAAAATTCCATCAACCCCATAGATCAACCCACACAAAATGATATAAAGGCAAATATATATTATATATCAAAATCCGAGTATTGTTTCTGCTTATCTGTAGAAAATTATTGAAATATACACATATCTAACCGACTACGGTTACAAGTTAGTCAATCATCAAAAAGCGATTCCTCAAAAACCTTACTTGTTTCACAAATTTCTAATGTTAGGGTGCCTAGTTAATGTAGAAATCAGCATCTCGTCCAGGTCTTGTGTATTCGTAAATTTTAGTCCAGTTGACCCAAGCTTGGATGAGCGTCACACTAATTACTACGAGTGCGAATTTTTTATCACAAATAGACACGCGAAACTTGGAACTATGATGACTCTGTCCCTACTTATCATATGGAGAATAAATCGAGTTCACAAACAACAAAGCCATATTATATGTAAAGCATTCGATAAAATGCAATTCTTGCTTTAGTTGCAAATTTCTATGCAGTGTGAACAAAGATAATAATGCATTTTTCTAAGTAATCGTTAAACATTTGCAACTTTTCCACGCTTCACGTAGATGGTAAAGGTTAAATTTTATGTTTCTCATAAATGTTCTCTAAACCTATAAAGACATCATGAAATTACCATTAGCTTGATATGACTGCAAAAAAGCATGCTTGCATAGCACATAAATTCGTAAACAGCGCATATAATGCACGAGTTGATAATTATAACACTAACAATTCGCATTTAAAAGGAATTAAACCGTGCGAATTGCTTCACTTTTGAACACAATTTGCAGGCAATGTTCATTAAAATTATCACAAAAGGGTACCTGACCTATTACTGTTGAACTGAACGAAACACATGCGCAACAAGAAATCAGATATGCTTTAAAATTATTTGCATCTTACACAGATGACAGAACACGTAAGTCGACTGTGCTTTTACGTATCGTAGCTGCTATCGAAATTAAGAGCAATGTAATGGATTGCATATACATTTAATCTGATAACTACACAGTAATTCCTGTCAGTATACATATATATATATACTGACCAGAGAGTAAATCCATAAAGTACATTCAGCATCAGCACTACATACATACAAATTTTAGAAATCTATTCTTCAAGACCTTACGCAGTTGTTACCAATTTATTAAAATCATGGACTGTTATAATAAAACACACTTTTTTTCGGCGAGTGTGCACTAGTATGCGGGACGAGCAATTGCGTAATTTTTAAAACGTTACTAAAATTGTATTCCTTCATAAAGTGCAATTAATTTACAACATCTATTTAGCCATGACTAGTTCTACTAGCCGTAACAGTAATAATCGCAATTATCAGTCTTGCAGGAAAGCAAGTCCATTATAATAAAGGAGCACAAAGACGCAGTACGTATGAATCTTCATACCTACCTGCATAGATAACCAAATAAACTCGTGATATGGTAGATTTATATATATGCATATGCAATTTACACCATCAAAAGACGAAATCAGAACAAGAAACAAATCAGGTAATTTAAACCTGATTTGTAATAATTTTATGATCGTGCGATATTTCCATATGACGGCATAATTTAGATACATGGAAAACTACAAATGGCATTTTAATCAATTTCGCAAAACAAAAAATTTGAATCGGCCTAATCGTCGGTAGCACTGTAGCAGTAGATTTAATTTAAATCATAATTTTATAGATACTTTGAGAGTCTATAACAATATTGGTCGAATTGCAGGATTTATTAAACCATTTACGATATTTATATGTATACTTACGTATTTATATACATATATGTATACGACCTGATTTTCTATACATGAAAGTTGTATATAAATATATATATTTCCTCAGAGATCACGTATACTGAAATGATCCCGTCCTTTTTGATAAAAAACCAAGTACTGATGAAACTTAAACCATAGTGAATCCAATAACATATGGATTGACAATTTATTCATTGTGATGATAAATCCAATGCAATTGACTTGTTTCTTGCACAGCCTGTTGCTGCATATTCAAGTAATTCAAGTTAAAGTTAACTTCGTTGGTTACTTAAAAATTAAAATGGTAAAGGAGACAACTGGGTCAAAGGAAACGAGCCTCCTTCGATCCTCTCTTTGTACAGAACAGCATGGCTTTGGCTTATGATATGACTTGCTTGTCCTCATCTCAATTCGCTTATTCTCAATCTCCAATCTCACTCGCTCAATTTATTTATTTATTACACCCATCCACCAACAAACTACGCCAACGAATTGAAGCAATAAGCGAACAATAATATGAACAAACTTAGGAGTCAGTCCTTAGTCAGTTCAGCTTGACGACATCAATTGACTCGACTACAGGCCTGTTTTTCTCTTAAAAAAAATCACCAAATAACCTCCTTTAATTTCAGCCCAATCAAATGCAACCTTTAATTTCCTTTCAAATTTGCAAATAATGTTACTTGTAATGCATTATAATTTATATGCCTTTACAGATTTTTATTCCGAGTCCCGGCTTATCAAACCGTCACATTTATGTATTTTTCGCTCTTTTCGTCTTAAAATTTGGTACACGCAGGTATATACATTGTATAGTGTATCCCATACGTGCCTAATTAAGTCAAGTTCGAGGGTTAGCAAAATTAGTTCAGAGGGGGTCATTGTGGGGTACATAGATCGGGCGACAGCGTCTAAGGACAACCGGGGGGTGTGGCCGGCGTAAATGGGATAAAACCCTCCTTCACTTTTTGCATACTCACCTAGTACTACGACATACCCAAAGGGCATCAAAATCTACTATCGGTCAACGGTTGTCCCCCTAAGTCACGCAAGAGGAATACATATGAAACAGAAATACAAAAATGTTCAACCGGAAGATGAAAATGATGAATCTAACATGGAATGGTTGTAAAATTTAGGAATATTTTGGGAGTAGGTTTTAGTGCAAATTAATGTATGCATAATGATATTTATATCCTGGTTTGCCCAGTTTCAATTTGTTAAGCAGTTCTTAACCGTTTGATTTAATTTGTTATCATGTAATGCCTTTAAGCATTACAGAGTGAAGAGCATATTAGTGCACTATCATGCAGTAGGTATTTAGAGTGGTTAGTACGTATAGAAATTGGAAAAGTAGTAAAGTACTTATAATAATGGTAGATTTTATGACGATATCGCGTGCAATTGAAAAGTTGGAATAATACATAAATAAATATATACATACATGAATCTATCTGATTGCTCTTTTTTTGGTTCGCTACTTTTCCTTCTCATTAAAAAAATCATGTCGCCGTTGGGTTTCGGAAATACATATGTATTATTCTTGCCCATATGAAGTGTCGTTGTTGCATCCATCCACCCTGTGCATTTTTGGTTATTTGATGCAAGTCATTTTACTTTAATGA